TTTATCAGCGATATTTCCAGGCATATCGATTGGAACCATTGGTGCACAAACAGTATCGTTTAATTCGACCTATTAAATTATTTAGTTCAATTGATCTGCGATCATTACGAGATTATGCTCTACTTCCGCCAGAAGTGCGTTCTTTTTGCTGGCATCTGGTTATGAAGTGAACCATACATTTCGTTTAGATATGCACAACTTTTTAGCTTTTTCAGACCCAACATTCTCAATTTTTATAATGGTAGTTATATCACAGTACGTGGTAACTGTTTGTAATGTCTTCCCTGCCAAGTGGAAGGTGCTATTTCTTGCTTCCACTTTATTATAGGCTATTTTTTTGTCAACTTTATTTTTGGCGACACTCTTCAACTTTATTTTGGAAGACGAAGTCAGAGGATTGAGTTTTACTATTCTTATTTTAACTGTTTTATTATCTTATGTCATACTTTTGTTATTTAATTATTGCTTGTTTGTTGCTTTATTTTAAAATCCAATATCGTCTTTTCAGATCAACAAAGCTTACATCAAAAAGATAAAAATAAAGGAAAAAGTTGGAAAAGAAAAAGATGCTCGTGTAGCAGTTGTTGGTGATAAAGATCACGAAGATATTGAGGAAGAGGATGAATGTGAAAGCGATGATTCATCGGCTTTGCGACCGAGCAGTCCAGGTGTGATCGTTTACGGATTCGATTCTAAATCTTCACGACAGAAATTGGATAGGTTTAAATTGTTTATCATGTTCTCTTTGTGTTGACAAACTTATGATTGTGAGGAATTGCTCAGTTTGGATTTTTAATCCTTTTTAAATTATTTTTCATTTTAGGTTCGTCACCACGAAGTTTAACGCCTCCACCATCAGAAACAGGTGATAATAAGAAAAGTTGGTGGAAATTCGGAAGCAACCGAAAGGAAAAAGAAGCTAGCGAGGGAGTTTTTGAAGAAGTTAAATTGAATGAAGCTCAGAAGTTGGTAGAAGAAATTCCTTCAGAAGAAAGTAAGTTTTAGTTTGTCTTGAAAAATTAACTATCTTATTAGACCATTTGTACTGAAGTTTGGATAGATTGTAAGGGATATAAACGGATAGAAAAGAAAACAATATTATTTTGTAATATATTTGTTTCTTAACAATTTGTTGAGTACCAGGTTACGTTTCGAGCTTTGTAAAGTAGTTACCTTTCGAGCTTCACACGGATGTGATCTGTAACAGCTTAACTATCAGTGGAATATATGCTAATATGTGCCAATCCTGCAGATATTGATATATATATATATATATATATATATATATATATATATATCAATAAACTTTGGTGTATAAGGTTAAATCTGTTCCACAAGAAGTATGTCGACATGCCGGAAATGTTTTCACAATGAGATTTTTCATTTTCTTCTTTGTTATTACGTTGTAAGTGTATATTTCTAAAAATTTTCCTCAACTGCTTTCAAGGGTTGCCGTATCGTATGGATTATCAAATACAGCCGCAAATTACTGATCGTAGTTACTGGTCTGTATTAAAAAGCCATTTTGCTTATTGGGCTAATCCCGATATTGCGGCGTTCATCGTCAACTGTTTATATCGAGAAGACAAAAAAGCAAAGTGAGCAGTGTTAAACAACTCGTGCAAATATGTGGTCTTCCAATACTCTATTGTTCTATTGAAATTTTCTTGTGTAAATTAAAACAGACTAGGTAAATATCCATATATAGTTATTTTTTGGATTTGGCTTAGTTTTCTGGAATCGAAATTTCAGAATTGTTTTCTAAAGATAAACCTTTATCTTTAGCTTTATTTTGAAAGACGAAGTTACGCTGTTCTTATTTTAGCTTATGTTGGTTACTGATACACTTTATTATGTTGTAATTTTTTGTCAGCATTATTTTCTTGTTGCATTCATTAGGTTATACCTCTTATTGATTACATAGAAGTCACCTGATCACAAAAACTGAATTGAAAATTCCAAAAAAAGTTTAACTGTGGATCCTAAAACCCAGTTAACATTTAAGCTCAAGCCATATTCACTACATTCATAAGGATTTTTTGTAGTAATTTATTTTTATATATATATATATATATATATCTTTGTTATTTCCCTGCCTGGGATCTTTTTTTTGGGTTCCTCTCGCGCCAATTTGTAGATACAAATGAAACGAAATTTTAGTTCTGAATATCAGAACATTGTATCCATTATTTTTCATTGAATTTACGTGTACACTTGATTCTTCAAGGGATTATTGCTTTACATATAAGTGTAATAAGATTTTTTCCATCACATATAATTCATTCTTATAGCGTTTATTAAATTTTTACATTTCCTTCGAACATTATAGCAGCACTATGAAAATTCAAAGAAGTAGAAAAATTACCAGCAGTGGATATTCAGAGATGTTTTCTAATGAAATTCTCAGGGAATTGATTTCCTAAAAAATCAAACAGTTATGGAAAGAGAGTCATTGTAGTCTGTGATTAAAACAAAGCTAATTCATTTTCTTATAACCCGAACAAGATGAGTGAGTCTATGTAGTGATTTCCAGCACAATGATATTGACAAAAGTTACAGTTTGCGTAGGTTACACAAACCAATCGTTCGCTATTAAAATTTCGAAAACCAGTAATAGTGTCATAAGTGATACGCAGAAGTGATCAAGATACTTGATGATAACGGTGAGAACATAGATATAATTTTTATAATTCGGTTTTTTCTACTCTAGGACAAGTGTAATTGGTTATTGATTAAGTACTGGGAACTAGTTTAGTGCAAAAAATACCTAGGTATGGTGTTTTAATAGAAATTATAGAAATACCAAGATGAAGTAAAGAAATAAATGGAAGTGGTTTTTTCGAAGTATGATTTGTTCAATTCTAAAAAATAAATACTACGTATTGTCAAGACGTTCTGTTCTATTATTCATTTACTTAGAATCAGGGAGTTCATAGGCATGTTTTGCTTTTTATCTTCAACTGGAAAAATTTGTCGCACAAGAAAATAAGCATAATTTAAAATATTCGATTCTACTTTGAAGTTCATATGAAAATATACGATCAAAAATTCATTTTATCTGAATATCAGTTGGCCAAAACGATATTTGTCATTGCAAATCATTTGCTTAAAGTATGCTTATCAAATCCTACATGACGACTAAGTTTTATTTTTCGATTAAATTTAATTAGCCTAGTCTACTTCCATTTGTCACTGGTATTAACACTGAAGTGAACTGCATGTCTTATGATAATGCTTCATCATAAAAACATGCACATTATTCCTTGTTTCTCAAATGCAACGAATATGAATACTATGTCATTTATTATAGTATGAATAAAAGTACAACATGAACAAAAAAATCTTTCCCATCTATATTGGAAAGGGAATATATTAATGAAAAAAAAACTGTATAGTGTCATATCGAAAGCATTTTTCGTCTTTAAACGAGACAAAAAATTATTACGAAAAATTGGGGTTAAAATTACGGTAATGATATTGATAAGCTTTAACTTAATGAACACTTTGCAGATCATTAAAAAGAGCTCATGTAAAAAACTGTTGCAGTTCTCAGATTTTAGATATACCTTGATAAGGATCAGATGAAAAGCCTAATGAAACAGCAGACTCTCATTTGCTGCCGCTATGACTATGATTCTGTGATTAGTTCGCGAAAATCACTCAGATTGCTTTCATTAAATACATTTAAAAAACAAACAATGGAAATAAGTCGTAAGATGTAAGATGAATTAAATCTGTAAGATGAATTAAAAACCATGTTCATTAAGTTAGTGATGCAAAATGAACTCTATCCAACACTAAATTCCAGTTAAACTTTTACTTGGAAAAAGTTTAAATTTTTATTTGAGAATCATCAGGTACAGCAGTAGAAAAGATCTACTGAAAATGAATGAAATAAATAATGTTTTATAAAAGATGTAAAAAAGTATTAACAACAATTCACATATTGTATTCTAGCTGGAATAACTCCTCAAATATATAACTACAAAACGAGTGCTAATGCAAAATGATTAGTAAAACTAGAACACTTTGCACCTTTCGTAATAAGGTCGATTGGAATAATGAGTGCCCAACTTATTCTATTTTCAAAAAAATGGAAAGTAATGCCAAGTGTCTTCATTCAGGACAATGGGACAACTCAGATATAATCAAATTGTGTAAACAATTTTTACATCCAATATAATGTAGAATTACACAGACCTGTAATTGATGAATATTTCACTCATCAATTATGTTTGTTGGAACAGATTATCTTTCTTGTTACAGATAGTATTGATTTGGCAAGATCGATCAGAAACAATGACTGCTGCGACTATCCGAGTATCTGAGATTTGTTACTGAGTTGATAGTGAGACGGCCAGCGAAGACACCAAAATAGGGCAGTGATAAATTTGTGACAAATCAATTACGTTACTGCTGGGGTCATTCTCTAATAGGATCACGGGTCAGTGCTGCTTGGACCTCATTACTAATTGGGCATTTATTTATCCAGGCCTCAATTTTGCAACCCGTTGATATTACCACCCAGGAAATCGGGAAAGTAACAATCTTCCTTCACCGTTCGTACGTGCACTCATGCGTGCACCTTCAACAGCACACGCTTACCAAGAGGGATGGGCCGATGTTGCGAAATGAAAGTGTAGGATGAATGGTTGGTGCGGATGTGGTAGACGTAACTGATGAGTCGTTATTGTCATCTCGAGATCTACTGGGACTGGTTGGATGAAAGACAAATTGAGGAGTTGTCGTTTCAAATTTTTGTTGATTACTACAAAAAAAGAAATAAGGCAATAATGATAAGAGATGTGATAAATGTGATAAAGGACGATAAATGATAAATGACAAATGATAGTAAAAATAAGGTTGAAATGGTTGTTACTGTTCAACTTTTCCTCCACATCTTTGTCTCTTTATTTTATTGAAACCGAAAGAAATCGTTAGTATTACTGCTTCACTTTTAGACTTTTTTATTTGTTATCTATGGCAAAGGTATTTGCGATATGAACGCACATTCTGCTCATTCTGAATTTTATTTCAAGGCACTAATAAGTTAGTTTCGTAACGAATTTCTTCTTTGCTGAAGATTTTTATCATGGCATTCTGAAATGGGTCGATACGACATATGCTTTCAATTTACAGAAAAATTTGAAATTTTTGATTTTGATAGCTAGTTTTGGATAATTTTCGGAGTGCTGAAATGGAAATATTTTGTTTTTGCTAATATTTTTCTTTCTAGAAGGTATATCTTATGAAATCAACAGTCAAGGAGAAACTGTAAAACAGCCAGCCAGTCGCACACGACTTCAAATATGCAATTTGCCACCGTTGGAACTGCCCACTGCTGTTGATAATTTTGTTTATGTTCGAATTACTAACATTGAAAGTGGTGAGTTAGTTTTTAATTATTTTAAGTTGTTGAAAACAGATGGATTACTTTGGTTAGACGCAATGACAGGATTCTTAAAATTTAAGTTATAAAATATATAGTGCAAATTTTCCTGAGAAAGGTTATCGTTTTACGATTGTTATAAAATAGAAACAAGCGTATTTAATTTAATAATTTATTAAAGAAGACAGTGCATATATCATTGTAAAAACCGGTAATATTATTAGAGATTAAGATATACAGCGAAATCCGAATTGAGCTATCTAACATTTCATATTGCTTTTTATTTAAAGGTGTGAAGAAATTTTTTGGCACACTAGAAAGGAACCGTTTTTTATTGGACGATTTGCAGAAAATGCTTGACGATATAAGGTCAGCCAACTGTAAATCTGTTTTCGATCCAGCAGTTGGCGAGATTGTTCTCGTGAAGTTAGTCTAGATATATTTATTATAATAATGTAGAATAGTAATGTTATTCTGGAATCTCATTATTTGAACAATATTTTAAAACACGTACATTTTTTTATATGTATCTTGCTTATGACCTTATTTTAGCTGTCATATTGAATGTTAAAACCAAGATGGCTTGGAAGCATATAAATGTTATAAGCTTCACAAGTTTTCAAGATCGTTCCTTAAAAGAAATTTAAATTTTTACTGTCCTAATTAACATGAAACGTCATGTTATTCCAATGATATATTATGTCATTTTAAGGGATGGTGAAAGATTTGTTCGTGGATGTGTCGTGTGCAAAACACACTTCATGACATGTACGGTAAGCCGCATATCAGTATTTTCTAAATACCGATTCTATGTTAATTTCTTGTTGTTTATTAATATTGTCTTAGTTTGTTTATCCAATTATTTTAAGACTTATTTGATTGATTCTGGTCTTACTATGGAAATAGGATTAGAGCAGCTATATGTGATCAATGAAGAATTATTGAAAATACCTCCACAAGCTTTTCTGATGTTACTGGATGTTGATATTGAAGAACCATTAATATCAATTGACGAGCTTAGCGCAATGGTTAAAAATACTGTTGTAGCTTTCCGCTTAAGTAAATTTCCTTTCCTTATTATTTTCTCATCTTTCTAATTAATCTTTGCTTAACCACGGATTTTGTTTTTTTTTTTGGTTCCTTTTTGTTTAATTATGTATAATACAAACCTGAAAAATCTCGAAAGAAAAAGAAAATATTAATAACTCGCTATAACCATCAATAATTTAGGTAAAGGTCAGTAAAAGATTTTTCTTAAGAATATGTGTCAGAAAATGGTGAAGCATTCGTTGGTGCAATGATAATGCGAAACCAAAATGGAGAAATTTGTGATTTAAGGAACATATTGCTAGAAGGTGTTCATTCCGCTAATATTTCTCATGAAATTGATAAAAGTACTTTTTCTTCTTTCTTGGTATAATTGATCTATTCATTGTTTGACAAAAACTGGCGATACAAGTTTTTTTCAATTTTAAGACTCTGGAATGCTACAGCGTCTCCACCGAGTTCGCAGAAATAGCGTGCGATAAAATGAAAAATTGTAGAAGACACATGTTGTACATATTATTTAAAATTTCTATGTGTTTAGGAGTGTCATGAGTAGAAATTTTTTCCAATCATAAATCAGGTAAACTTCAACAACGTAGCTCACCTTACAGTATTGAATAAGAAATTTTCTAACTTATTCATTCATTGAAAAACTGCGAATACTTACGTAGAAGATAATTACTTATGAAAGGAATTCCCAGAAAAGTTTTAGGTATTATTTATGCGCATCAAATGCAGGATGCTGCCATTTATTCCAATCGGGACTACGATACAATACTATCCGATGAATATAGTCTTTCGGAACATTCGTCTATTGATTTTGAAGATGAAAGATCAGTTATCTCGTTGTGTTTGAGTGAGGTACTTTGAGTGAGATCTATAAACAGCTTTTTGGTTTGGATCGTTTCAGTGTTTGAAACAAATTTTCCTTGTGATTGTAGTCTGTTATTTTCGAAAATAGTCGAAAATTTTTAACATTATTTCTTAGCATTAATGGAGATTTTTGAAACGTGTTGTACGCTGAACTGTTTCAGAAGTAAAGGTAGTTTAATTTAGGAAGAACTATAGTCACACCACATATATGTCCTTTAGTGAAGGTTTTGTTTGTGATGGTAAGTATAGAAACATTCTCTGCCAGATAGTTTTTGAAGAAACAGCACGATAAATGAAGCAATTTGCTGTAAATCTTCAGTCAGTTTATAGCATGATAACTGCAGAACTAGAGATATCAAAAAATTTTTTGCTTTCGCTTTTTTTCTGCATATTTTTAGTCAGTAAAGTAGCTGTTGGATTTTTCATTGACATGTTTTCAATGATTATTTTTTAAGAAATTTGAAGAGGAAAATGACGAGTGTATTGTGAAGCAACTGGTTTTATCTGGAAATCATTGGCGAGCAATACTTCTTCCAACTGAGGTTATGTTAGCAGCATTAATTTTCAAAATTGTTTTGAAAATTATAATAGTAATAAGATAGCAAATATTAAGAATTATAGACTTTTTTATAACATTTGATTTCTTTCTGAAATCAATTGTCATCAATTGAAATGATATTTTGAAGGATCAGATAGTTATAGCAATTCTTTTAATTTTATCTGTTTATTTTTTAGAACTCTGGTCCGGGTTTGTTTTATTTGCACTTTTTGGATGGTCCAGCTATCTTCGAGGACTTGATAATCTACTCTTCATCTCTTTTTGGGAAGTATAGTAATATTTGGTACAGACTGCTGAAAATACCTGGCCTACAATATGATATCAAGTATACAGCTTTTTCTTGAAGTCAATAAAATAGGTTTTTTTCTTTAAAATCTAATGAACCTAATACATTCTTTTTTATCGTCTCCCTCAGCACTTTATTTCTTATTTTATTCTATTTCTCTTTATTGTTAGGCATTTCTAATATTCCAGTGTAACTGATCCGCAAGATTAGAATTTTTTTTGATGGGAAAATGACATTAGGGTTTTTTTTTTTAAGCAAGCTCTGTATAACAGTGTCTTCAAGTCACTTATTATAAGTAGTACAGTCAGAAATTTTAGAGATGATAGGAAATTCGTACAAGTGGACAACACAGTGGGATCATATTCTGCATTTTTGTATGGTGGCAAACAAGTGGATGAAAAATTGAGAAACCAATTAAAAGCAACATTTGCATGCCGACTTTCATGTTCTGCCCCAAAGCCATTCAATCACAACGTATGAAATATAAACTCATCTATTCTTTGATATTAGTAATGATTACTAATCACGTCGTTATTGGTTTTTTGGCGGATTTTGTCATTTATGCTTCAAATTTTCAGAACACTTAAAGTTGCTTCATAAACTGCTAATTGAATAGTAGTAAAAGTTTTGTATTTCTTCATATTGCAGAGATATTCCAATGAGGCAAAGTCATATTTTACTGAGAAGTTAACCACCAATCACATTTTTGATGTACATATAGTTAAAGTGTTACCCAAATGTGTTCTTGAGGTTGAAATTCTTTTGCCAGGAGGAGAAAGCCTTTTCGACAAATTATGTGAACTGTAAGTAATTACTGTTGGCACTGAGCTTTCGGTCGAAATTTTTTCAGATATTATATTGAATGTTTAGGTGCTTCATTTATTTTTAAACATTCAGAATGAAACTATAATGAATTTTTCATTTTGGAGAAGCAAGAAATTTTGTTGATTAGAAGCCTGTTTTCTCTCAATTCTTAACTGTTCATATATTTTAGGGATTTTGCACAACCTCGTTGGACTTGGAAGATACCATCATATAATTTTGAGTCAATAAATGAAGAACAGCTTGTTCAGCGTACAGATGATGAGGATGATGTACATATGACTTTCACTGTACAAATTGAAAATAAGCAGAATGATTTAATTGAGGTATGTTATATGTTATTTTGTCACTTTTTGGAAGTGATATAATGCGTGGGTTATGCATGTGAAAAATATAATCTTTTTTCTAGAATTTGATTAAGAAGAATTTATTTAAAACATTACAAAGTAATATGAGATAATTTAAATACTGAAGAATCGATTTGCTAGGATCCGAATGCATTTGGTCTTTGAAATAGTTGTTTTGCTACTCATCTTTATTATTTGTGCTCCAGAGTTATTGAATATTTGATTTTTTTTTAAATTTTTCTATTGTAACTGCTAAGTCATTTTATTTTATAGTTTCAAAAGCATTTAAAACCTAGCAAGCATGTTCTACGCAATCCAGAAATTGGTGACATCTGCATTGTTGAATGTGAAGGTCAGCAGTTTCGATGTGAAATAGTTGATATGACTGATGAAAAGAAATCTTTCATCGTAAATTATGTTGATTACGGTGAAGAGCAGGAATTAAATGGAGATTCTCTCTATTCAGTTGATAATCAAGAAGAAGTTAGAGATCTTTTTTATTTTTCTGATATCTGATAAAAGATGCAATTATTCATGTAACTTTCATGCGAATTGCATAGCTAAAATCTATCTTCAGTGTAGTTTATTATTACTTTTTTATTTTCTTCGACCTATTTGACTGGTTACTTCTTCATATCTTCTTTGCAGATGGTAACCGGTTTAATGTTTTCTTAAAGAATCTTTGATAGCCCATCTTTATTTTATGTAATTGATACTGGTTTTAATGTATTTTGTATGACATGTTTCATATTTTTTTCTTAAGTTATACCGTTTATGTAAAACTTCAGATAGTCTTCGAAACTCCAGTATTTGGAATTAAATGTCGGCTGGAAGAAATACGTCCTATTGGGAAAGGTTTGGATATACAAACAGGTGCTTGGTCGCGTAAAGCGCTCAAATTAATCAATAGTGTTGTTCCTTTAAATAAAAAATTCAAAGCAATAATTGGTCCACCTGATTCGCTTGGTATCCATCCAGTTCGAGTAATGCTTAATTTAAATTTGTCATTGAGTCATTCAAACTCAAGATTTTCGTGAATTCTTGAAGTGTTATGATTTTTGTAGGTCTTTTTTACTTTCAGTCAGGATTGTTAATAGCACTGATAGCAATGCTTGAAGTGTTAAGCCTTCGTATTTCACTGCCACAGAGTTAAAGATCCATTTTATATTCAACATGGGCAAATGTAAATAGGCTGCCATGAAAAAGAACATATATATATATATATATATATATATATATATATATATATATATATATATATATATATATATGATAAGACTAATCGTGCTTCTCTATTGTATTTTGGTGGTGCGAAAAGCATGTTTCAGGTTGTTGAAGGAACATTATTGCGTAATGATTTGGCAACGACTTTGGTACTAAATAATTTGGCCATGTATACACGCTGTAATTATTATTCTTCAGCTATAAATTTATCGACAGTAGAAAATCTTGAGGTGCAATATCTTAACGTTGAGGACGGCATTATATATGGGATTCCGAGTATTTTTAAAATTTGGCTTCAAGACTGCCAAAATCACTTGGAAAAGGTGTTTATGCCTTCTTGTTTTGAATTATTTTCATAAAAAATCTATTACCATCGATGAAAAATAATGTGGATGCCGATATGCTTTGTTTGTTTCATACTTCAGTGGAAAGTTTTTTTGACCGAAGGTGCATAGGCAAAGACGCTTCATAAAATTAACTATTCAGGTTTGACATTAAGTAAGTTTTATAAATGGTGAGCAGTGTAATAAATAAATATTGTCTTTTATAGAATTGCTTTCTTTAACAAGCTCGATTTTTTTTTTCCTTTTTATTTATTTTGATATTTCATACCCTCGGGACGGGTAATATTTTTCGTACTGTTGCAAGTCTGAAAATAATTTCCTAGCCTTCTTGTTTTATTTTAAGGTATGGATATATGAAGTGAAGAAGACATATAAGGAGGATACAAGAGGTATTATTCTATATAAAAATAAGTACCGCCGTGTCATCAGACTGCATGAGGAAAACAAGAGTTTAAGAGAAGCAAAAGTATGTTTAACTATCAATATAATTGTTCATTTGGAACCTTGATCAATCCTTAGAAGACAATTTTCATCTTTTTCATCTTTGCTTACACTTTCCATACACATGCTGTTGTCCGAAAAAGTAATTTGAAGTTTGTCTTTATTCCATTTATTATATAGTAACTCTTCCCTTACTTTTTTGTTGTATGTTTTGAAAATTTTAGAGATGATGTGGTCATTTCTCTAAATATGTTTGATTGTCTGAAAATTCAGGTGAAAGGATGGCTTAAGATATTTCTAAAAATGTGATCATATTGATTGCATTTCATCAAGTGCAGCAGTAATTCTACTGCTTTTCTGATTTCAGAAAAGGTATTTTCTTATCGATGAAGGAAGAACTGTCGAATTTCATGGGAATTCTGAAATGTCCTCCATTATAAGTTTCTCGGCACTGGAAGGTTATTTTTTCCTAGTTGGTTATTGATTTAAAATACCTATTCCAGTATTTTTAGTTGAAATCTCATTTTGTTCTATTATGTAATTATGTCTATTACTTAACATATTATTTTGTGATAATACGACATTAAATCGAAAACAATATGAAATAGTTTACCAGTGGATATTTGAAAATATCACATATACTGTTTTAGATCCACATGCTGCATTTTTCTTGCGTACATGTCCTGCACTTGCTGTTGGTTTCATTTTAAGGGGCAAGAAGTTAGAAAGCAAGCATGAAAAACTGTTGAAAAATATTTGTTGTGAAAAAGAGAATGTGCACTTAAATGTAGGTATTGTCGACAGAAAGAAAGTAAGATATTTTATGATAAACATGTACCCTTAAACTCTTTTAATCATTTCGTTTTATAAAATCTATGACTGATTATCAATGCTAATTTCATTTTTTTTTTTGTTTTTTGTTAAATTATTACGCTTTCGGCAAATGTAAAATCTTGGTCGTTTGGATTAAGCAAATATTCCATTCATGAAGATTGAACCATTAAGAACATTTTTTGTCACTGTTGATTTATTAGTTTATTTTTAAGAATGATCTTTACTCTATTGGTGACGTTACATTCACTGATGGTTCATCTTTGGTAAATTTACTGGACGATAGCGCTGAAGTATTCTCAGCGAATGAATTTTCACCGACCAATAAATTTCTGTTACTCGATCAAGATAATTTATGGGTCTTTTTTTATTATTTATGAAAATTTGTTATTGATATGAACAAGAATCATTTCGTACAATTGGGACTTTCTGGTCATTTTTGAACAAGGAGTCATTTTATGCAACATTATATTATTATGGATAAATTTAGGGTATTAAGGGGCTTTTATTCAAATTATAAGAGCAAGTTATTGGTCTTTTCAAACTGCTACATTTTATTGCATATTAGTTTAACAGTGTCGAGTTTTTCATGTTCGTTTGTTTGACGCTTAAAGTTTTTGCTAGTTTTAGAAATATGTTTGCAGAGGAATGATGATCAATGCAAAAATGACACCAGCTTCTGCTGTGAAGATTTTTTTAGCAATGTTGATCTCTTCAAAGAATATTAAATTGCTGAAAGGGAAGTAGACGATGGTAAGCACATCCAATAATGCTTATTCTTTGAACTTCGTCTACAAAATGTTGCTATCATCCAGGTTTTACTGTTGAATGAAACATTCTGTAGATGCATTTGTAGCAAATTAAAGGTTAACAAAAACCGTCTTTTCCTTAGCAAAATTTCAGAATTCACCGATCTCACATCCATAATGCTTTTTCCTGTCATTTTATATTTCAGTTCTGCTTTATGTGTCGGATCATTAAAAAATTCATTGAGAAAAGTGGAACGAAGGATCTTGTTGAAGTTTTTTGCTCTATCTGCATGTTGGAGTTTTTTTTTTAGTAGTGCTATGAGAGGATTTTACTTTTTTTAAATAAAATTTTTTATTTTTAGATGATTTAAATATATTTTCGAACATGATTCCTGTAATTCAGTTTTAAAGAGTGTTGCATCATACATGAGTGGAGAACGTTTTTGTTTTTATTCTAAAAGGTCCTACAAAATAATTTATTTTTTCATGCACTTTTTTCTTTGACTTTTCAAAAGAATATTAACTTTATACATTTCAGCGCATTTGTTTCTGATGTTTAATTTATAATACAAAAGTATAACTTTGTTAAATATTTCTGGTATATTTTGAAGGTTTTTCTTGAAACTATGTTAGGTCAGCAAATTTAAATCATTGGTTCTTTTCTAAATGGATAATTTTTTCTTCTTTTTTTTGAGAATTCCATGTATCTTTTGCTCACTTTATGTGTCAGTAGATTTAGTTAATTTTTGACTTGTGTAAAATTTAATTTCTCAAATTCAAACTTTAAATTTTATATCTGTTAGTTTTTATAAAACTTTTAGAACTTTTAGAGACTTTGATGAATTGTTGTAGTACTTGAAAACTCTTTATTGTTAAATCGTGTCTGTGTTAAATCAAATTATGATTGTAATAATCGTAATTTCATCAATCTGTTATCTGTTTGCATTGTTTTTAGTCCTTTCTTGTGATTTTCATTACCATTATTTTTTTGCGAATAAATTTTTATAGTTAACTTTCAAATTTTAATTGAAAAATCCTATTTTATTATATTTACAGCAATGTTGTAAATACTGTTTGCTGAAATATTTTATACTATGTTTTATACTAAATAGTTCATTGGCTCGACAACAGTTTTCCACAAATAAGCATTGCGATCCGTGTCCTCAACTCCTTGTAGCTCTTGCTACATTGCTATGAATGACCGCAGTAGGTGAAAGGCAACAGCTTTCAACAAAATTGGTTGAACATATTTAAAATTTACTCTTTATATCAGTAATAATTTATAAGGACGGAAATTTTTGCTATGGAGATAGTGTAAAATAATTTCTCAAAAGAAAAGAAATTACTTCAAGAAAAAAATTACGCTATAGCATTGTGGTGACGACTATTTCATATTTTAATCTTTTGTATAATTAAATCAGCTTAATTGTGTTTTCGTTTTGCACTTGTCAGGTGATTTCTAATTTGTAAAGTATAGAAATTGAAGTGTAAAAATTCAGTCATGTACGATGAAGTTAATGACGATCAAAACAGGGCATGTTGGTTTTGGGTCACTCAATTCGCATGTTTGTGTGGTTAGCAATAATAAGCTTTGATTGGTGTCCAATTAACTGGACAGTTTTGGAACAGAATATCGTATGGTAGGAGTCTCTCCCTTAGCTGTGCTTCAATTTTGCAGTGTTTCGCACTGCTCTGCAAATTGTTACTGCTATTGCTGTTACGCAACATCATTAAATAGATGAATTTATTGCAGCATTAACCAGAGAAATTCATTAATCCAATCAGAAAGGAAGAAATTGCTATAATAACGAGTTTTTGTAACAAATGAGCTAGGTGAGAGGGCTATTTCACAGGAGGATTTGGAATGGCTTCTGGTTGCTTGAGTTGAAGTTCTGAAAGATTTATTATTCGATGGGGTTTCCATTATGCTTTTGATTGACTTCGATATTGACCTTGATGCTAAGTCAGCTTTAACACTAGATGGAAAAATGAAGGAAAAACACCACTGATAAAGGGAAAAGAGCTCTGTAATACAAAACATTATGCTTTTTGGTGTTGTCAATCCTTCCTTAATCAGTTGAAGGGTGGAATACTCAATGTTGTAGTGAACTCTTCTTCATAAATCGATGTAATTTTTTATGACTTTATTATGTTAACCACGAGGATATCAAGAGGCTAGTAAGATTGGTATTAAAAAATTACTTGTCATTAGTCCTCAAATTATATTTTAATATTATTGTAGAATACAGACAATGAAGGAATTGATCGATTGACTTTTTGCTTGTAATAAATTTATTTGCCTACTCAATTTCCGAATGCATTTAGCAGATCCAGGTTGTTCTAATAATGCTTTGTTATTATGTCTGATAATTTTGCAATATTAATCTCACTGCCTCAGTGCTGTACAAATTCTGATCGGTATAGCAAGACATCATTAAATTGTTTCGTTCTAAATGATACATACAAAAATAGCTGCAAAGGACAAATGTCGTTGGTATTGTTCATACGTACAGATTTTATTTTAAAAAATTTTTTAAACTGTTTGAAGTATTAAAGCGTTGAAGTATCAAAGGCTAAAACATAACTACTACATTTTATTATATTCTATCAAATTCTCCAAACATTTACATACTTTGTATGAATTAAGTTCAAAAAAAATCGACACCATGCATTTTTGGATATGCCGAAAGTTTTAAACTTGAAATACACATCTTTTTTTCGAATACATGAGAAATATGAGACAGGAAATTTCGTTCCTTCCTAGTCATTAGTATAACATCATTTCAAATAGTATAACATCATTTCAAAGTTTTTTGTTAATTTAAGTAATTCAAATTATCGTTCATTTGAATCTGTATTATCCTCCTTTGTGATATTGTCTCCTTTGCTAATGCAGCCATCACCTTGTTTTCGGACAATCTTTTTATGTTTCATACGCCGATTTTGGAACCATGTCTTCACCTGTGTAGAAAATTCCTATTTAGTTTTTTCATATACATTTATTTCTATCCATCCCTTATAATCATTGTTAAATTTGGTTGAATTTTTTTGCAATAAGCATCTTTCACTATTTCTAGAATCATACCTGTGTTTCACTCAAATTCAAAATAGTAGCAAGTTCGATACGTTCTGGTGTTGACAGGTATCGTTGTGTTTCAAACCTTTTCTCGAGGCCCTGTAGCTGCTGATCCGAAAATACGGTACGTGCTTTCCTACGCCGGTATGATTTACTGGCTGATACCAACTGCAAGGCATCAGTACTAGCTGAAGCTGCCCATAAGTGAGGGAATACTGCCGCTAAAATGTTTTAAAGCAAAATTGTAAATCCATTTATGAATTAGGAATTTTTTTTCCTGATTCGCTATGGAAGAGTTTTTGGGGTTAAAAATTGTTCCAGCAATATTGCTGGTTGAAATGTGTCTATCTCTTCTAGTTTTAGCAAAGAAACAGATATAGTATTCGATGACTGATTCATATGGGATTATAAATGATATATTGAAGAGAGTAAAATAATGAAATTATACAGCTGCATAAAAGATAGGAGAATAAAAAGATCGGTGAAAATTTATTGTCATCACTTAATGATCAAATTCACCTGTATCGTCAAAGAATTAATTAAGTTCAAATAAATGATTTGAAATGCTGCTATGAACTTCTCGACAAAAAAATTAACTAACTTCTCAATTAATTTCAATTCAAACTTTCTTATATCAAAGTGACAGGGGTTATTAAACAAATGTCGCTTCTTCACTGATTTGTTCGCTATTAAAAATTTAGAACTGTGCAAACTGACAGATTAGTTTTGAATTCTTTAATTTAGGATAATCTTTTAAAAGTTAATATAGTGAAAAAGATCGGTCGCAGAAAGAGGAACTAACCAGATCTTTGGGCCATCAAGAAACTTTGCTCAAAGGGAAGTACAGCAGCTGTTGCAGCAGCACAATTCAACCACAACGGTATCGTTGTTTCGCGACATGTCAACACTGATTTTTCATCAAAATGTGACCCAGCAGTACTATCAGTACCGGATTTTCGATCCACAAAGGGATCTGGTTGCTTCAGTAAATCAATCGCTGCAGTAGTGGAATTCAAGGATAATGAGAAATGAGGTTGTACACAAGTACCACTGGTTTGTAGGGCAGTAAGTAAGTGATCACTATCAGATGCTGCCGGATTTGAATCAGACCTTGAAACTGTTTTTGATTCTCTCTCAGGAATTTGTTTACTGAATGTTCTGGGATTTTCTTCATCTGTTCGTGAACTATTTTTGGAATCAGTGCCCGATTCCAGAGATGAAAATGGTGACTGTCGGAGCAAGTGACTGATGGAGAAATAGTTGACAGCACCCGTACTCGGACTAGGAGCACTCGTTGGCTCTGCCATGTACATATTTGGAGTTCCTATACTGCGGGTAATCCCAACACATCATCCCATTCGTCACAGCTCGTTTTACCGTAACCATCTCAAATTTAATGCTGGAAGGGGCGGGCGGTTCCATCAAGCACTCAGTGTGATAGACAGGATTGAAAGGGTTAAATGCTCATGACATAGGATAGATAGATAGATAGATAGATAGCTGATCGGATTGTTCATAATTTGTTTTCCTTTCTCTCTCGCTCTTCCTCTCTCTCTCTTTCTCTCTCTGCAGCTTGGTCTTGTTAGATGAGGCACAAGTCGGATGATGTATTGGCCGGTTCCAGAACAGAATAGAGTTACGTCTTTCGGCAACAGGGACGTGCACGTATAATCATCGTGACCTTACCTAATTTTATTAGTAGTAATCAAATATGCAAATTAAAATCATCAAAAAATAATAATTCGTTATGTATATCTATGGATGATTTATATGAGTCCTACGGTGAAATGAAATCAAAAATTACATACTCTTTCCTTCCAGATTCTTTTAAATTTTGTATTTTCTTATATTTCAATTAAACTTAAGCAATCTTCTTCAATCTTGACTTCATTTCGAGCCAATAATGCGATTGTTATAATTAATTACTGCTCTCTGCTCGTTTATCAAAGAAAACTCCCAACTTTTGATTTCCAAGAAGCAACTTTCCTCTTTGTGAACTCAGATTTGGACTTATCTTCATCCCATTTCATTGAGGTTTTAATATTCAAGTTAATCGAGAATTGAAGAACTTCTCAGCAAAAAGGAGCACAATTTCCTTCCATGACATCCCTTTCGTTCTCAGTATCGTAATTTACACCTTCATTTGAACATCTAAGGGTACTGCAAGGAGCATATAATAGCACAGAGATCGTTCCCTAACAACAGATCAGTAATAGCTGCTCTGGGCATCACAGCTAATGGGCAAACTAATTAAGTTTCCCATCTCGAGCTCTATCCGCTCCCTCTTTCTTCTCTCCTTTTAAGATCTTTTATACAAAATGCAATAACTTTATTTTGAGCAGAAGATGAGAAGGGAAAAAGGCAATTACTGCTTTAAAGGCTCAATCTTGTCGAATTAGTTGCAAACTTACTAATGCAACGCTTCTTCAAGCCTTTTCACTTCTCATCTGCTTATTAATGCTGATATAATAGAAAAAAAGCCTTAGCTGTGCATGCAATAAGTATCAAACAGTAATATTGAAGTGATAAAGTCACTTCCACTATTGAACTACGACAACAAATAATGGAACTATGATAATACTGTCAAATATTGTAATCAATACAATGAAATAGATAGTAATCAGTATGTATGAAAAGAAATATTCTAATTTAGTACAGAATCAAAAAAGCATTTTGTGACGAGTAATGCGTAAAACTGTCGCATAACGACAGCTGTTACAATGAAAGCAATGGTAGTTCAGTGATACTATACTAATGATGATATCAACGTCGTATGACACCTATGAGTGCTAAATTAAAGAGAATTTGTCTTCTGTCCTCCAGTTGAACATCTTCAGTATGATTCATTTCCTTCTAGTAACCTCTATTATAGTATCTCTTGTCAATCTTCAAATACCTTATAATATCTTATTTGTATCCAACAAGTTTCATCAGCATCAAAAAAACTTATTGTAAGATCATTGTGATGTGAATGGTTCGAATCACATGCTATCCATGTTGGCAATTATTTATATTCTTGCTTATTGCACTGCGTGCCATCAGTTTTATGCATATTGATAAATAATGATATTATAATAGATGACAATGACACTGCTCTATATATAGACGGATGATTAGGGATTGTCCCCTAAATTAATTTATGAGAAGTGACTTGTTAATGTGATAAATTAGTGGAAAAATTGATTTGATCAACAATCAATTACCTCGTAAATTTTTGAAAATTTCTTAATTTTGAGAAAGATAACGAAGCAAAAATCTTTCTTGATTAATACTAATATACGAATACAGCAGTTGATTAATGTTTCTTATGGATCGAAATCATTAATAACTAATAGGATAATTGAATTTTTTTTTGCTAAATAGATAACTTGAAAAGTTATGTCTCAAAGATTTCGTCGAATTTACGGTTACTTTTTTGAAAGTAACTCATAAGCTAGGAATCAAATTTTAGTAAAAAATCGAGGAAAAAGTCATGCATTGCAATTAGTGTAGTGGCATTTATATTAACAAGACAATTAATTGGTTGGTTTGTTGTGAGCGGTTAATTTAAGCAGTGGTGTGGCGCCGTTATTGGAAACCGTTGCTGTCTGGACCGGTTACGAGCATTAATTGTTTCGGTTCTGAGATTTCCAAAGGATACTTAAGGTGTAGGAAATTACTTAATGCAGTAGAATACAATGGAACAAGATGGAATGTTTCTTGATATCAGTCATAGCAGGAGTTATCAATAAAAACTACAAAAACAGACAAATTAGTTAAAATTGCTTTTATTAAAATGATTTGATCTGTTTTATTGATATAGTAACAGCGAATTGATCAATTTTAGGGATTAACTATATTTTTTTTCATCTATATGTTGTGCTGACTGAAACTTTAACAATAAGAAAGAAATAAGACATGAGAAGCTTAAAACTAACGTACAAAATTAAATTAAAGTACAAAATACAAAATTTTAAAAAAGTGTAGGAAACTAGGAAAAATACTAGGAAAAAACTATTAAAGAAGAAAAAATAATTATAGAAGCTCGAAAGCTTCTATAGATGATGAAAATATCATATACGATTTAATGGGGCAAACTGGACTGAAACGTTTAAGCAGTGAGAATAAGGGATACACATTCGAATAAATTGAAATACAAATTATGTAAATAGGAAACGGAGAGATAAATTAATTAGTAATACTCATATTTTGAAGTATACTGTTCTGTAATCATCAACACCTCTAATATTCCTTTTTGACAATACCAATCTAAAAAAGAATAAAAACCAAGAGGATATGAAAATCAACTAATTAACATTAGAAAGAGTTTTGTGTGCCAAATGGTGCAAGTTGATACTGTAATTACGGACCACTGTGCAAATAGACATAAACACAACAAATTATGTCTCCAATGTATTGCGTACAAATTGACCTCCTCGCCCCCATCACAGCATATTAGTCACACGAGAAAATCTGTTCTTTTTGATAGTTCCGGAAAATCGCAAAGAACTCGAAATACTTAGTTAAAATCTCGAAGTTTAATAAAATTGCAATATTTTAGAAATATTCAATCAGAAGTTTATCAATATTCGAGGTACAAGGCATTTCCTGTAAAATTCCGTTCCTTTCACATGTTTCAAGCTGTTTACTCAATTATCCACAAATGACTGTTTCTAACATAATAAACAGAAGCAAATGTTAATTCATCGAATCAGGTATTCCCTTACTTTGCTAGGTAAATTAAATACGAATTACTACAGTAGTTCCGCCTTACATAAGCCATTACTTCACTTTTTCTTATATGGTAGATAAAACGAAAAGTGCTGTAACTGTATTTAAATATGAAGCTATCGCTTAATGCAATGAAAGCACATATCTCCAAAAATAGCGCTTGAACGATTAAGAGCACTTACAAATATAGGTTGAATGTATATTAATCAGGTCGTTTAAAGCCGTCTTGATGATAAAAGCGTTAAGCCACTTCAAATGGATTACCTCTTCTATCACTACAGTCTTCAAAAGGCGGCTCAGTGAAAGGACGCACATTAATTAAGTGCATTTCGACAATATGCAATACCAATGCATAACATACAACACAAATGCACATTACTGAAATCTGTAAAAATCAACGAGAAACCCCTTTATCCCATTTTCAGAGTAGATCGATTAAGAACAGTAAGTATATTTAGCATTGTTTTACAAATTAAGATTTGAATAAAATCAATGAGGATGGAAATATCACACGTCATATATCATTTTATGTTCCATTTAAAGATAACAACCATTTTTTGGATCCTTAATATTCGCTTGACTCTGCTCTGCTCTTACGTATAAAACCTAAAAATAAGCTCAGAATATCTCCAACTACAGAATTTCAGTTGAAAAATAGACGCACAACTTGCAGATTTCAAACATTAAGTGACAGCTTCTCTACTCCGTTACAGACAAAAACGATTTCTTCGACAACAGGCTAAAATATATTAAAATAGAGACAAGGTTTGGAATTTCAGATTATAGTGATGGAATTGTTTATGACAAAAGATGATTGTAAAATTTGACTATAGAAACTGTAAAATCAATAAAAATTAATCCGTTATAAAAATGTTACTTGCCAAAAAAACTACAAATAGGACAAACAACGTCCGAAAAAAAATTTCCAATCATATATTTTCTTCTTTTTGCATTCCCCAAAGAAATATATTTGTTGTTGATGAAGACAGCAATATTGGCTTCTTTGGATGTGAGCTAACCGAGTGCACTACAGAACTTGGATGCGGCAACTTATGTAATATCTTCATCTGAAATAGTTTTTAAATCTTTCATGTAAAAAAAAAAAGAAAAAAAAAACAGTAAATACTTTCTTCCTTTTACATTAAAAACACCAATAAAATCTGCAATTTTAAAAAATTCAGCTTTGATAAACCACTTTTTAACTTTTCCATAAAGTAAAGATATTCCTATTTTAAAAAAATAAAAGAAGCTTTCTTTTCCAAACAATAAAAAAGCGAAGAAATGCTGGGACGGAACATATAGTTTAGTCCAATTACCTCGATTAAACTCCAGATGTACAAATGAGCATCTTCAGAACCGCTCACAACATGCGCATCAGTTGCAAGTAGACAGCTTTCCACACGATATTCAGTATTTGCATGACCTGTATAGCTGAAATTCCAATCGTAAAAGTATATTTATTGAAAATCAGGATGTAAATAGAAGATTAGTTGGGGTTTAATTTTCCACATCGAAAATTCAGCGAAAATACAGAGCTATATCAAAAAGAAGACAAACAATGTTACTGATGATTTAAGTGAAAGCAATTAAAAAGACGATTGCAAAAACCTTCAAAAAAATAAATAAATGGGAAATGGAAACAAACTCTGCTAGTAGTTGTCCATTCATTTTATCAATCAGCCGAATGAAGCCATCTTTAGTGGACGCAAGTAAACATTGACCATCTGCCGAGAAATGCAACGATGTAACACTATCGCCGAGGAAGTCTGTTGATGAAGTCAATTTAGCGCTTTCCAACAAATAACTTAATCAGTGTTTCGGAGCACATCCCATATGTATTAAATAAAAAATTCACTCCTATCTCCTAAAAGTCCTAATTTTGCATCGAACAGAAGTATCATGCAATGCATTTTTGTAAAAAACTTTTCTGATCCATACAAAGTTTTCTGACTATGCAAAGAAATTTGAAACCTAGTATTTAACAGAAATTCAATGGTTATCACTTAAATTCCTGACTATTGAGGGAAAGAAAAAAAAAGACCTTAATAAATCATGTCGTAATCGAGCTCACATATAAACTTACCATCAGTTAGCTTTCCGTCCCGAATGCTATAGATACGAGCACTACCGTCAGCTGAACCCGAAGCAATCTCATGAGAATTAACATCAACTGTTAACACAGCATCAGTGGCTTCATCCATCTGCTGTAAAACCAAACATGAATTGATAACACTGATTTCTGAATTTATAGAAATAATTGAAAGTTGAAAGAATGGTTGAAACAATTGCAAGGATGAGAAAAATAATAAAGGAGTAGAAAATAACCTGTATCGGCGTATTTTTATCACGAATATCAAAACATCGCACGATGCCGTCTTGGCAAGCAGATATTGCCACCGTTGATTCTTCATTGAATGCCACACTGTTAACTTGACCTTTTTAGCAAAAAGAGGCATTAAACAGTTTTATTAAATTAACACATAATATTCGAAAGGAAACAAAAGTACCGTTGTGTCCTCGCCAGCGTCGTGTTATTTTCCCCGTCTCAACATCAAATACCGTTAATTGTTTATCCATGCCACCAACAAGTATCATCGAATTATCACTGGAACCTTGAGCATCTAGAACCTGCAACAATTGTAATAGTTTTAAAAAAAATAAAACAACCTATATGACAACTTATTCATAAACAGTATTACAGGACCATTCTAACTCTGATGATACGATTATTAACCAGGTCTGGCGTCTTCAGCATCGACGACTGATGTCTTGTCATAATTTACCCAACAAATAAAATCAAAAACAATGTAATCTATCCATAAAAAAACAATGTTAACCTCTTAACATTATTTAATTCACACAAACTAATTGAACTGACTAAAAGAAAAAAAAACAATCAGACAAAACAAACCTCCCAACCTGTTCCTGTATAAGTCTTTAGAAGTGTTCCTTTATACGGATTCCATAACTTCACCGACTTGTCTGCACCACACGACAAACAGTAGTTCCCATCCACTAAATTCGATCTAACATTGAAATTGATTTGAATCATTAAAATGGTTTAATTTCCAATCTACTGAACTTGATGGAATACAAAATGATGAAGGTCGAGGAACTTCATAAAGCCCCAAAGGGACACTTTTTAGATTAATTGATAAAATTATTATAACAAACCGTTAAATCTAACAGCTCTAACAGCACCCTGCTTACAATCGATCGTTCGAAGAAGTATCTTCGGAAGGTTCGTATCTGACAGATCCACCATCCTTTAAGCTTTCAGAATTAGATAAAAGTTTTATTAAAATGCACTAGTTACTAATAAAATCAACAAGTCTTAGAATATTTGATAAGAAAATTTTTGATGAAACATTTGATAAGAAATGTTTTCTATCATTTTCACAAGTGACGCAAATTCTGAAAGATATTTCACAGGAAACTGATGTGCTCGAGAAGAAAATAGTGCTTGAAAATATTTATGCGATGTTTCAACAATATAAAATATAGCAAAATAAAATGTAGAACAAAATTAGTTTCGTAAATCTAGTCGCTTCTGCTCACTTAACGCCCTTGATTCATGCACAAAAACAGCGAAATGAATACCCTAAAAACATATTTATGATAAAATAATAAAAATATTTACATCCAACTGATACCAGAATAATCGTCAGAGTTTCTCAAATCATAGATGCAAAAATAAGGAACAAAGAATAACTAATTTTGAAATGTTCGACATATAAAATTAGTAAACTGCAAGTAAAGGCGAAGTCAGTTATAAATAGTTATAATAATGATAAAAATCAGTTATCTCTTAGTATTATATACCAAACATCTATGCAGACCATGGATGCAATAAAACTCTTTCAGATATGAAAGTAAAACCTGATGAGCAGCTGCATAAACAAAGTGACGATTGGCTGTAACTGTAACTGCTTTGTAATAATCACCAGAACCAAATATTATCTGAAAATGAACTAAGGAATAGATTATCTTAGTAATACGACTTATAAATCATTAACAATCCTAATCAAACCGCTATGGCTCAATGACTATAAAAGCGTACAATCTCATAATGAAAGTCTAAAATATCTAAATACATAAATGTATACAAACAACAATTAAATCTGCAAATCTTTGAATATTTCTAAACAATTTCAAAGAGTCAATAATGTGAATCTTTACCTTAGATCTTTGACTGATTCTATCACTCAATTTTAATTTGGCCGCTCGTTCTGACAGCTTGTCTTCTACTATTTCAACTTTCCCGAATAACTTTTTAGCACGCATTGTCTCCTTCGGTCCTGCCACTGTGCTTAAAATTGATTGCACAGCATCGTATGCTGTTCTGCAAATTATCAGCTTTGCACCTGAAAAAATATTCTAAGAAAAATTAAGTATCCAAGAAACTTTACATCAAAATTAAATCTAATCTTTTGTAACCTTGGAAAGATTTTTTGTCATTATTCACTAAATTGATAACATCCGCATTTTTGTCAATTATAAAATTATCGGAATTAAAATATATGGGACTTCATCAAATAAGATTAAAAGAAATTACTGTGTTCCTCGACCAAACTACTGAACCATTTTCAAAGCAAACGTTTATAATGATGATGAATATAAATACTATAGAGAGACCTTTAATAGCTTTCAGTAGTGGAGGCAAGGCAGGTTTCTTCCTTTCCAAAGCAGCTTGAGCATTTAATAGCCGACTGGCATAATTATAATTAGCACCATTTTTATGTGTTAACGACGAAATAAGAGCAAATACAGTACTAATATCAAGATTTACGGTATGTACAATGCAGTCGTTTACATTTAAGCATTTGTCTTCCGGGAAAGATGATGGACAGTCGTAAATATCATCACTATCATATGCAGAAAAATCAGTTGGTAGTTTCACGAATGCATTAATATCCATCTAAATCAGCAAGATGAACTGAAAGCTTAAATCTACGGAAATTTTCAAAAGTCCTCCACAAATACCTCCGACTGAGTAACACTAAAATATTTCAATTCGCACAGATAATTGTTTGTCGATAGGTTAGTAAAAAGCGAAATGAAATGTTTAAGCAGTTTCCATCATGCTACATTTTTAATGTTGATTTGATTTCGAAAAAATCACTGGATAGCATATGCAAGGAGCGAAACAAACTTTACAAAGTTTCGTTGTGAAATAAAAAGAAGGCAAAAAATAGAACTAACGCATCTTTACAAATGAAAGAATTGATGAAATAGTCATCGATGACATTCCTTAACTACTATTATGAAATTGATGTACTTACCGTATCTCCAATAACTTCAATCCCAAATGATTCAAGTTTATGCTGCAACAAATCTGGAACGCCACGCACAAATTCAAATATTATTTTTGGTATTTTGAAGAAATAAGGATGAATCTGAGCCATCTAAATATATTTCATAAGAAAATGAAAAATTTAATCCAGTGTTTCCACATATTTTGTATATAATATTAACGAGAAAATCTCTGACCTCAATGTAATCTTGTGCCTGCTCCATGACAGATCGATTAGCACTTCCACCGGCACCAATAAAATCCATAGCAAGACCTCGAACATTTCTAGATACCACTTTTACCTTTAATTAAAAAGTCCTATGTAAAGATGCTTAGAGAGAAAATTTTGAAACGAAAGAGAATTTCGTATTTTTCTCATCGAGGAAAATACGAAATTCGACTATCAAAAGCATGTTACAAAAAATCACCCATTTAGCACCTCCATCCACTACCAAATCAACTTCTCGCTTTAATTTCCTGAAGAATATATTCAGATACATTCTGTATGTTTCGCAACCATGGACAAATCAAGTTTTGCATAGTCAGATCCATGAAAAAGAATTCTAGAAAGATGAAACCATTCTTTTAACAAACTTAAATTATTCTGGTGTCTTCGCAAGTAAGAAGAGAACCTGTGAAAAAAATAACACTTAATTCGATCAGACTTCCTTATCTGACACAATTCAACTCAACCACATGTCGTACTTCACTTGTTCAGATAGTGGACGGAAATTCGGAATAAGATACCTCTGCGGTACTGCGAAACTTTTATAAAAGGCACAACAAGAATGCTTCTTCGCTACATTGAGCAAGCCTTGAAGATGCGTTATATTGCTAGTTTCCAAATACTTCTTCAACTTACTGATCGGTAGGTCTTTTAACTGTAAAGATATATTAAAAAGTTGGAATAAGATATGAAATTAAGTAACTCGTACTCATTTAGGAATACAATTATTGATATGGACAACTTACAGCAGTCAAAAATTTCATCTCAGTTTTTAACTTTTTTTTATATTTGTCAATGCCTTCCATATCACTAAAAGAAATGTCAGCCTCAAGTAGCAATGACTCAACATCGTGAATTTTATTCCTCCAAATTTGTTTGAGATCTTCTGCAGTACTAGACGACTCGAAAAACATTGGCCTAAAATAATGATATGAAGAGTGTCCTGCAGCTTATTTCATCTCCATTATTTACTTCTCTATTTAGTCCTTGCAACAACACAGAAAACTTCAAGCACCTATGTTGAATTTAAGGCAAAACTATATTGTAAATTTTCTTAAAAAATGAGATATCACTTCAAAACGATGATTCTGCCGACTTATTAGCTGATCCCTTTAGTACTCTTGACCATCCAAGTTCTTTCAAATGTTTAATGGTTATAGAACGGTCCAGCCAAAATGGTCACTTTAAGAGGAACAGTTTTGATAACTATTCGTAATTTATTACCATCTTCTGGGTGACGATCACGCTCCTCACCTTTAAACCTCCCGTTTCCTTGCAGAACTGCTAATATTAGTTACTATATATAAAAAAAATAAAAAAATATATAATATATAGAAAAAATATACAAAAAAGTTTTAAAAAAATATGTCCAATATATAAAAAAAAGTAGTCATGAGCAGATATAAAGCGATAAATAGGCATTAAAACGATGTGTAACATAACCAAATTTATTTACGAATAGGTCACACCAATAACAATAAACAAATTCGAATAAATTCGTAAGCCGCAACTAGCTTTCATGAGGTTCATCATCTGTTCAAATTTAATTTTAACCAATGTAATAATACAAACAAAGTCAATATATAGTGCCAAATCAGACACATAGATGGGATTAATTACTAACAGGGTAACAACTATATAGTAACTGTACATAACGTTACAAAACCCATCGAAATCATGAGCAGTATATTTCAAATTAAAATTTACCAATAAAAAAGACCTAGGTCTACATGAAAACTTATTCCAAGACTATAATCATATACAATGTGAGATCAAACTTATTGAAGATGTTATCAAAATTGTATGCTGCATAAAAAGATTTATTGAAAATAGTTGCTGAAATAAGAATTTCGAAACACATGACACCAACAGCCTTTGTTCATAAAATGATAAACAAGAAAAAGATTAAAGCAACAGTACTTATCAAAATGATTATAAGTACATAAATGACATTATATCACCTCCACATCTTGCAAAATCACATGATAATTAGTTCGTGAAACTGCTTGAAATACCAGAGATCGTATGTCTTCGATATGATACTGTAAAAAACACATTACATCTGAAGTTTTTCGATTACAAACAGTTATATCTATACGAAATTGACACATAAAGCTCAAAATGCAAAATTACAATCGCTGAAAATCGTAAAATACCCGAGATTGCTGTTCAGAAGCAAAAAGCGTATATGCATTGGTCCACTATAACCAACACTTTTATTAATACTGAATGCTCCCACAATCACATTACATTGGTGAAATGGTCATTCAACTATCTATTGTACTGACTACCTATTGTACAATAAGGCAATAAATAAACAGAACATATAAACGCCATGAACATACTTTTGCAGTAACAATACTAGCAGGATAAAATCTGTAGCTGCCTCCGGATTTGCATTTACAATTCTGAACTGCTTTTTGCATCATTACACGCAGTAACTCTGGCAAAGAACTCGTACTTATTCTGTAAAATTTTGGTAGAAGTATGGAGATTTTTACATATCGCATAAAATAACACACAATTTAGAAGTATAGAAACCGTTCTTTATTCAAACACAAATCTGTAAAAAGACTCAACCTTTTAAAAATCTTTTCCCACTCTCCTACTTTGTTATCTATGCTTATATGAACAGAATATTCTGATAAAGTAGATAATTTTCAGATGAAGTGCTAACCTATAATTTAAAACAGTAGCAGCAGCATATTCGAACAGTGTGCCAACCTTAACCACCGGACCGACCGTTTCAACTAGCTGATCAAAAATATCTTGTAGTTTTAGTTTTTCGTCATTGTTGTAAGCAGTCACATCAATCATATCAAGTGAGAGATCCTTTATTTCAGAGGGTAAGAATTTTAATTTGTTCCAGCTAATATCCAAATATTTCAACTTTACCAGTTTGTTTATCTAAAAGAAAAATCAATAAAAATTTTAATTCGAGTTAAATTATATTCTCTTAAATACAATACACATACATATCAAATTTTCTCACTCGATATAACTGCTTGAACAACATAATAGAACCGATTTCGACTTTTTAATTAATTTAATGTTTCAATTAACTCAATAAACCAACAGAACCTTCAATCATGATTTGATGGAAGGCGATACAGCTAGAATTTCTACATTCTATTTCCCATTTCCAGATGTTTTGCAGTGATAAAAAGGGTATTCTCAAAAACCACCATTTCAGAAAAATCAACACAAGGCTGATTAATCTACTGTAATTTCTTGCCTGCCCAGTCAATGGTTAACTTTAAGAGACATACAGTTCGTGGTAATTCTTCAATCCTATTATAACTAAGCCATAAATGAGTCATTTGTGGGAACCGCATACAACACGGTGACAAATAGGAAATTTGGTTGCTTGACAAGTCCAGTGACAATAAATTCTGTGGTAAAGCATTCCACAAATCATCCTGTAAAGTTTTTCACTTAGAGTAAGAAAAAACTCTATCTGCAAAAAACTTTTGATGCAATTTGTGAGTGCGAAAGCTTAAATTCTGATAAATTCAGATTTTTTCATAGAAATATTAGGTTTTTGGTGATGAGAATACTGACTAAAACCCTACCATAAGATTATGAAACATAAGATTACCGAAATACACTGTATTTCATTGTCAGCAAGTGTAAGTACTTTAAGATGCTGCAACAGAACAATGTTAAGGAATTTGATTTCGAACGAATCTGATTTGCCAAGCTTATTGCCGCTGAGATCAAGTACATGAAGAGAAGTAGCTCCAAACCAACGATTGTCAACAGCAGTCAGACCAATTTTTGACATTATCAATTCCTGTAGTTAATATAATTCTGAATAATCTGAATATATATCTGAAATTTACAAAAATTCGCACTTTATAAGAAATAACAACTTACTAGTGAATATATCAAATCCTACAGTAGAAATAAGCAGCAGTATTGCTGTCCTACTTTTAAGAAGTTCAGAAATAACATCTTACTTGTAAGTAAGGCGGAAATCCCAGTTTATTTTCGTTGTATTGTTTCTTGCTAGTAATAGTTAGTTTTTTTCGAAGTAAGGCGAAACTGGTGGATGTAACCTTTTCGTTTTCATCCAGAACAACTTCTTCACCTGCTACTATCTTCTGCAGCTTTGAAATGAAATTATGAAGTAAAAGAATTGGTGCCTGAAAAACATTAATCAGGTGATTTTTTTCACATTTGATACAGTTTAAATTGTCGTACGGATTATTCAGTCATTCCCAATAATTATTTTGTTAATTCATACAAATTCCATATAATTTTCGGAAAGAAAACAAACAACAGTACATGATATTAAACTGTTAATTAATTCATTAGCTAATTATGGTAATTTAGAATTGTTCTAAGTGAAAAATTAAAAACTCTGGGAAATTTTTCTTTTTTTTTTTTTTTAGAATAATATTGTTCAGTGTACATAACACAACATAAAGTTAAACGTTAAAATAAAATCATTAAAGTTCATAAAAGTTCTGTTTTTATTTTTCACAAAAAACTGTCTTCTAAATTTGTTCTCTCTTATGATAAAAATAATCATAATTTCGATATGTTTCAACAAAAATGATATAATTGGAAATATCAACGAAACAACTGAGAATAAAAACGAAGTGTGCATATGTATCGATCAATATTTACCTCTTTTATACAAATCAAAACTGACGGAGAGTTCATTTCTATCGTAACAGATCCCCATTGTATTTTTGCAGAATGAATTCGCCTAACACTTCCTCTAGTTATCTGTAAAACGTTATCTGCAAAACATTAAATTGATATATACGGCATGTAAATCATATAAAACAGAAATCGAACAATAATTTAGAAAATTCACTGCAGAATAAGAATTTAACCATACTACTTACATTGAAAAGTCGTCCATTTTTGTCTCGAGGAGTAGTTATGATTAATTCACATCCACCTATTTTATTGACTTTCCCGCGTCTTAGAATCAAAATTCCTCTGCTGTACCGTGGTCGTAATTGAGACGTCAGCAGAGTGCGCGAATTAACTAATACGCTGCACTGCAATTGCATGTCCTGAGCAGCTAATACTAATTCCAATAATAACTTCTGAAATAAAGTTACACTGCAACTACGGGAAGAAATTTACATAAAGTAATTCAAGGAAGTAAATATTTCAAATAAATATGAAGACTCACTCCACTACAAAGCAAAACACCTATATAATTCTAACCTATCCCCACACCTAACTTTCAACTCTGCTCTCATAACTAAAAATAAAAACCTCACATTTGGATTCGACATAACATATATAGATAACACACACACACATATGTATAGATAAGTAAAACTCATAAAAATATAGATGTAAATATACGAACAAGATTAATTAGAAACTAAATTAGTATCGCTTTGCAAAAATTTGGGAAATTATTGCACTTTAGCTGTTCAATTGTCTGAAATTTTTTTAGAATTTCGTATTAAAACTGACGATTAAACTTTCCTGGCATTCCTCAAGCTCTACAACTTATTTGAAATCAAAAACCATAGAAAATCCTCAATCCAGTTTCAAACCAATTGGGAATAACCCAACTTTATTTGACATTTTCTCGGCTAACACGCAGAAAGCAACGTGTCAACCAGAATATAATCAGATATAATAGTACTCACGATCACAATATCACATAAAGCATTTGAGAAAATTCATAACGAATTTCCATTGAATTAGTAATACATCCCAAATTTATTTTGACCAGTTTCGTAACATAACCATAAATAAGGCTGTGCAGTCGAGTTGGAACCAACAAAATACAAATACTCATGATTACTGTCGATCTTAATTTCAAAGAATATATAAGAAACGTTTGAAACGATAGTGTTTTTTACCATCATCAAAGATAAGTACTCATTTCTGATAGCGATGGACACTATGTTATGTCACACATTTTAACACTGCCAACAGTGAACTTGGAATAAACAATGCCTCTGTTTGATAGATAAAGCAAATTGATGGATAAAAATTACATCTGATGCATTCCAAGGAAATTCCAAATGGCCTACAAATCACATGAGGTAAAAGAAATCTCATATTCACAACACCGAAAATATCATAAGATCCATTTTTTCCTCTTCCTGAATTTATCTAAAAAATGAGTCATTAACCAGCTGCGAGATATAATTACTGTAAAACAGATATGGGAAGTATCATTTTTCACTCTCTCCCATTTATACTCAGAAATTCATACAAGTGATATAAAATAGTATCTTATCAAAAAAAAAAAAAAAAAAGACTCTATACAGTGAATAATCGAAATTGAATAACTTAACACAAGTACAAAGATGAATTTTATTAGAAGGAGAAAGAAATTTCCAGTGATTATAGAAGTAATGTAAAATACACCAAAGAGGAAATCCTGAAATGATATAGAATGTATTAGACATGAAAGCTCCCCTAGCTATATTTTTAATTTAGTAGACTAATCAAAAAAAACTTCGAAATAATCCTACGATGTTTTCACCAAAGTTCTACTTGACAAAAATAGGTGACTTTGAATCATTCGAAATATTAAAAGAAATTAACAAATCATTTTCGAAAACGCCATCCTTCACCTAAATTCTTATTCAAAAGTGATTCTACTACTAGTACTTAGTCATTTATTAATCAGAATTAAATCTAAGTTTCATAATGATTAGAATTCGCAAGGATGAAAGATGATGGTCGCAAAACTTCAACACATAAAGTGAAATGTTATTTTTAAAAGTACCTAATGATGTTTAAACCAGAAGCTATTGAGATAAATTACTATGAAACTATGAAACAAAATCAACAAAAATACCAAAAAATGAAAATTATTTTTCACTTCTCTATTAAATTAAAAAATCCATAATTACAGTCATTGTGAACTATAACAACGCTGAAAGAGCTATTTTTTTCACAAATTGATTAATTTTCCGCGGCATTCGCTACAGTGTAAATTAGAACTGCAAGGTGCAAGTGTTCTTGTACGTTCCAGATCCTGGAAAAAATAATGAAAGCCAAGCCTTTTTTCTCAAATTTTTTTACTGAAGCGATATTTTTTTATATGAACAACTTTTTCAGCCTCTCCACAAATTTCCAAGTACTGTCATTTCGATCAGGCGACAATTTTTCTTATGAATTATCACCAACAGATTATCTTCAAAATGGTAATTATGAATCAATTCCAATTACCAAAAATAAACCAAAGTGGAGAAATTTCCTTTTTGCAATTATTTGCTGTTAATTTTGCGTGCATAAAAATTAAAATGTCACCTGCAGCTCTGATATCAAATTTAAAATCCTCTGCACACCAACATCATCATCAACATTGGATTCCAAATTTTCTTTCACTTTATTTCTAAGAGTGTCTGTAATGAAACATTCAAGATTCAGTTAAAATTAACAATTAACACTGAAATAAAGATACTTAGTTTTTTTTTTTTTTTTTTTTTTTTAAATAAAACGAAAATCTACTTACATCATTCCATTTGAAAAAAGTGAATTACAGCTTACCACCATCATACTTTCCACTATCAAACTCGCATGAAACATCAATGCAGGAATACGGACTGCTAGGAACTAGCAATTCTGAACCATCAACAACTGTTTCTTCATTATCAGAAAATTTGTCCTTAGTACTTTGACTATAATACAAAATAATATAAGAATGAAAACGTTAGTAATCATTAATAATACCAAAAAAGGAATAATATACCTGTACGGTCGCACACTGCGCGAACATTTCGATGAACCATTACAATTGCCTAATGTTTTTTTCTCATATCCATTAATATGCAACAATCTTTTCCTTGATAGTAAATTCATCAAAACTTTTTGCAGTTCGTTTAACTTTTGCTGAAAAAATTGGAACTAATCGTTTAAAAAAATAAATATTAAATGCTTAAAAGTTACCACATATTAAAAAGTTTTAGCATAAAAACAAAGCATTAAATTAAGCATAACCAAAGGTTAGTTATGTCGGACTGCAGAAACTATTCAATGATTAAATTCATTTGAATGAAGAACCTTAACTTGAATTTGGTCTAAGAAAAAATTGAGAAAAACAAAGACGACCTGCGTCTGCTCTTTTTCGAAAGATAATTTTGCTACAGCTTCCTCTCTTTCGCGCATCCTTTCATTGATTTTTTTCCGTTGATGTTGATATAATGTTACATAATCACCTGCAAGAATTGAAATATATATACATCAACTTGGCACGTTCAAATTAATTATTAACATTTAACCCGATCAATTAACTACATACCGATGGTATCATTTTCAGTCTCCAACTGCATTACAATATGTTGGAGACGTTCCTTTTCCTCGGCAAGATCTGCAACTTGTAGCATCGCGCGAGTGAAACGAGCCTCCAGTTCTGTCCAAGCCAGTGGTTTTTCTTTTATTGAAGGTGCTATAATCCATTCCATTAAATTCGACTTGAAAAATAGCAATAATTCTATACCTTGAGTAGATATGCATTTTCTGGGTGTTGAGAATTCTGGTACGATTTTCAGAATTAAGAAATAAAGATAGAGAATTTCATATTACAACTTAATATTGAAGTACTCTGAATAGGAAACTCCTGAAATAGTTTAAACACCATCTCCAGTTTTTCAGTATTACCTACATTTGTTTCTCAAAACAAGCATAAATGAACCTTCCAGGTGCTTCACAATATCACTATTTAGCCAGACAGGAGACGTCGTATCGCACTGAGATGATGGACGTGATGAAGGTGTTGACAGTGATGCACTGTTTATTTTCTGTTGTAGCATACTGACATCATTTCGTAATTGTTCATTCTCAACAGATAATGCATTAATCCTGCAAAAGCAACATTACTGAATTTGAACACTATTAGTAAAACTTCTAGTAGTTACTTAAAACATCAATAATATTAAACAGTGGACCTCGATAAATTTAACGAAGTAAAAATAACTTCACTGAATTTTAAGCATATATACAACAAAAATAAAAAGTGGGGGATTTTAGGATAATACCTTTCAACTGCTTGTCCCAGTTCGACATGTATATTGTTTTGATTTTCGTCTTCAGAATTTTGCTCCATTATCCTAAAATATAAAAAAAAAAATTGTGAGTTGTATTTTTGAACATCATTTCTAAGCAGACGTTTTTAAATCCCAAATGCTAAAAAATTTGCATTTTCGAAAATATATATATAGTAACAAGCATATATATGCACATAATTGTTAGTGAATGGGATACCTTCTTAATTCTTCGTTCTCCTGCATTACTCGTCTATGATCAAGCCTTAATTCATCCAAAACCATTCTAACATTGGCTAATTCTACTTCAGTATGCGCATGAGTATCTTCTGCATGTGAAAATGACATGTCTCTGTCGTAGCACTCAGAAACCGATGGTGTTGAAATAGTCTGAAATTTTATAAAAAATACAAGTCATTTCAAAGATATGTGCTATTTCTAGAAATTATATATATGCGCTTTATAAATTAATACATAGAGTCGTGCTAGCGATTTTTTCATTTTACCCTTACTACACCAATAATAAAAATACCAAACAAAAATTTCAGATACCGAATTGCATACAACATTCAAGCAAGTTTTGTGAAGATAAAACGTTAATAAAGTAGCTTTTACTTTACATCCAAACTTTTAACAAATTTTTTTTTACCTCATCACGGTCTCGTGAATCAACATAATGAATATGCTGCTGATGCTCATATGCATCGCCATTCGGCATTATTGAGGCTGTTGAAGATTCAATATTTTTACCATCAAATGAATGACCGGAAAGCAGATTCAATTCATTTCTCAGTTGATCGACTAGATGTAGTGCACTCAATCTTCCACTTTCTCTTTCCATGCTTTCCTGAGAAATAAATCAGCATAATCTTTGTGATTTCACTTTACAAATATACCTATAGAGTACAAACAATCTGATAACTTTTGTTTGGAGCTAGTCGTATCCTAATAAGAAATATGGCAAAAATAATGATTCCAACAAATACGGTAACTATTCATTAAGGTCACGTATCTTTATATACCTTTCTATAAATAACTCTTCAAAAGTGAATTCTGGAGTACTAAAAACTAGAACAGTAACCTGCGTAACCATTACTAGTTTATCCTGCAATTCAATCAATTGTTCCTTCAATTCTCGATTTTGTGCAATAGCCCTTGAAACCGTAGCTTTCTCATTCTGAAGTTGTTCCGACAGTGAAAGTGCTCCCTTAAGAATTTAGCTATAAATGAATATGACATAGAACATGGACGATTATTTCTAAAATACTGAATCAACCTCTGTATGTTTTTGCTGATCCTCAGCAATAGAACGAACTCTCGAAAGCGACTCTTCAACCATAGCCAACTCAGCAGTCTTTTTTATCAATTTTGATTTCTAAAAATATATTTGAAAAAAAAAAAAAAACCTGTAGTGATGTACACTTGCAAAAATCAAGAATTTTTCCTTATCCTTATATTATATTTCGTTTATGCATAATGTTTGCTGACTTGTTACAGAAAGAAATGGAAAATGAACTGGATATAGATAGAGTATGAATAATTCAAATCAATGTAGCATCATTAGATCCAGAAGTGTAGTAAGAGTAGAGTGAGGCAAATATCCCATATGTTTCAAATTGAAGTTTAAAGAAACACTGGAAGACAAAAAAAAGGATTCCACAAAAAGAACCTCATCATCAAGAGCGGAAGAAAGTGAATGAACTTCCAGTTCCTTATTCATAAGTTTTGCATTCAATTCCTCAACTAGTTGTTCCGCTCTTTGATGGTTGTTCATGGCTTCAGTCAATTTATTTTGCATTCTCTGCAGTTCGATCGAATTCTCAAATAAATTTCAAACAGTTATCAACAAAACTTGAGATTATAGAAAATAAAACAATAAATACACATCTAAATTATAACTTCTGTCATGCACCACACTTTCGGAATGAGTAAGGAAAAACCATTTCCAATCTGTGAGTAACTCAGTGATACTTTTACCATCAGTAATTTCAGGCCACTTAAAAATGTTACAGAAATGATAAGATCAGAAATTATCCAAAAGAAAAACTAACTATAGAAGATCTACTATTATCATCTGCTAAATCTGGTCTGTCGACTGCCTGCATCATTTCTATTTGATTTTCTAAGGTATGAACTTTTGATTCCAGTATTAACTTCACATTTGACATTTCTTCCAGCTGCAAAAAAGAATTTGTATACAATCTGCTTTAAGATGAATATATGACTAGAACTCCCTACCTTATTTTTGAACTTCCATAAATTTTATCTTAATCAATTACTTTAATACTCATTTGTACGATATTCTGATTCATTTGCGTTCCATATAATTCATAACGCTCCCTTGCTAATTGTGCTTCTCTCTTCCATTTTTCTGTCTCATTTGTCGCTTTAACTAATTCAGTTTTCATCTGTTCAATTTCATCTATAATATATATATATATATATATATAAATCCCAAATAACCCGACTCCAAGGAATAACCTACCGTAACTTTTTTAATGTATAGGTCTAGCACCTTCTATGGACTGTAGACCCGCTCAAGGGGACTTTGGGTGTAAAAATATGTTACGGATAGTTACACCTATACGCTACATTTCCATTAGCCATATAATGTCTATTGGATTCAACATTGGGCTTTTGCCTTCTCACTCGATACATATATAATATATATCAGTGAGAAAAACGTGGCAAATATTGAACATTTGGGAAAAAAAGTGTAACAAGTTCTAATAACAATTCGGAAACAGAAAAGGAGAAACCCTTTACAAAAACATTTTCATACAATTAAAAAACACAAAATCAATAGAGGACAACATTATGTAGGATAAGAAAGAAGCTTACCACCAAGATTCTTAACATCACCTTCCATGTGAATATCCTCACCGCCATATGCCCCTAATTGACGAAGATAAATATTCTTCATCCGTAATTGTTTGTGAGCTTCATCAAGTTCTGCCTGAGCAGCCTCCGCTTTTCTCATGCATATTTTTAATCGTTCCTAAACATTTACTAATTTTAGAAGCAAATGCAAAATTATTAAATTTTTGTGACAAGAATTTATTGCATTTTCTCTCTAAATTCAATCTAAAAATTCAGAAAAAAGATACGTATTGCAATTTGATATTATCTAAGTTCATTTCATTTTCTTGTTTTCCTTCTTTAATTTTGTATTTTAGTTATGCTACTTCTTTAACTTTGTTTCTAGTTATATACGTGCTGCATTTTTTCGCATCTTAAGAGCATAAGTGTGCAACTGATTGAAACTCAAAAGAAGCAGCATCTTAAACTTGTAAAATTTTTTGGGTGATAATTAGGAAGTTATTTAAACTCGTTTAATAAAAATAGTATAATGGAATGTTGAAGAAAAAAAAAAAATTGCTGTGCAAGGATTGTAAATAATATATGAGCAGAATATATCAATACAAACAAACTTTAGCATCATCTCTATCTTGCTGCATATGAAGCATTTTAGTTTGCCAGTTTATTGCTTCTTGTCGACTATTTTCTGCCTCCTCCACTTGTCTTTGCAGAGTATTACTCAGCGAATCGATTTTTTTACGTAATGATACGATTTCATTTTTCAACGATGTAATATACGAAGTTTTCTCATTCATTTCGGTCTGTAGAAAGTACTGTCATAAAGTTAACGAAATATATATCACATCAAGAACAGGAAACTTCCTTTTTTTCCAATAAGTGGATTAATAAGCTAGGAAATAATCTATGTAACATAAAAACCACGCACTGTAAGACTGCAAATTTGTTTATTTCGATCCATGACTAGTTCATTTCTTTGTCTTAATTGCTGGTGTAGAGTTGTTTTTTCCTTGACAACGACACTCATTGCCTGAAGCACCATTAATTTATTTAATATCTGATAAAAGTGAGAAATCACTAAAATTTAGCTATGATTAAGTAACTTCATAATTCTTTATACAAAATAAGAAACAAAACTGTTTGCAAATGAACGAGCTGCGTTTGTAAAGTGGATCCACCTGGGTCGCCATTTTTAATACATTCACTGAGTTTTGTATAAGCAGCATGAATTTGTGAATAATGCCCAGCCTGAAATGGCCTATATGTAAGTAAAATAAATAAGAAAATTAATTTCGTGCGACAAACAAAACATATTATACCATCTATCTAAAATTCAAAAGAGCGAATGTCAGACCAGACATAACGATGTGATTTTGAGAAACTGCTTCTGAAACGGCTAAAATATAAGCTTCCAAAACTTACGGAAAATAAGATGAAATTTGGACTGCTGATTTAATGAAAATTAAAAACGCAAATAAAAATAAAGCAAGTAACTGTGAACATACCAATTCTGCAAACTGCGAAGAAAATTGCCCTTTTTCAGCTGTACGCAAAGCTAACTCTTCTCTCAACCGAACGCATTCCTGCTGTAACAAAAAAGTATTCATTTTGTTATCAATTCATATTACTAAAATTCAAAAAAAAAAAATTTCCAAAGCAGAACAAGCAATTTCTCAAAATTATATCAAAAATTTCTGTCTAGAAAATAATAGTAAACTGAACAATTACTTACTACAAAATTCATTAAAACTGAGATAATAGGAAAGCTTAGCATTAAGTTCTACTATTATGGATAGTAAAAAATCTGACAGGAACAAACACAAAAATATTAATCAAATAATTTCAAATATTCCTATAATAAATCAGTAACTTCTACAAACGTTCTTAAAGCTTATTCTTGCTCGCTTTTACAGTTTATCATTGCTTTGCTCAAAAATGTTTTTTTCTAAATTATGATTTCTAATTATCCAATATTTACCATATGAGAGTAGCATAAAATGACCTTTTAAAAGTCTTATCACTAACTCCAAAATACAACTAAAAAGCAGGAAGGAATAACTGTGAAAAGATAAACAAAGAGAAACAAGCTAATATAAATCTAAACCGGATGACAGCACGACGACGAATCAAAAAAATTTATATATGAAGATCAGGACCTTTAAGTCGAGCAGATCCTCTGGTATGTTCGAATATAATTCTGACGTACCATCTTGTTGAAATTTATCCTTAAAATCACTGTTCTGAGCACTGCTGTTGGTATCCGAAATATGATTCACGGCACTTTGTACCACTGTCGATGGAGAATCCTGTGATCCTGTTTGAACTTTTTGGAAGATGTCTTTCATTTCAATATTATTGTACACTTCTTCAAAGTAATAATTTTTCTTCAGAGTGATAGCTTCTGCCAAATTAACAACTCAAGAATGTCCTAGAAATTGATTTCAAAACTACTAGGTCCCATTTTCCTAAAACCATTAAACAAAATACTATTTGAATTTTACAAATGCAATAATTAATGACAAAAAAGCATGAAAGCCATAAGTAGAAAAAAAACTTTGGTATTTACTGGCAGAGGAAATAAAAAGATCATAAAAAATTGAAGGAAAAAAAGAATTTACGTAAGCTAAGGGCAGATCGTCGTCCACTATTTTCGATCATACTCGAAACACTTGGAGAAGGAGATAAAGTAAGTTCAACATTTTCGTTGCGATGTTTAGACTGATAATCCCGCAACTGAAAACTTCAACTGCTTCATGAGATTTACGATGTCCTGTCAGATAATTAGCTCATCACTTAGCCAGAGATTTCTTGTAATAATCTAAAATTTGTCTGCAAATCTTCCTTTCAAGCTAGCACTACTGCTTGGAATGGCACAGAAATCTCAAGTCTCAGAATCTCGGAAATTTTTCTGAAGTATTGATTGAGATCTTACTGGTCAATAAACTTTATTGCATTAATTTAACACTCAATTTTATATCAACAATATGGCATGTTTTTGAATAAACTTTATTTGAACTAAGTAACTGGTTGTGAAAGCCAAAATCTGTTCAAGAATGTGCAATTCAGTGTACTTAGATAAATTTCTCAAGAGAAACAGAATTTTAAAAGGATTAAATTTTACTTTTTTCCGGGCATGGGCCAATCGTTCCGCCCTTTTTTCCGTTGTTCCTTCGGATGCATTCATTTGTCCCTAAAAAGTGAATTATTTCAAATTATTTCACCTCTACGATCTTTGGTAACGGTGAGTTTTTCCAGATGAAGCAAATTTAACTAGTGAAGAATTAAGAAAGCAAAATAAATTCCTGTAGTTTCCTTTCACCATGACTGAGAATTGTTAGTTTTTGGAACAACAATAAATTCGTTAATTATGAATGGCCATACAACTAGGACAATCAGTAAACAGTCAGTCACACGTCTTGAATTATATTAGCAACCACTAATTAACAAGAGCACATAAGTTTTCTGAGTAATAAATCACCATAAAACTGGAAGCTACCATCACAGAGTACTTCACAACAAGCGAAGTAGAGAAGTTTATAGCAGGTTTTTAAAAGTTTATAGAAGTTGAGTTTCTGTAAAATGAGTATAAAATTTTTAATCCAAATTAAACAAATGTCAAGTGATCGAAAAATTATTTCTTCAGTGCATCTTTTCACGTTATATCTCAGTTCATTTCTTTCCTCATATTACGTGTTCACTCAGTCAACGTGCCACAACACCTACACGGAAACAAAAAACACTCACCTTCAAATCACGCAGTTGGCGTAGACAAAAACTTTAACAATATCATGTTATTGTTGGGACCGTTGTGAAAATGCAATCCCGTCTGACAACCTCGTCGAGTCGTTTGGAGATTCCCGTGATAGTAGAGAAGATAAGAAGTGATAAGAAGGGTTGGAGAATGAGGTGGCAAGATGGGTACTTCTAAGGAAAATGCATTTTAAAGTTAGAGTAAAATTAAGTGATAAATTTTATTAATTGAATAAAATTCATAAAATCATTTGCATAACATTGAGCTAAGAATTGTTTGCGTTCATGCTATTTTCACTAGTCTATCTGATTATATGAGCTAAATAATATGCATTAACTAAATTGTATTTATGCATGTGTGTGTATGTGTTAAAAGAAGGAACTGTTTTAAAAGTTTTTTCAATAAAAAAATGGATACATGCTATGCATTTTAACATGCACATACATATGCCTGGGAACTTAATCCATATGTTTACTCGGGAAATAAATGATTGCTTTTGTTTGAAACCAAATTCAGTTTAGGAAAATTGATTAATGATTTATGCATTAGTACGGCTTGGTATTTAATCAATATTTCTTGCTCTACTTTTGAAATTTAGAATTTAATGTACCGTATATTTCTGTTTCAAAGTGTTTCTTACATAGAGAAAATAATGTTTAAATATTTAAATATTCAAAATATTCCTTCCTCTAACTTATGAAACTGTTTTCTGCTTTCAACTTTCAAAGTACTTCTGAAAAGGGAAAGATATGCTAAATGAGACAATAAAAAATGCAGTTTTGTAATTCATTTCAGAATAAAGTTTATTAGAAAATCACAAATATTAAAAGTTTTTTGTTGATTTATTAATTTTTCATTTGTTATACATTCAATTTCTAACAAAATATTTATATTTTTTAGTGGAAAGAATTATAGGATTGAAATCTAATTAAAGAATTATAGTGAAACACCACCTCTCCCTATTTCTCTCTCTCTCGCTTCTGCATGATTACTTAATATATTATTATCAATAATTATTTTGATATTTTGGATGAATTTTTATTTACATCAGTCTTTTACTCTTCTTAATTTCGATTTTATTCCTTATTCTCACATTATTTATTATTATTATAGTGTAATCTTTAGTTACATATTATTATCTGATTCATTGTATAATAGATTAGTTGATCTGAAATATCTGACCATTTGAATGATTGAATAAATCAAAAACAAATTAATTGACAACATGAGCTATTACTTTTTTTTTCTGCAGAAAAGTAATTAAATGATTAAATTATTTCAACAAATGAATTTATCTGAAATAATGACAATTTAATTAAATAGTCCAAGTCAAAATATTTTACTATAAAATAATTATTTTCATCCTTTAATGAATTTCTTCTTCCTACTGAAAGAAGAAATAATAATAATAATGAATGAACGATGAACGGCGATGACCCAAATAAAGGAACGATAATTTAAAAGAGACGAAGTTATGGGCGGTAAATGAATGAAGAACAGTAGAAGGAGAAGGTTGGATGAGATAGCTGGTCGAACTAATTAATTTAACGTACGTGTATTGTGGTGAGTTTGTACGGTTGATTGAGTAAATAAATGAATAAAGTAGTGAAATAAATTGAATGATTCAGCAGTTGAACAGGTCAAAAGTCCTAGAGATCTTGTTTAGTAACAAATGAATTAAATTGAATTCATTAAAGGAAAAGAAGTAGTATGGAAAACTATTCGAATTAATCTTGAAACAAAGGCATTAACTAGTTCTAGTTAACAAAGCTTAAGTCAAGAATCCCTACATTCTGCGTTATTATCTTATAAGTGTATGTAATATGTGACGCCGATTCTGCAGTTAAACTAATTTCAAGAAGTCGAAGAGACATGGAAATATAACCGACCAGTTTGATATTAGTAATTTCATTTTGACTTAAAGTTTTTTTTTTGGTTTTAAATGAATTTTTCTTACTTTTCTAATTTTTTTGACTACTAAAAAGGTTGCGAAAGTAATGAACTGTCTGTTCTCATATATTTGGTTATTATAAATGTTTAACAAATAATTTACCACGACGGATTGTTCCTCATTTCAGGATCAGCTAATTATTTGGCTGAATCAGCTGGCATATGGAAGCAAGTCTTCATTTTCTGGCTTCCGGATCTTGTTTGGTGTTTTGTCCCACTAGCTGCTATGATGCATTTATGGAGTGAATTGATCAGTCCCAATACATAATTGTAAATGTGTTCTTAAGTCCATTGATTGAATTCCGAATTTCAAAATACCTTATCACGATGATGTGTTCTTATTGTCTCGTTTAATTAGTTAGCATTGCTTTGCTACTAACTTTGTAATAGCTGTTAATAAATACTCTTAAAATAATTATAGTAATTGACCATTGGTAATAATTGTCGAATATTTCCTTACACTGAATCTTTGCACATATTTGTTACCTTCCTTTCCCATTTATGCCTATTATTTTTAACTTATAACATACTGGTGTGATGCAACTCTATCCATTTCTCATTTACCTTTTATAATTTCGCTATTTCGTTTATTCCTATTTGCAGTCATATTAGTAACTTCTCCAAGAATGAGTGACATTATCAATTAATACCTCCTAGTTATTTATTTATCTATTTATTTGCTCATTTTTATTTATTATTATAATTATTGCTCTCTGAGTGGTCAAATTTTCCTGTTTGATTGTCAACAGAACTGCAAGAATAATTTTCGCAATTTTCATGATTGCGATACTGCTATCAGCATCAAAATCTCATGCAAGCAACAACCTATTTCCCCGTACCTACAACCTATTTCTTATCATTGAGCACCATCATATTGTGTTTTCTGCTCAGCAGATTTTTTAAATTATCAGATTTCAAGTAAGCTTAACAAATTTTATTCAAAAATGTTCGCATGAATAATAAAAGCAGTTTCAATATCTCGAGAAGCAATGAGAAGAGCTGAATCTTTGAATTACAGGAGGTTTGGGAGTCGAAACTTTATTAAGCTTACTTGAAAAAAAAAAAAATCGAAGTCGAAATAACTTCACATTTGGGTGACTGAAAAAGAAGTAAAAATAGGTCCAGTATTTATTGTATGACTGTCCCATACACTTTTCGTTGCGCATTTATGAATTGATTAATGTCACTTTTTTTTATTTTTTATTTAGGAGACGATAGCACCGCTGCTTTTCTAAAATTAGAATCAAATGTTTTTCAGAACAGAGATCACAGCGAGCAATATATTCAAAAAGCCTTCTTTTATGTAACTGTGAAAACAATGTCACTACAATTAAAGCTAGGCAGATTAATGATAACGATGACAAATGTTAAAAATTAGTGACAAAAAAATGTCAAAAAGAGAATGATGAATCAATATGCTGCTTTATTTTTAATTCTTTCGTATTTTCACAGTTGACATGCGCTTCTCGAGTTGAATGATACATATGCTTTAATGAGTCTGCATCTATGGTCAAAACAAATAGTATTTCTCCAATAATCTCAAATATATAACTTTGAATTTTGAAAATGACACATGAATTAATAAGTGGTGCTATTTCTAAAAACATTTCATAGTGGTACCACTAATTAATTTACCACAGAGCTACGAGCATTTAACTAGCAAGTTAAAGGCCAATGATTTGGCTTCTTGATAAAGATGTATAGTTTCAGATGACCATCGCTGGTCAAGTTAGCAATATGTTTAAGCAATTAGCTCCGAGTTCATGTCTTCTTTTCTAATATTTGTAAGATTTTTTCTAGTAATTAATTATCGAACATCGTACAAAATGAAACTCAAACTTAACTTTTTACAATTTTGAAAAATGCAATTATTCATTATCATTCTTCCGACAATTACATTTATTCCTTACACAAAACTCAAAAATTTTGTTAAAGGGAAACAATCTATATGAATAGATATATACACCAGCGATCATATGCCTACACTTAACTGACCACTTGTTCACTGGAATGATAACTAATTATATTAGTTATCATTCCAGTGAAATGATAACTAATTATATATATTAGTTATCACTGGAATGATAACTAATTATATACTAATTATATATATACTGTTGTTGTAAACAATGAAAATGTATGGGAAACAGTTTCATACAATTAATAATCATGATTATCAGTTGTTAATTCAACTTGAAACTTGACCCTTTTTTTTTAGAAATTTCAATAAAACTCTTTGTAATAGTGAAGTGAGCACTTGTACCGTAATACACCATATAAAATTAAGTGATTTTGTAAGGGCATCCTTTAGGTAAAGAATTTAAAATTTATGTTCAAGTTTTTTTTCAGCAAAATGGGATCTTACAATGATGTATTTCACAATAAAATTAAGTCAAATTATTGAGTACTAAGATACAAACTAAATCGAAAAAGCGTAGATGATTCAGCATTGATCGCCATGAAATTGCCAAATCTGAAGCATTCGGTGTTTGACCGGAAATATACATTAAAATGCTTACTTGGTACATCTCTGAAATTTTGTCTTGGACTATAAAAAGCCTGTGAATTTCGAGTTTCTTTCAGTTGGAAGAGCACTCTCAAAAAGCAGGAACCAATTGAAGCAATTTTTCATACAGAAACTTATTCATTCTTTTAACTTAATAAAACTGCGAAGTCAGCTTATTCGAAATCTTCCATTTTTCACTCATCTTAAATTTTGAATACTATTTGTTGCTGCTAATCTTTGTTTTTATTAATTAACTTTTGTTTTTTAGGCACAAATGGAAATGAAACAACTTTGTGCATACTGAATTTAAGTTGGTGAGTTAATAATAAACAACTATAGCAAGTACTCTAATGACAATTTCCAAATCAGTTTTAATTCGCTTAATCTCTCCATAATTCCACCTTTTGCTATAGATTGTTGAGTGAGCACTTTCTTCTTTATTTTTAATGCTTTATTAATTTTTAGTATTATAAATTTCTCACTTGTGTATTTGCATTTTTTTTTTTTTTTTTTGTCTAAATGTTCATTCTAGAACCTTCAAAACTGTGTCAATTAATACATTTGGGTATTTATATAAAATATGGGATAGTAAAGGAATAAAGATAAAACAAATCAAAAAGTTAAATATCAAACTGACATTTTAAACTGGCTGCAACATTCTTATAACAGCACCGAATATGCTGCACAGCTTTTGATTTTTACGCATTTTTTCTGTTAAACCTGAAATGAAAATTCTTTATATATTGTCTTATTGCGCCAAAAGAAGTGAACAGTTTCTTGCAGTTTGACTTTGTGGCGCGAGTAATATATTTTTTGCACGCTTTTCGCTTTTTAAAATTATCGACAGTGAACTGGAATATTCCTTTCTCTATTGATATTCCGAATTTCTTGATATATCATTGATGGCGCTATTGTCAAATCTTTAAATCCACTGGATTATTCGAACATTGGTAACCACATGTAGTAACCACATTTTTTGCAAAACAAGAAACCAAAAACTCTGTACTCAGGTTAATTGATTTTGTATTGCTACTCCACCGTCATAGATATTTACAAACACACTGAAATTTTTCAATAATAATAAGTTATTAAAAACAAACGGCGACTTTGCAATAATATTTTTCGTGCTGTTTCAGTGAATTATTATAACTGAAGAATTTGCCACATTTCATGCACTGAAGTTTAGGTTTATGCTTCTCATAATGCGAACAAAGCCCTTGTGGAAAACGAAATATTTTCCCGCATTTATACCAATTGCATCGATTAACACCTGGCTTATTGTGCTTTTTAATATGTTTTATATATTCGGCTGTTTCCTGGATACTCACATTACAACCAGAAAAGCCACACCTATACTTTTGTCCATCTGAAATGTTCCTGATGTGATATTTTTTTTTACCATCTGCTAATTAAATAATACAATTTGAAAGCTAATGATAGAAATATCATTAATATATAATGAATTCATTGCACCATTAATTAACTAAATAATTGCATGTAGTTTATTATTGTTATTATTATCATTTTTTTGAATATATTTGAAGCAAGAAGCTCAATCTTAATCCTACCTTTGATGAAAGAATCTTGTACAACAGATAATTGTAAATTTGGTACATCATCTTTTCGTCTGTTTACCGCAATTTGCTCGGACTTTGAATCTTCCTTTATAAGGCCTAGGAGGAATATTTTTGTCTATGATGTTTGTTTCACTGAGCCAGAAGAAATAAGCAATTTGTAGCAGTTTGTAGCACATAAATCGAATGGAATCGTTTTGATACAATGAAAGAATATGAAATGTAGGCAATTCCACATTCTTCCGTAGTATTGAAAAGATGCTGGTAATGTAATCAAGAATGTAACGGAATATTCGTTTCTCTTTTAAGTTTGTTGATGCATCATTGATTACTTTACTGTTGCCACTGTCAACACTTTTTAAATCCAACTGTTTGAATCTTTTTACCCTATTCCTTATTATTACATCAGCAGCTACCAAACATTGATTTCCTTATACAGACGAATGATAAGCAACCTCTTTAGTAAAATTAAAAAAGTATGGCAATATGCACTGAATTTTATATTACTGCTCCACTGTTATAACTATTTCTAAGTACATTACATTCTCTAACAAGTAAATAAATGTTAAAAATTTTGTTGAATTCGAAAAACTAACGGGGAGTTCTGCAATAAACTTCTTTGTGCTTTTTCAGTGTCTGAAAACGAGTGAACAAATCGCCACAGTTTTCGCATCGAACTTTAGGTTGATGAATTGCCTTATGAGCGCTAAATGTTGATGAGCAACTGAATATTTTTCCACAACCAGGCAATTTGCACTGATAAAAAAACGGTTTACCGTGCATTTTGATATGTTTTGTATATTCACTTCTTTTCTTCATTTTCACATCACAACTGGGATAAGCACACTTATATTCTGAAATTCTGCTATGATATACCTTTTCAAATTGGCATTCCATTTTATCATTTGCTAATTAATTTATGCAAACTGGGGGTTGATATAGAAATAATAATGCCATAAGATGAATTTATCGAACACACTTCAATTAACTTAAATCACGAAAAATTCTTTAATCGTTCTTATATATATATATATTTAAAGCAAAAAATTTATTCTTGATGGTACCTCTGATAAAAAAATCTTGCACAACAGCTGGTTGTGAATTCCCCTCTGTGACGAGTTCAGTTCCGGTTTTCGATTCTTTATTGCTTATGTGCTCAACTGTCCGCAATTTAATGGAGTCAAACGACTTGGGATCAAGCAAAAACTTATTATGCAATTCATTATCACTTATTTCTGGTAATTCTTCATCGGCATTTCTCCATTCGATGCCATTATCTGGGTCAAGTATTGAATTCAAATCACTATGATCGAGGATATTAAAATTGTCTGAGAAGTACTCACTGCTTCGACAATTCTCCTCAACTACTGAACTTTGACCAGAAGTGCTGTCAACTACGGGATGAAGATTTTCTCTCGCATTGCTATCTGTAGCCATATTTATATCAAGCAATGACAAATCAAAGTTGTCGAGGATTTCTGAGAAGTTCTCACTGTTGTTATTCTCAAATTGAAATATTTGATTTTGACCGGATGTGTCATTTGAGTGGGAAAGGGTAAATTCGTCAGATGAATAACTGGGATAATGGGCAGTTACCGCAATATGACTAATTGCTAATATCGTTGAAACTTCGCTTGAAAGAACAATACAAAGCAGAAGATTGATCCAAATGATGTTTCCCATTGATAAAGTAAAATTAACCTAAAATATGAAATGGAAAATACATTGAGTTACGTAAGCAAAAACTAGCAAAAATGGTCGAATGGAAGTTTTCCGTTTCAGATTGTTGAAGTTAAACGTCTAAAAAGATAAACAGTTTTTACTCTGTACGATTCGCATTATTTCTCACACTTTATTTTCTTTTCCTGAATTAGTGGTTTAGATGAAATTCCACTCTGTGGGCACGCAACTTAAAATATTTCAACTTCAACAATTAATTGTTGCATTTCGACATATGTGCTTAGCTACTGTTACGAGAAAAAATTTCAATTTGATCAAAAAGAAGCAATAAAATATAAAAGTTTGGAATGTGCAAAGGATGTAACACTTTCATGTATGGAAACTAATTAATAAATGGCATTAAAATCATTGACTGAAAAAATATTTAATCCGTGGTATTGTATAGTTAGTCTTCTCTGCGTTCTTTGGTCCAATATAATTATGTTCTGCAATTCAACCTATTGGGACATTCATTTTTTTATAAATAAAGACGAGAAAATTGTCAACTCTATTAATAACTTATTATTATTGAAAAATTTCAGTGTGTTTGTAAATATCTATGACGGTGGAGTAGCAATACAAAATCAATTAACCTGAGTACAGAGTTTTTGGTTTCTTGTTTTGCAAAAAATGTGGTTACTACATGTGGTTACCAATGTTCGAATAATCCAGTGGATTTAAAGATTTGACAATAGCGCCATCAATGATATATCAAGAAATTCGGAATATCAATAGAGAAAGGAATATTCCAGTTCACTGTCGATAATTTTAAAAAGCGAAAAGCGTGCAAAAAATATATTACTCGCGCCACAAAGTCAAACTGCAAGAAACTGTTCACTTCTTTTGGCGCAATAAGACAATATATAAAGAATTTTCATTTCAGGTTTAACAGAAAAAATGCGTAAAAATCAAAAGCTGTGCAGCATATTCGGTGCTGTTATAAGAATGTTGCAGCCAGTTTAAAATGTCAGTTTGATATTTAACTTTTTGATTTGTTTTATCTTTATTCCTTTACTATCCCATATTTTATATAAATACCCAAATGTATTAATTGACACAGTTTTGAAGGTTCTAGAATGAACATTTAGACAAAAAAAAAAAAAAAAAATGCAAATACACAAGTGAGAAATTTATAATACTAAAAATTAATAAAGCATTAAAAATAAAGAAGAAAGTGCTCACTCAACAATCTATAGCAAAAGGTGGAATTATGGAGAGATTAAGCGAATTAAAACTGATTTGGAAATTGTCATTAGAGTACTTGCTATAGTTGTTTATTATTAACTCACCAACTTAAATTCAGTATGCACAAAGTTGTTTCATTTCCATTTGTGCCTAAAAAACAAAAGTTAATTAATAAAAACAAAGATTAGCAGCAACAAATAGTATTCAAATTTTAAGATGAGTGAAAAATGGAAGATTTCGAATAAGCTGACTTCGCAGTTTTATTAAGTTAAAAGAATGAATAAGTTTCTGTATGAAAAATTGCTTCAATTGGTTCCTGCTTTTTGAGAGTGCTCTTCCAACTGAAAGAAACTCGAAATTCACAGGCTTTTTATAGTCCAAGACAAAATTTCAGAGATGTACCAAGTAAGCATTTTAATGTATATTTCCGGTCAAACACCGAATGCTTCAGATTTGGCAATTTCATGGCGATCAATGCTGAATCATCTACGCTTTTTCGATTTAGTTTGTATCTTAGTACTCAATAATTTGACTTAATTTTATTGTGAAATACATCATTGTAAGATCCCATTTTGCTGAAAAAAAACTTGAACATAAATTTTAAATTCTTTACCTAAAGGATGCCCTTACAAAATCACTTAATTTTATATGGTGTATTACGGTACAAGTGCTCACTTCACTATTACAAAGAGTTTTATTGAAATTTCTAAAAAAAAAGGGTCAAGTTTCAAGTTGAATTAACAACTGATAATCATGATTATTAATTGTATGAAACTGTTTCCCATACATTTTCATTGTTTACAACAACAGTATATATATAATTAGTATATAATTAGTTATCATTCCAGTGATAACTAATATATATAATTAGTTATCATTTCACTGGAATGATAACTAATATAATTAGTTATCATTCCAGTGAACAAGTGGTCAGTTAAGTGTAGGCATATGATCGCTGGTGTATATATCTATTCATATAGATTGTTTCCCTTTAACAAAATTTTTGAGTTTTGTGTAAGGAATAAATGTAATTGTCGGAAGAATGATAATGAATAATTGCATTTTTCAAAATTGTAAAAAGTTAAGTTTGAGTTTCATTTTGTACGATGTTCGATAATTAATTACTAGAAAAAATCTTACAAATATTAGAAAAGAAGACATGAACTCGGAGCTAATTGCTTAAACATATTGCTAACTTGACCAGCGATGGTCATCTGAAACTATACATCTTTATCAAGAAGCCAAATCATTGGCCTTTAACTTGCTAGTTAAATGCTCGTAGCTCTGTGGTAAATTAATTAGTGGTACCACTATGAAATGTTTTTAGAAATAGCACCACTTATTAATTCATGTGTCATTTTCAAAATTCAAAGTTATATATTTGAGATTATTGGAGAAATACTATTTGTTTTGACCATAGATGCAGACTCATTAAAGCATATGTATCATTCAACTCGAGAAGCGCATGTCAACTGTGAAAATACGAAAGAATTAAAAATAAAGCAGCATATTGATTCATCATTCTCTTTTTGACATTTTTTTGTCACTAATTTTTAACATTTGTCATCGTTATCATTAATCTGCCTAGCTTTAATTGTAGTGACATTGTTTTCACAGTTACATAAAAGAAGGCTTTTTGAATATATTGCTCGCTGTGATCTCTGTTCTGAAAAACATTTGATTCTAATTTTAGAAAAGCAGCGGTGCTATCGTCTCCTAAATAAAAAATAAAAAAAAGTGACATTAATCAATTCATAAATGCGCAACGAAAAGTGTATGGGACAGTCATACAATAAATACTGGACCTATTTTTACTTCTTTTTCAGTCACCCAAATGTGAAGTTATTTCGACTTCGATTTTTTTTTTTTCAAGTAAGCTTAATAAAGTTTCGACTCCCAAACCTCCTGTAATTCAAAGATTCAGCTCTTCTCATTGCTTCTCGAGATATTGAAACTGCTTTTATTATTCATGCGAACATTTTTGAATAAAATTTGTTAAGCTTACTTGAAATCTGATAATTTAAAAAATCTGCTGAGCAGAAAACACAATATGATGGTGCTCAATGATAAGAAATAGGTTGTAGGTACGGGGAAATAGGTTGTTGCTTGCATGAGATTTTGATGCTGATAGCAGTATCGCAATCATGAAAATTGCGAAAATTATTCTTGCAGTTCTGTTGACAATCAAACAGGAAAATTTGACCACTCAGAGAGCAATAATTATAATAATAAATAAAAATGAGCAAATAAATAGATAAATAAATAACTAGGAGGTATTAATTGATAATGTCACTCATTCTTGGAGAAGTTACTAATATGACTGCAAATAGGAATAAACGAAATAGCGAAATTATAAAAGGTAAATGAGAAATGGATAGAGTTGCATCACACCAGTATGTTATAAGTTAAAAATAATAGGCATAAATGGGAAAGGAAGGTAACAAATATGTGCAAAGATTCAGTGTAAGGAAATATTCGACAATTATTACCAATGGTCAATTACTATAATTATTTTAAGAGTATTTATTAACAGCTATTACAAAGTTAGTAGCAAAGCAATGCTAACTAATTAAACGAGACAATAAGAACACATCATCGTGATAAGGTATTTTGAAATTCGGAATTCAATCAATGGACTTAAGAACACATTTACAATTATGTATTGGGACTGATCAATTCACTCCATAAATGCATCATAGCAGCTAGTGGGACAAAACACCAAACAAGATCCGGAAGCCAGAAAATGAAGACTTGCTTCCATATGCCAGCTGATTCAGCCAAATAATTAGCTGATCCTGAAATGAGGAACAATCCGTCGTGGTAAATTATTTGTTAAACATTTATAATAACCAAATATATGAGAACAGACAGTTCATTACTTTCGCAACCTTTTTAGTAGTCAAAAAAATTAGAAAAGTAAGAAAAATTCATTTAAAACCAAAAAAAAAAAAAAATCTTCAAGTCAAAATGAAATTACTAATATCAAACTGGTCGGTTATATTTCCATGTCTCTTCGACTTCTTGAAATTAGTTTAACTGCAGAATCGGCGTCACATATTACATACACTTATAAGATAATAACGCAGAATGTAGGGATTCTTGACTTAAGCTTTGTTAACTAGAACTAGTTAATGCCTTTGTTTCAAGATTAATTCGAATAGTTTTCCATACTACTTCTTTTCCTTTAATGAATTCAATTTAATTCATTTGTTACTAAACAAGATCTCTAGGACTTTTGACCTGTTCAACTGCTGAATCATTCAATTTATTTCACTACTTTATTCATTTATTTACTCAATCAACCGTACAAACTCACCACAATACACGTACTTTACTAATTAAAAATTCATTTACGTGGAATGCATAAAATATCCCTTTAAAGGTGCTTCAATCCTCATGATCATTTATTTAACTTTTCAGCAAAAGCAGAAATGTGAGTGTTATATTCCTTCTTATTCCGTATGTACACTGGTTTCATAAATGAGCCCAGTTGACGGCCTGAACAATTTGGTAGCTTTCTTGGAATAGCGAAACTTTAGTTAGGCTTTTTTTTTTGTGTGTGTGTGTGTGTGTCTGTTAAAGTTTGCAAATTTCTCTCACCGATAACAATGAGTTGTGAATATACGAAATTTGATTTTAGGTAGCAAAACTACTCTCAAATATAAAAACGACTTTAATATGGAAGTGAAAGTTTGATTGACAGAATGTGAAATCCTTAATAGAACTTATTCAGTATAGACTGTCCACTGAAGATTTGATATACAAAAGTCATCAACTTACCGTCGTTGAAATGTTTATTAAACGAAATCAGAAAACTTTTTTCATTTAATTCAATGATAGATTAAGTAGTGATTAAGTGACAGTCATCATTTGACAACAATTTGTCCTGTCTTTTTTTCAAGCCATTACTTTGATAAGTGACAAAGCAAAGCTTTTAATAAAATTGGCTAAAAATTTTATGTCAAACTACAATCAGTTTTGTAAGAAAATATTGAATTCACGAAACAAGAATACTGCATCAAATAAATAATTTTCAAATAAGATCTTCCGCATTGTTCGTTGATAACCCTAAATATATTTGATCGCTGTTAAGATTATTTTAGGACCTAAGAAATAATTTAGACATCTAAGCTTCGAGAAAGTAAAGGAAGTTGAATTACTAAATACGATGGTATAGTTTACCATAATTGCATTGAGGGAAGTGATAAACAACGTATTTATTTGAACATTTTGATTTGCTCGGAAAGTGTTTGTTGATAGAGGAAGTAGAGAAATGCATTTAAGAGATAAAATGGAAAAGAACAAAAATTCTGCAAAGTATCATTTAATATTTTCATCGGTATTGATCAGACTGAAACTGATTGTATGGTTGATTTGAAATTTAAAAAATAAAGCAAAAACAGTCAGTTGAACGTTAAGATGTTATTTGAATTACAAATAGAAGTAATACATAATAAATTATTTGAATAATAAATAAGAATATATATCTAAAATAGCTTATAGATTAATTCTTCTTATTGAAATTGTGCACAATTAGGCATAATCATTTGAACGAAATGCTACATTTAATAATGGATGAGCCATCTTTTTACTTAAAATTACCTCTGAAAAAAAAAAGATAAATCTGATTGATTAGGAGAGACATATATAATATCAATCAATATGATTGATTGATATTATATATGTCAATCATATTGACTAGCTCGAAAGATGAGAAGGAAAAAACAAACCTTGGGGCGGTGCGATAAACATTGTCATGTAAAGAAGAGTTTTCCAGAAAACAAATGCACTTGTCAGGAAAGCAGTTAATTTGGCTTGACGAGGGTAGTGTCGACACTAAAAAATAAAACTCTTCTATTTCTACTTCCAATATTTCAACTTCGTGAATTACCAAGAATAAAAATCAAGAGTATTTTTAAGTGTTTGTGAAAGCAATCTAAAAAATGTTTTTTAAAAAGTCTTGTGAAGAGCCTGCCACAGCCAATATTCATCCTGAAAATCATTCACAGAAAGTTTAAAGTTAAAAGCTGAACAAATTGAAAGGAGACTATAAGAGCAAAAATGAGGCAAAATTCAGTAACATTAAATTTATCATCTGTAAATTCCTATTGAAATTAAATTTTCACTAAAGTAGTAATGAATCGTAAAACATTTTTTGGTAAATCAATCTCTACAATTTGTCTGTTTAAAGCTGTTTAAAGAACATTTTCAATAAATTCAACATCATTCTTTGAACTTTACTTATCGTGAACTTTCATCTTCATTCAAAAATTAGCTTGGATATTAGAAAAAAAAAAAAAAAAAACTTTTCTAATCAGTAATCTTTCTGAGTTAATTTTTTCCATACTTCATAAAAAGTAAACCCGGAAAAAAACAAATAATGGCAAAAAATATGAAGAACAGAAAGGTTGAGGTTTATAGCTTCTTTTTTTTATGAAAATGAAATTTTAAACTTTGTTTTCTAATTTTGCGGCGAGAAGTTTTGTATTATTTTGGACTATTTTGGTTGGAAAAAAAAAATAATTACTCGTTACCTAACAAGTTATCTATTGAGTGGTAGGAATAGTATCAGAATATTTATTATATATTGCAAATGGTTGAACTAACTGGAAGTTTAATATGTTTTACAGAGTGCTACGTGAAGTCACATCTAAACTTTTAAATGAATAAGGTTCACCAGATAGAGCGCAGCAATATTTAAGATTATCTCGATGACCATCAGACGTCCAGTAGCCATTGTAACAATATCATTCGTTGTGGCATATCTTAGATCAACGTCACTATAGATATTCCCTGTAGAATCAAATTACGTGTTTTACAACTAATGCAGATCTTTCTTTTTGGAAGTACGGAAGGGAATCGTTATCCGACAAGACGATTTGGCTGATGTTAGAGGCGTAAATAGAATCATTCATGTTAATGTTCGGAATGCATTCTCATACCTTTCCTCAAACATTCATTCCGGTCTTGATTTTAACAGTAATCAGAAAACTGAAGACTGGGTTAGTTTAAAAATCCTCGTGGCTTTTTAAATTTAAGTCAACGACCTCTATTTCATTGCTACGACATTGCAGAAGTTCAATGAAATCTTCACTTTTCTAATTTTTCGCAGAAAGAATTATTTGTAGATAGCTTGCCTTATCACTGCAGATGTCATATAATCAATTTATCTGAGCAACAATGAAATTGAATGCTTAGAAAAAAAAAAAAAAAACCACTTTTTTCGTGACCATTAATAGAGCATATGAAAATATATGAATTACGTTTTTATAAAAAATGTAACCTTCCATATGAATTAAAATCATGAGATCAGTGGTTATTTAAGTTACCATTATGTATGGAATGGTTGCTTTGCATGCTGATTTTTTATGAAAAATATGTAAACATAAATTCCTTCTCAATTTTTAAATTTGTCGGAAGAGACTAATGGGTTCTTTCCTTTTTATTAATTACATATATGTGTTCCTGTGAATAAATGGAGGAGAGACGAACATAATTCATAGAAGATTCCCAGTGTATTACCCCGAAGGGTATGTGGACGAAGCATGGTATAAGCAACGTCCAGGCTACATATCAGTGTTGAAAGCTTAAGCCAGATTTGGATCCATCTTGGCATTGATAAATTACGTCGATTGCAGTGATCGTTTTGCATACTGATTATCCTGGTAATTCAAATCCTTCCAGAGAATTAAGTAAGGTAAATTTTACCTAAAATATTTAAAATGCGATTAGAACTGACAATTAGGATTATATTATTTTCCTGGAAAAGTTACAGCCAGTGGTAGTCAATAATTCTGGTAGTCAATAATTCAAAGGTGATTCAGAAATTTTATTGCAAAATAATAATTATTGGAGAGAGACGATTCAGGAAGGATAAAAGATAGAGTTTCAATTTTCATTTCATAATTTATTTCAATCAATTCATGGATCGAAAAAAACTGGGAAGAGAAGGAAAGCTAAAATCAATAAAGAAACGTCTAGTCAACTTTTATATTTCTGCATTTCCTCTTATACGACGGATTTCAGCAAGGAAAGCCATTTTTTAGAGCAGAGGTACAAAAAAGTGCAGTTGAAATGTTGAGATGAAGATATGATTAAACAGAAGAGAAAAAATAAGTAATCTTAAAATTTTTAGATTCTTTAAAAATTTTCAACTCATTAAAAAAAAAAAAAAAAAAACCAAAATTCATTTAAGAAATCTTTCACAAGCGTTTAAAGTTAAACTGAGTGATTAAATCTTCTCGCTTTTAATGATAAGCAATTTCTGGATTTGACTTGAGGACTAGTCTAGGTAACTTGACATTGCATTGTTTTGTAACAGCTCAATTATGGTACCTACGAATAAGGGAATTGTAAATTAGTCATTTATTCTCTCACGAAAGACAACTTTCGGAAAATGATCAGCATGAGAAATCAGTTGATTTCAAAAAATATCGAGTCAATGGAATGTGATTCGTTCCTCGATATTATGAGAACAGCATTGATTCGGTGGATGACAAAGGTGAGAAATGAGGTCAAATGACAATTACTGCAGTGCCGATATTTCGTCGAATTTTAACACAGTGATTGGCAGCAAAAATTTCTTCCGTTCGAAGATATGAGAATGATGAAAACCCAGAGAGAATGAGAGAGAGAAAGGGAGAGAGAGAGAGAGAGAGAAAGAGATAACGACAATAGCACACGGAAATACTGCATATTTTGACTGAGAGGAAGTACCATGAAAATCGTGAAACACAGTGACACGTGCTAAGAAGGATGATAATCTGAACAACAAGCAAATAACGAGAAGTTAAAAAGTATGATCGAAACACATCGACAAGTTTTCTTTTTTTCGAGAATTAATCTGAAATAATAACGGAACAGTCTATTTATCATAATCAGTGCTTATGACAGTCGGAGACTGTTACTGAAAGCACAAGCCATTTCAGTTAAGTAGTGAAAAAACGTATGAGGAATAAATATTGTGCGCGGCTAAAAAAATATAACCAATTTTACCTATTTTCTTGTCAGTTCCTTTTTACTCGAAACTGTTTTTTAACCTTAAGCAAAGAACAGCAAGATAAAAGTAAATCGGTTTATTTTAATTAAAACTTCAATTTCGATAAAAACGATGAATGGAATATTTGGTAAAGCAGAACGAACGAATGCTGAAACGAATTAATTATAGGGATAATATGAATGCGAAATTATTACAGAAATTTAAATGAATATTAAGTGATGATCATTTCTAATACGCGCATAAACAATGTTGAAAAAATGACAGCAAAATTTTGACCTAATTTCATAGTTTCAATCAAAGATTGCGAAAAACTGAAAAACATGTAATATATATGAAATTTTGCTTCTGTTATCCCATTAACGAGTATCTCTGTCTTTCAGAATTTTCATCTAAAAATTTAAAAGTAAGTTAGAAATGCTAAATAATAAAATGAGACCTACAACAGAACCAAATTAGGCAGAAAAAACAACCTAAACTTCCATTAGAAAACATTAAAAATTGGAACAAAATTTTAATCTTAGAGTTCTAAAAGTGTTTTTCATTTCAGGTCATTCCTACATTTAGTAGTTTAGGAGTCAGGAGTCAGTGTCAGTAGTTTAGTAGAAGTCAGTAGTTTAGGAGTCAGAAGTCTGTGTCAGGAGTCAGTTTAGGAGTCAGAGATAGTATTTGCATAGTTCCATCAATTTTCAAATTTCATCTTTTGCTTCAATTTAATAAATATGGACAAGAAACAGGAAGAATTTCGTTATTCCCAAAAAACTACCATACTGTTAGACTTCATCTATTCGTATTCCAACTCAACCAAATTTTGTCGCAGTTCATCTATCATATTCTGTCCGTAATTGCTTACGCACTTATTCCGAGTCCAATGATCTTTGCAAAATGCTTTTTTGCAACCTGTAATAAGAAATTTTTGATTTTCATTTTTTGAATTTGACAAAGTTCTGTAATTTAATTTGTTACTATATAGACTTTTGACAATGCTTTCCTGTAAAAAAAATTCAAAAAAAGTCTTGTTTTTCAAGAAAAGAAAAAAAAAATTGAGGTTTAAAAAGATATGAAAAAGCGATAAATTACAGCAGAATTATTGACCACACTGTGCATATTATTGCTAAATCTCTTATTTTAACTACTATTTGATGAAAAAAATAAATAAAAGTATTTGAGGATATCACATTCAGAAAGAAGAAAGTAACTAATTTTTAGATAAAATCTGCATGAATCATCAATTGCTTATCAAAGCTAATAATGTTGATCAAGATTGAACTAAATGATAAGTGATTAAATTTCCCGAAAGAATGTGATAAGTGACTGTGAATGAATCATTAGCTGTATAAGTAATAAATGAGTAAATTTAACGCTAAACAGGGAGCAAATTAATTACAGTTGATTATAATGATTATCTCTGATTGTTTTCAGTATTTTTTAAACGATTATTACTGAAAACAATTAGAAACAATTTGACCTTCACAGTATGCGGAATCAGTGATTTTCTTGCACATCTCACAAGCCATCCGTCTGTACAGCGTTACCGATCGGTTCATCTTGAATAGATGACCATTCATCGATTCAATCTCTTTGAGTTGAGTCATATTTAGATTTGTTGTTACTATTGAACCATGTAACTGCAAAAATAATGAATCGAATTTCCCGAAAGATTTTTTGAAAAATCAAATATTTGTCATTCAAACTGCAATGTTTTGCTAATAAAGTGAGGGAGCCTTAAATGGTCTGATATTTTACAGTACGCAGTAAAAGCAGTGGTTAATAATGAAACATTGTTGAAATCACTCATATAATTGAAATATATGCCAAAGAATTAATCATTTAATGATTGAATTTAAGCTTGCGTTAACTACATTATTTTATTGAAAATGAAAGAATGATCAACCTGAGGTGGTAGTAATCTGCTTAACTTTAAACGCACTAAATCATTTTTAGTTTCAGAAGCGATCCGATTGATAAGCTTGATCATTACTTCCCTACGCAGATGATATTCATTACTTACAACCAATAATGTTACCACTTGATCTGCTTTCAATGCACTGAAAATACTTTTGTTTTTCATTTTCACCAAATTACTAACAGAATAGGTGCAATTAACTTTATTGCCACATACAACTTAATTATTTTAGCATAGTCTTTGCTTATAATAGCATTTCTTGTAATAATTTACGTTGTTATCAATAGCAATAGAAGATAAATTTTCTCAGTGTAACTACTGCGTAATAGCAAAATAAATGAAACTTCAAAAAATGATATCAAAATTTCAAAGTAAAATCTTCGGTATCGTTTGTTATTTTTGATCGAATGCAACCGAATGAACGAGTGATATGGATTAGTTTGCTATTTTCCTATTTAAATTGGATTTCTTATTCATTTGTGCTTAGCTTTTGTTGAGAATTAACAGTAACAGTTTTAAAAAAGTTCAAAATATTCAGTTACTTTTCATCTTCAAAAAATTAATAAACTGAAATAAATAAAAAAGAATGATTTGCAGATGGCCAGCTAATGATAATTTATTACTGTTTGTTTGATTTCATAAATAATAGATTGACTAGAAATTTTATTCAGAAAGAAGTATGAATTTAATTCAAATTTTGATTTGATGTCAATAAATGACAAATTATAATATTTTAGCTCCAGTTAATTTAGCTTTTTCATTTTGTCACTTAAAAAAATATCATTGGAGAGATTCTTTTTAGTATTAAAATATCACTTTTTAAACATCTGCTATACTTACTTTTGATATTTCGAACTCTTCCTAAATTTTTTACTTTGATTATTACAAATATCTTCTTTGTACCAATAATTTGCTAGAATTAACATTAGTATTACAATATACTGCTCAATAAACTGATAAATCAAAGTTTAACTTTTACTTTTGTTTTCTTCCATTCTCAATGATCAGACAGTTATTAGGTATATTAATTCTAGTTGTTCGGTAGATCTTACTATCAGAATTACACCGTGTCCATTACTAAATAAAGTTTAACTATTGAAACTTACTCCAAATTACACCTATTGGAAATGAATTCTTCGCAAGCTTCGATCAGCGAATTCACTTGATACTTTCTCGATAAGCGAAGAACCGTTGCAAAATTGTTTTCTGAAATATTATACGACGCAAAAATTGCCTTAAATGTAAACTTCATGTATTATTGTATTGCCAACTTTTCTTTGATTTTTAATGTTTTAATCTCATTAATCCGTATTTTTTTTTTAGTGGAAAGATTAAATGCCTGAAGATGACCCATGTGCTGGTGACATGTTAGTGACACACTAAAAAAGCAAAAATCAGATTGCTGGAACGAGTACTGTCGTTGACTGCAGAAAATGACAGCTGCTATCACTGCCAGAGTGCTTTTAGTACGCGGAAATAGAAGAGATATGCGAGAAATTAGTATCTGTACAGTTTGATTTTCTTGAAGAATATTAGAGCTTTGGCTTCAGAGAAGAATTTCAAGTTAATGATAAACGTTCGTTAAGGATATTAGTACAAAAATTGAGTTGAATGAAAAAGCACAATTAAAAATATAAATTGAAATAAAAGAAAAAAAAAAAAAACGAATTTAACTTTGTAAAGATATTCCTATTAGATGCTGATTGAAAATTCTGCTTCAGAAGAGGAAATTTGAACCTTATTCTTTCATCTTAAGATTTTACTGTTTCATTTTAGTAAATTTCTTTTGAGATTTCTCAATCAGTAATTTATTCACAAGCATTTCAAAATGATGAAAGAATTTCAAACTCTAGCAGAAAATAACTGAGAAAACTAACCATCTATAAGATCAGCATCGCTGCAACAATTTAAAAATGTGGCAATATCTCCACTGCTTTCGTCAACAATTTCCCGTAAAGGTTGATCATCGCTATCACTTGTACTAGATGAGTTACTTGCCGGACAGACCATAATTCCGGCAAATATAGGAGAGAGTTTGGCAATAATTGTCGATTCGATAATAAACAAACGATCTTTGACAAGTAACCGAAAGGGTCTTTCGATATTAGAAGTGGAGGTTTGCGCCTGCTGTGGAGGAGAATCCATTGTCACCCCTGCTAATGAGATCATAACTGAAATAACATAAGTTGTTCAGTAGAGTGATGGTATGCATGAGAAAACCGAAAGATTTACTCAAAAAGACGAAAACATCAAGTCGGCTAAGTTTCACTCCGAACTGTCATGTCATATTAAGACTTTTGACCTGTTCAACTGCTGAATCATTCAATTTATTTCACTACTTTATTCATTTATTTACTCAATCAACCGTACAAACTCACCACAATACACGTACTCTACTAATTAAAAATCTCAATTTACCCACTTGATGTTTTTATTTAACTTTATCCAACTAGTAACCTAGGTGATTGTTATTTTTATGCAACCACTTCACCCTTCAACTAATATCAATCCATCTATGGGAAACTTTTCTTTCCGATTCCAACAAACATTCTTGATGATGAGAATACAAGAGCATCATTAATTATAAATTTGTATAATTTGAATTAATAATAATTATGACTACTACTTTTGTTCGGAATCAACTATTGAAATAATTTGGAATTGATAAGATATATCTAAGTAGTATTAAAATAAAGGTTTGAACAATAAAGAAAAATATCTCGATACGAGAAGTTAGAAAGAAACAAAAATGGTTTTAAATTATCACATATTGATTATTTCCAGTAATTATCACCTTTAAAGTAATGTTTCATTTATGACTACTAGGAGAAAGAGAAAACTGTTGAAAGTGACTTTGAAAAGGTAGCAATAACAAAATGTTGTAACTAAAATCACTTTTGAGGTAAACAAGATAAGGCATCAGAGTACTGTTGCTCATCACCTATAGCGATGAGAATTCTTGTTGAGAGGGAAGATCATTGCAAACATATCAATGAAATCGTCAAGCAGAGCGAACAACAACAAATTGTAATTCTGGCCCTTTAGCTTCAGCTTGGCTGCAAGCAAGTTGAAAAGAATGGAGAGTAGTAAACAAGAGAAATTTGTTCTTTTTTTTGAAAAACAAAGAATTTATATATCAGATGGCAATATTTTTGTGTGTATCAGTTTGCTTCAGAATGCATAAATTCATTTCAATTTGGTTATCTGACTTTCTCTTCCTCTTCAATAAATGTATCTTAAGCTTTATCTTGCTTATCTCTTGAAAATTTTGTTGAAGAACATCTTAAAGCTAGTTGACCAGGAGAAAAGTGTAAATGAATAAATGAAATCCAAATTCAGTTTCAGCGGAAATTTCTGAATTTTTGCAGACATAATTACATTGATTTTTGAACAAGTGAACTTGAAAAGGAAAAAAACTTCGTTTGTAACCAATCACAACTAGCAAAGAAAATTCAATTTCGTTCTTCACTTAAAATTATATTTCTGTTTGAAGCTAACTCTGATTGCTTTTGATAATTTTGTAATTTTTGAAAATACTTCAAAAACCTTTTTATTGATCTTTTTCAAGCATTTGAATAATTTTATTTCTACAGCCAAATAAAGCATTTGCAAAATGGTAAATCTCACTAAATGTGACAATCGATTGGCTTGAAGAAACTTACATGCAACAACAACTAAATACACATTATCAGTTAAATCTATGGAAGTTGCTAAGAAACAGACAAATGCAATAATAATCATTCATCAACGTTAGAACTGTGTAAAAAAGTTACTTCATATTAATGTTTAGTTAAACAAATCTAATTTTATTTTCTGCTACTTGATAAAAGCATTTCCGTCTTAATATTTCAGATTTCAATCTTAATTACAAAAGTACTTTTTGTATACTAGAAAAAAGTTAATTTATATTATACAATGAAGACCATGAAGATCATAAATTCTAAATCATTAAATAAGTTCAATTACAATTGAGACAAGCAGCATAATTATAAATAGTTGATTTAGTTTATCACTGATCATATTCGTCATCCATGAAAAAAGTACTGTTTGCTGGACAGATACAATTCAAATCGAAGAGTAACTGGAATAAGTTTGACCTTTTGAGGTTATCGTTTTTTTTTTTTTAAGCAGAACTAGAAGTTCTCAAATTACTAAAATATGAATAAAGAACTTCTTAGTAACGAAGTGGCAAATTTTAATGAAGGGAATGATAAGAGATATCATACAATGGTATCAAAAAATGAATCCAGTAAAAAATCAATTCATATTAGACCATGAAGATCATAAATAAAAAATATGAAAAATTATTTCAAATAACTTCGGAAATGGGAACATATCTTAAATTTTTTTTTCTTTTCAATACAATGTGATTAAAAGAAGGAACTCCCAAGGGTAAGCTTCATTCTTGCATTTCCAATATGTAAAGTATGTTTAGCGTTTCCCACACTCAAATTATTGCTATTCCCATAGGCAAAATTTCATCGGTTAGTGATTAAAATTTTAATGAAACTACTGAAATACTGACATACTTAAAATCTCACACATAATCATTCACTTAATATTTGCATAATGTAAGCTATTGCTGGAAGTACTTCTAGCAGAGCAAATCGTGTTGGAATGCAATGCAATTGTTGCACTTGGAATTATGATGCGGCAGTGTCCAACTAAAGTCTCTTTTCAATCAATCTAAGCAAGGAATAAGATAAAAGCACCAAAGAAGAGCTGTTTGTCCTCTCTAGCATCTTATCTCCGTTCGGAAATTGCTAATATTATTGGAAATTTGTTGAACAGAGCTGCTGTATTCATAACAAAAAGAAAAAAAAAATTGGTTACTCTGGAGAACAATATTGCATCAAAAATATAAGGGCCTAAAGATAAGGCACCTTTACTTACGACTAGGCTTTTGCTAACACTGCTTGAAATTAATTTTCTATAATTAATTTTAGCCATCTAGCTCAATGTAATTAAATTTACTCCGCTTTTGAGCTTTTATGCAGTTTTCAGAAAATTAATTACTCACCCTATCATACAACTGAGGCAATAGGATGTTAAAATGTTTGAAATCTCATTTTTCTCCAAACAAATGAACTTGTCATTTCCTATATTAACTACTCAGATTTTTTCACCTTTTTTTTCTACTAATGGTTCTCGTTAATTATTTTACTCATATAAATGGATGATGACAGATTCTGAAACAATGATACTACCATGAGTGATAAAAATGAAGAAGAATTCTACCTGGAATATAATTTCTTTATTAGTTAACAATCTTTGCAAATGTAACATTGTAAATTGAACGGACAAGCAAATAAAAGCGAATTTCTAGTATAATTCCAACTTTGGAAAGAAGTTTCAACGAGTGATAGAAACAATTGTTATGGTTGTAAAGAAGTGAAATAAACTAAAGCTAACTCTTGACAAGTAAGTCAACACTTTGATGCTTTCCTCATCGGGAAATAATCACAGATTCCACCATAATCCTCGCAGTTACTCTTCGAATGATCGAAGACTTTGCGGGCTAAATTCTTCAACAGAAGAAAAGTAGTATTACTTCCGTTAGGACAGCTTGCTGGTAAGTATTCAAGCATCTTTTAACTATCGCATTATTTAGTCAATCAGTAGTTGAAAATTGGACATTTTCAATTTGGAAAATTTAATAAATATTTTTTTAACAGATAGACGAGTTAAATTTAAAATTGGATATTTTTATTAAGTTAAAATTTTTTGCATGTATAAATTCTTGCTAATTCAAAATATCGCAATAAAATACCATTGAAAAGTTTTTTAATATTCAAATAACTTTGCTTACTTACCATTATAATTGCTAATATTACTTGTTAAGTAAACTCGTACAAATTGAATCATGTAGAAAATGAAAGGGAATCAAGTTAAGTAAATAAAATATCAATTTTAGAAATAAAAAAAATTCAAATTTTCCTTGAATTATTAATTGATAAATAAAACCAATCAGTCTATAGTGAAAAAAATTTTTTTTGAGTGGAAAAAATTTCGTGATGGCCATGGTATAGAAAGGAGTTATTAAATTTTTAAATCGTTTCAATAAATCTCCGGTAATCATCTTTTCTCTAAACTGCGTTTTTCAAACAATCTTTTATTGACATTTTCTGAACACTACCATCATTCTTTCGAACACAGCTAAGTGCATCATAAGTTTTGACATTTTCCATTATTGCTAAGATAGTTTAGCAGAGATTAGATAAAATTTCATTCCATTTAAGGTACTCTTTCTAAGGAAGCCAATTTAAGACTTCCAGCAAATTTCAGATTGCTTCGAAGACTGAAATATGAATATCAAATTTAAGCCTGAAATTGTCTTTCATATATCAAATCCTATTCGCCTTCAAAAAATAACTAACGGTTCGCTTTCATTTTCCAGTGGCATCTTGAAAATGTTAAGTCTGGTGCCGATATTGAAATAAGAACAGCATAAACAAATTTAATTTCAGCTCAGATTGATGCATAGCTCTGATTTGAAGGATCGCCTAATCAATCAGTTTTGCAACTGTATGATAAAAAAAACAATTAATGTGATAAATCAACCAAATTCATTGATAAATATGCACATTGGTAGTTGTCGCGAAACGCACTAACTGAATTTTGAAGAATAAGCAAACAATAGAATCTTGAAACACGTGAAATGCACATTTTCGATAGCAATGTTTGAACTTGTGGCACACTTAATGATAGCTTCTAGTCGCATTTTGTAATTATTACATTCGTGAGTTGCTCATATTACAAGGAAATAAATTTTTTTAGTGTCTTACATTGAGATGCCAAGAGATTAAGACTAAATGCATTCAGAATTTCATGTGTAGATGTCGTATAAGTTTAAATTTCGCTTGTCAGTGATGCTATCGTTTCACAATGCTAGAAATTTTTCTTTATTGTTATTATTATTCATTAAATAGCTAGATGGCGGTCAAAAAAGGTCGTTTTGAGGATCTCTTAGCTATCTTACTCTGGTAATCACTTTGAATTTTAGATATAAGCGTACAAAATCATTCGAAATGGTTCCTTGGATTGTTGGATTGTCAAGCCATTGTGCGGTATAATTTTTCACACAGTAAACATATTTTGCTTTAGATTCATTAATAAATGATTTATAAGCTAATTTATGATTGAACCATTCACTTCGTTGTCAGTGATTTCTCCAATGCAATGTTCCTTATTTTAGAAAACATAAGACACGTGAAATAAAGAATAATTACTGAAAACTTTACACAGAAGTAGCAAAGAAGATTTGCAAAATGTCGGAAAGGTAAATCTCAGATGAGGAAGAATAAATAGGATGAGATAACGCATTTCTACAATTTAAAAGCGTGGGGGCTGAGCCGGTGATCGAAACCGGGACCTCTCGCACCCAAAGCGAGAATCATACCACTAGACCACTCAGCCATGTGTTGACAAACATTCCATTTGATAAATGTCATGAATTTTGGTTTTGAAGTTTTATTGTCATTCGACGATAGACGCAAAATCGAAGTTTTTAAAATTTTATTGAAAATGATTAAATATTAGTAAATTATAATTTTGTCGATTAATTAACATTTGGATGTCAATTTGACATATCACATAAAGTTCATTTTCTGAGAGAAATAAAATCAAAAAATGCAATACTTTCTGTTGAATTTTAACGTTGAAGCTTTAGTATCACTTAGATGTTAATATTTTTATAAAATTTATTCTTTAAACCGCAAAAGTATTTGACTGATGTATTATCTTAGAATAAATGAAAATGATTAAATAATGCCAGTGAGTCATTAATTTATCATCCGATCGGCATTTCAATGTTAATATTCTTTAAATCTGCTGCTAGAATTATCAGAGAGGTATCATCTGGACGATTTAAGCCAAAAAAGTTTATCATATCATTCATTCCTGGTATAAGAATATATTGGAAGTAATCAAAACAATCAATGAATTATCTTATCATTTTGGTAGCATTTCGATATTAATAAAGTTCATTGTGCTGCAGAGGTGGTCTTAAGTACAAGATTTTAATTGTTATATTACGTAAAACTGAATTGGAAATGTTTAAAGAATATCAACAAGTTAATAATTACTTGCTTCCATTTCGATACTAATATACATACTTAAGAAATTAACGAACTCCTCTTTCCGATAACTGCCTGTTAATCTAATAAAAATGGGAGGAAAATCTCCTTGATAACATTTTCTCGAATGTTCTTTTTTCTCAGAAAAGGCATATATCCTGAGCAAAGGTATCAGCGATCTCCGTGGAAAAGTCAAAATAAAGACCCTGTATTTCAAAAAATGCGTAACGTGTGTTATTATAAGTATTACATTACCATCGTCAGAAAATTTTATTACCGCAATTATACTTTCCTCCAACTGAATCGAAAGCAAATGTATATTGTAGTTGAATTTCAAAGCAAAAAAACCTCTCAATGACTGTGAGCAACCAGCACTAAATAAACAAACAAACAAAGCAATATTCAAAGTGTACTTGAACTTGCAGCACTACAAAGACTAAATATTTCTGGATTCATTACACTGAATCAAATAACTGTTTTAAACCAAACTGATGAATCATTTATCCAACTTTGATTTTCCAACTGTAAACGATTTAATGTGCATTGTCTAGAACACTCCAGTCTGTCAACAAAGAATATGTGCATTTGCCTAGTATGTTCTAAATCATTCCAGAGAGCTATAAAGCAAGAGATTGCCGAAAAGTAGCGAACATGTTTTTATTGTAAAGGAAGATTCAATCAACGCTATGATTAGCCATCATAAGACCATCAAGCCAGAAAAATTAAACAAAAAAGGCATGAATAACGACGCACAGCACAAAAGGGTTTTACCTTTATCTCCCAATTATAACTAAATTCATGTGCATTCTAGAATACTGCAGTCTGTTAATATATACATTACTTAATATGCTGTAATATAACTCTCAATTTCATTATGACTTTTCAGTCTGACAATCAAAATCTTTGCTCAGTTGGTTTTATCGTAATAATCAGCATTATTCATCAAGAATAATTTTTACTATTACAAACCACTCCCAATAAAAGGTCACTTCTCACCTGGCTTCTTGCAAAAAACCAAGCTACCATCCAGACATATCAAATCTATCAAACGATAACCTCAACCAATTTTTATCGAACTTTCCCTATGGCTCAATTTTTCGATTCAAATATTCGATTTACATTGTAAAGTTTGATAGGTCAACTCAGGACAACCATTTATATACTATCAAATCCCTATTAGACCCCAATCAAATTTCCCCAGAAATTTCCTACAAGCGACAACAAAGAATAATCTAGGTCAATTCGTGATATTTTCTGACACCTGATAAATAGAAGTTAAAAAATCGAAGTACAGACTCATTCAATTTTCACAAATTTAGAACCGAGAAAACGAATAGCACCCTCCTGAAAATAAAGTAGTTTATCAAAAGTGACTTATTATTGATTATCTTCTTCAACTTTCCATACTTCTTCGAAACTAGACGTCAGTTTCGAACACATCAGCGCAGCGCTCAACGGAAAATTGCTTAATTTCACCTCTTCTTCGGTATAATCCACAGTGGTCTACAAATACCTCTCTGATTGTTAGATGTATTTTGGACTATTTTATGCAAAATGAATTTTTTTACTACGTTTCAATAACAACTTGCAATAATTTACAACAGTGAATAGTAGGAATGACGCTGACAATGCATTGACTTTCGTTTCAAATTTGCTAACCTTTCCCTTCGCAAACCCACCAATGACGACTGCAATGGGTTTATTACCAGCACTTTTGGCAAATTGTGTACAACTTATATATTCTGGAGCTTGATATGACGCCAGCACTTTCCGACAACCAGTCGGCAGATGAATGCTTACTGGATTTTTAATTACTTTCAGCAACTTCACTGAACTATCAGCTGCACGTATAAATAATTTATGTAGTAGCTGCACTAAAATCAAACAACGGTTAATCAGGGTTCATTTGAAAATTAATTGAAGACAAAACAGTAAATAAATATTTATTTGGGCACATTGAAGTACCAAACTGTGAACTACAATGCAATCTCATGCAACTTGTAATAATAGACATTTACTTGTAATAGTTGATAATATGGATTCGACTGGTTAGTAAAGAAAATATGCAAAATGAACCCATCAAACCACAGAATCGATCGAATGTCCTCGGGATACGAATTTGAGGGTTCACTTCGATTAATACGTTATTGACGGTGTGCACATAAATTTGCAATAAATTCGCTCGATTTAATGGACTATCAAGAAGCATCAGAAGGCACTACAAGATATAAAGTATTTACAAGTACTAATTAAGAAATGCAGCAACATGCCTTTGGTCAAAATTTGATTCACTCACTAATATTATAGCCCATAAACAAAAATTTTATAACGAGCACAACGAAAAGAAAAATCCATTGAACAACTGAAGTAGAAAACAAACGGAAGAGAAATTCATCTTTAAAATTAAGTGAAATATCTACTTGATGCAGAATATCTGGTCGAAAATCAGCGGGATCTCTTTTCTGATTTCGAATGAAGTTAGCATGCCTGTCACTAGACAAAATCACATAGTCTTTGCCTATCTGAAAAACGTGAATAGAATAAAAAATGTTAAAACAGGAAAACGATCTAATTCCAACAACTGTTGCATTGGCACTAATAAAGTGCTTCTTCCTGTTGAAAGATTTAAATCCCGTAAAATCAATAACAAATAAAAAGAACACAAACATAATACTATCTTGTATGGTGCGCAGCACTCATTCAAATTTGATTAGTAATTTATTTTACCAATTCCATTGAAAGGCAACAGCAAGGGATATCTGCAGCTGAAAATACATAACCTTCGCACTCTCCAAAGAACATTTCTCAATGATAACGATGAGCCGTTTCTTGTTATCGTGCTCAATTTCCTCATCATTCTTCTTGATACGTTTAGTTGCTGGTACTTCAGGCATTTATTGATTTCAACAAAAAGATCGCTTATTTCTTCTGTAAGTATAGATATTCATGGAAAGACTAGGTAGCAGCTTTATTAATAAGGAAGATGGGTTTATCATTCAGATTTCTAAACACAAGATAAGGTCGATAACCATCGACTTTAAATAAATATATCAATCTTTTTCCTTTATTCTTAATATTTACAAGTTTTACGAATTTTCTTCATTTAGACCTTTTCTATATGTCTAATTAAGACAAAGGAAGAATCCACGTACACTTTTTCAAGCAGTCTTTTCTTGCTTAGCTCTATCACAACTAAGAACACATTTGCAACATATTTTCCCATTTTAAAGAGAACCGATTCAAATTAAAAAAGAAGTTCTGGATGGAATGAGACCCAAAGTAACGAGTGAAAATCTCGAAGTGGATATCTCACAGAATGTCTACGTGTCATCTAACGCTTCGCACACTAATTCCCATTTGGGCTGAATGCTCTCGTACAGCAGAATTTCTAGGTTCCCATATAACACAGTTCTAACTACACGCACCTCACATAAGCGTATCACGTGCACGCCACTCGCAACAACAACTTCAAAAAGTGTTTGTGACTTACCTATAAAAAACAAGCCTCCTTAACAAAGTACCTGAGCTGCAACACAAACAATGCTTGAAGGTTTCCGCGCGAAATTCCGAATTGCTATTTTGAATGTGACAAGTAATAAAATACGATTTATCGGATGGGCTAAGTCAAGCTGCATGCAGTGAATACATAAGTTGCATGCACGCAAATAAAATGCCTCATTTCAAATGCATGTCATGCACTGAAGCATTCATCATGAAAACATGTTAGTAAGAGCTGCTATGCTTCGGTTAAATGGTATAACATCCTATTGCATTTAACGAGAGCGAGCGATCAGTGGACTGAATAAATAATAAGTAGTTAATGAGATGAGTTGGAACGAAATATTACGACATAAATAAAGTGACGTGCGACATAAGCGCCTTTTGATTTGCGAGTCTTCTTTCTTTACCATTCCACTATACTATACTGCAGGAATTGCAAAAATCAAGGACAGCTGACCAAATGGCATTGATAGTACTGTCAAGGAATGATTCATCCTGTGTTATACTTCAGCGTTGTTTCTATCCAAGTCTAGTACTCTTCACCACCTTCTTTCTGATCTATTCCACTGTTCTATCACTATATCCCTTCTATTATTCACTCATATTTTTCTAGAGGATTAGGAAGACTAAGTACTGTTGCATTGAATCGTGCAAATTGATGTTGGACATAATGCGCACCGCACGGAACATCAACAGTTCAACAGTTCAACGGCATCACCTGTGGGAATCATCTTCCTACGAATTGTATGTATCACTGGTTCACTTCATTAAAATCATTAGAGTTAACAATAAGCACCGTTCCTCTCGTATAGCTGCTCGTTGAACCCTTACGGAAGAGAGAGAGGGAGGTGCATTCACTTCCGTACTTGATGTTAGCCTTTTCTGACGAGAAGATGGTCTGGTCGACTCGTCCTCGTCCTCTCCTTCCTTTCATCTATGTGAGTTCGTGAGTGACCGTTCATGTCCCACTGTCACTGCTTGATCGATGATGGATGGACGGTATGCATTGTGAAAAAGATGCTGTTGCTTATTGGAAGTGACATGCATATCCAACCTGTCCCTCTTTTGTTCTATCTTTATCTGTTCAGATGGGAAATGAAAGGTCTCACGAAACTTTTGAAATACTTTCCGTTATTCCATGATATTCTGCAGGATCATCACATTACCTGATTGGCAGTATAAAGGCCGATATTTGTCCGACACATTTTTGATAAGAACAGAATCGATAATTTCAGATATTAAGGAAAAAGTAAAGTGAAACTGTTTGCATAAAAAAATTTGGTCACAAGATCGAGCGGAACAGGTGAGGAATAAAAAGGATGATATATTTCAGTTATTTACCGTTTAGCATAAGCATAAATTTTTATTTTAGAAATTCCTTATAAATGCTTTCGAGAGTCTATTGAACATTTTTAATGTACAGTTTCATACCATTTTTATAGCCCACTTCTATTTTTTTTAATTCTACAAACTCTTGGGTTCTCTATTTACCTGGTTAAATTTTTTTAAACAAAAGAAGTGATGGAGGATACCGTCATGACTTCGGAACGTCGTCGATTACTGGACAAACACTTGGATACATGGACACAAAGTCTGCAGTTGGATGACGTGATGGTTTTCCTTCTTTCCAACAGTGTATTCAATGAGCATATTGTTGATATCATCAAGGTTACTATGTATAACCTTATGTGATACATTTGAATCCTGAAGTCAGTAGTGAGAATTTTCCATAAAATGTTGAAATTTTTTTTGCTCTTGTAATCCTTTCACTATTTGTAGAGCGAGTCCACCGTCGCTATGCAGCGATATCAGTTCATACGGCAGTTGAAGATGCGCGGAAATACAGCTTTTTCTTTATTTTATCAGTCACTGTTAAAGACGAATCAAAGGTATGTCAGATTACACGTCTAAAAGCTAGGTTGGGTTGTAAATGTTTAGGAGAATTTTGAGACCACCGTTTAAATAAGAGAGTATGTCTTTAATTTCACTTTTTAATATTCAGTGCTGCAAATGTTGTGAGAAAAAAAAGAAATGATGCGTAACTAAACTTTAGATATTTGGCCCATTTGATGGAAAGTGGATTAAGCAGTGAAGACAAAAACAATGTTGGTCAAGAGATTGAATATAAGTAACAAGCTTTACATTTCTTTATCGGACTACTGAAACACTTTCTCAAAGTACAAAATAGATGTGTTGTCTTACAGACTTCAATCAATTCATCCGTTCTTTTTTTCTTTGAAAGCTTTTCTGCAGCCTGCTTTCATCTCTATTATACGTACCTGAAATGCATTTTTAATAGTTTTAAATTAATCACATCTAATGTTTTTTTAAAATTTTCTTCCATTGATTTTAAGGTCAACTTTGCATAATAACCCATCCACTGGTGAAAATTGCCAAAGTATTGCTTGTCATAGTCCAACACCAGCGGCGATTCAAAGGAACTGTTCGTACTATAGATCATATGAGTGTGTAAAAAGTAAGTTGATCTGAAAAGAGACTGTTAGGTTGCATCAAATTTAAAGCGAACATTTTCTTGGGGTTTTTCTTTGAAGATCTATTTTAATTATAGTGCGTGAGCCTGCTGGTATACTCCATGACTTGATGGTGGATTTCATTGACACTGCTGCGAACCTCTCTTCTTTTGATGCTAATTTGGTGAGTATTAGTAGCAAATTGTAAAAAAAGTTCCATAACTTTTAAGAATATGTTTATTAGGGACTTGTAAAGTAGTGCAATTTTTAGACTTGTAAAATAGTGCAGTCTTGATAAAGAACCGACGCTGTTTTACAGTACTGGACAAAACTTTTTTTGTATAATAGTTAGAGTACTGGAAACATTCAGGCAAACAAAATAGGAAGCAGTAAATATTTCGTTATATTAAGTTCTTCTGGTTCTTGCGTTGCAAAGTCTTTAATATCTTTAGGTGTATCCCAATTTCTCATCACCTCGTGGAGTGGCACTAATTATCAACAACCGTTATTTCCTTGATATGCCAGAAAGAATTGGTACCGATGTTGACGAAATTAATTTGAACAATCTTTTTCGGCAACTTAATTATGCAGTTTCGGTTTGCCGAAATTTGTGTGCAAAGGTGATTTTTCTCATTTATAAGAAGATTTTGGGAAATGAATTATTTGGAATGTCGACAAGTGTTTAACAAGTGTTGCAATGACCTGATGATGAATTATATATCCCGTTGTTTTCATTGCTTAAAGGAGATGCTTATTGCTATCCAAGATTTCTCCAAACGCCCGGAGCATAAACACTTGGATTCTTGTGTTGTTTGCGTGTTGACACATGGTGAACATGGTGAACTGTATGGGACGGATGATGTCGCTATATCGGTATTAGAGTTTGTCTCCTGTCTAAATGCACGGAATTGCCCTGCTCTAGCTCATAAACCAAAACTCTTTTTCCTGCAAGCCTGCAGAGGACGTAAGTTTCATTTCAAATTGTTGTAAGATTTGGTTGTTAAAGCAATATAAATAAATAAATTATATATATATATATGTACATAAATTGTTTGTAGAGCAGTACGATCGAGGATTTGGCACAGAGTTTGATGGACCAGATGGATATTTTGATCGTTGGTTTACTTGTACTACTTCTCAACCTAAGAGCAGTTTACCAATGGAACAGAAGACAAAGTAATGTTACTATTTGAAAAAAAAAAAAACCATAACCTTCTGTAAGTTCTAGTTAAATAATCGTCTTTAATTTTAGATCACCGATAGAAGCCGACATATTAGTATCTTATGCAACTACTCCAGGATATGTTTCGTGGCGCAATTCCATGAAAGGTAGCTGGTTCGTACAAAGCATATGTGAAGTGTTTGCTAAGTATGCAAAATCCACCGACATTTTGTCGATGCTAACATTGGTTAGTTTTTGAGATATTGATCTTCGATATTTAATTTCTATTTGCGGCGTACTATTGATATGTTTGCAGGTGAATAAACAGGTAGCTGATGCTTTCGAAAGTTCCAGCGGTTCTTTCAAACAGATCCCTGACCATTCCTCCAGACTGCGCAAAGCTTTCTACTTCTTCCCAGGAACCATTAAACCTTTTTAAATGTTTCTGTATATGTTAAAAATTTGCTGTAATGTTTGCCACTATTCTACGCTACTTATTCCGAATAATGTCATATTTTGACATTTTGGCATCTGATCTTTCTGATTAGCTTCCATATAGTTCATCATCATGGTTTCACTTGAACACAGCTATACTGATTGTACGGTTAAAACCCCAAGCATTATAACTTTTGAAATAAGGAATTTAGTGGAAATGAAGTACTGACGGATCGACGACTTCTGGAATTCTCTTCTTTACATTGCTTCACTTGTTTGAAGTGACTATGACAATAAATTCTTATAAAATCACTATTCATTAGTGTCTGCCGATGTCCAGTTTTTACTGCTTGTTTTTCCAGTATTCCTTCCTCGTTTCTAAAGTTTTGTGAGCTGAAAGCAGTAATATAACGTTCTAATTTGACTGGTTTGGCAGTATGAGTTGTATTCGAGTGTTGTACAATTTTCCTGTATTGAACTTTTACCTTTCAATATGGTTATCTTGTTGTTCTTGGACTTATTTATATTTTCGTTATTTGTTATTAGCACGAATAAGTCAAAGTAGTTTAATCTTAATTTTATTAACATGAAGAAGGAGAAGTAATTTGATTTTAGTTAAACTTCCATTACAAGTTCTCCATAACTTCGGTAATCTCACTTTCTTAATCTCAATTTTCTTGTTGTTCTCAATTATTCAATCATTCCAGTCTTCCTTCGGTGCTTCATCACTTCCAATAATTTAATCATATTTATAATATTTGTCAAGTTGCATAATCATTATCGTGTTGACGTGGCTTTCCACATTGCCTGATATCCATAAATAATAATTATTTACAAGAACAACGTTATGTTTTCGTGAACTGGTCCGTGTAACGATGTCAAGCGAATACCCGAAGTATTCAAAAAATCTAAAATAGGGACTATTGAATGTATGTTTATATATAGTGCACCGGAGTGGATCACCAGGAAGCGAAACAGTGGCATTTCTTCTCACTAAGTGGCAGTCCAAGCAAATTAGATTGGACTTGCCTTCTTAAATAGCTTTAGAGTGGTTGTGATTGAAATATCAGTTGTGATTGAAACGTCTGACTATAAGGTTGACCCAATACGAGAGTAACATTTCAATATATCGAATACTTCGGGAAGTTCAGCCGCACTGAGGGGTATATTGAAAGACGTAGAACAGCCAACACCGAATTGGTTCGTTACGAGTTGGGGAGGTACTGCTGAACTAAAGTGTAAATAACTCGTAAGTGTCAAGCATACCAATGATGGTAGCGTCGAATTATATATTCCAAAATTGTACGTAATTAGGAATGTTCGATTCACTGAATCTGAATCGGGTAGTTCCCAAACACCATCAGATATGTAAGTTACGCAACGTTTTTTAAGTGAAATCGGGAATTAGAAAACAGTGTTTTGTTATGTATTTCAGGTCAGTTTGTGTACTTTTATCGAATGGGATGTCAGCATCACGAACAGTAACTTGGTTACCGCGAATACCAAAAGCAGTGAAAATTGGACACATTCCTCAACGTTTGAAATCACCGCGACTAGATTTTCAGCGAGCTCGCCTCGAGGTAGTTGTTCTTCACTGAAAGAACCTTTGTCTTTCCAACAAAGTTTTAGTGCACGTTCGATTGAAGTTATCTTGTAATTGTAATGTTTTGGACATTAGAGAATTTGCTGCGCAGAAACCACTCTCACATACTTTTATGTGGTGAGGTTTCAGTTGGTTGTATACTGCTTACGGTATTACAGATCCTACGGAGGATGTGTAGTACTTTATTTCGTGAAGAACGGGCAGAATTTCGATTTCACCGTGCAGTGGAGCTTCGTCCTTACGTGGAAAGGGTTAACGCTTTATTAAAATTTACTTTTTCTGAACTTTTTTTTTCACAATTCAAGTTTCTCGCTCGTATAATTATAATTACGTAAAGATAACAATAAATAAACTGAAAAAATTTGTTAATCTTAATATTTTATAGCTTCTCCAGTTTGGAATACTTCGCGGTTCTGAAGATCCATACACCAGAGAAATGGTGGATTGGTGGATAATGGATGGTGATATACGCGAGAAGTTTTTCGAAGTCTATGTTCCTAGATTTCGGGAAAAAGAAGATTTTGGTTAACTTTTTTATTTCTATTGGATTTTGTGTATACATTTCAAATATGGATATGTGGGAAGAGGTTAAAAGAACAGTTTTTTTTTTTTTTTTTTTACGCGATTCGTGTCGAATGAAGCTAGTCTTCCTCTTCCAGATTGCTCTTCCTAGTGATCAAAAACTTCCCACTTCAGTAGTGGGTAATAATTTGCTTGCTAATGTTATATTCACTCTTATGATTGCTTTTTGATTTTAATGAATTTAAGATATTCACTCTCATGATTGCTTTTTGATTTTAATGAATTTAAGATATTCACTCTCATGATTGCTTTTTGATTTAATGAATTTAAGAAACAGTGCCGAGCACCTATTCATTTGAAAAAGTAATGAAGAATATTTCTCAGGTCCGTTTACATCGTTATATTTTATCCAGGACGATCCCAGTGAAGGACACTTTCATAGAGGAGTCATTGAATTAAACGGCATGTATTTTATTATACATCATATGTGTAATTCGTAAGGAAAAGAAGCGACTGCAGTTAAAATTCATGTATTGAGTCTTTAGTATATTGAACTTTTTTTCAGGTAATCCTTATCCACCCATAGTCATCGAACAAATGGTTTATTCTCACAATTTACTCAATGTGCTCCTGAAAAATGCAATTTGCCAACAAATGTCAAATTTGCAGATGCAACATGCTGCGACGAAATAGTGTTGGAAGTTGCCGGAATAATGGCATGATATTAAGCTTTGACAATCCCTGTATAGCCATCTGAGAAAAGATCTGACATAAATTCATATTCTTATCCAATGTTTCTTGATGTTCTTACGCTTAGAACTTTCAAAAAAGAGAATGACTGATGAATTTGGAATTTCTGCAGTGGGGGTTATGTAAGAGTCTTTAACTCTTCGAATCATGAATCTTCCACAGTGTACTTATAAATGTGCTTATAAAAAGTAGAACTTGTTTTATATTCGGTGAGTGTATGGATGATGTCATGGATGAATTGTTAAACAGTAATGGATTGAATGAACTGTTAAACAGTAATAAATTGTGCAGGTGTAAGAATACTGTCGGTACTTGATGTTTCTCTACATCATGACTTATCGGATTTACAGATGATCCCCACACTTTAGTAAGAGTGCAGTGACGAAATGGCATAGAATAAAGTAACATTTTGAAAAAATTAAAAGAGTAGATTATATAAAAGCAATAAAAAGCTATATGAAATTACACTTTCTGTGGACCATTATCATCATTATTTGCGACATTTTGCACATTTCATGATATGCTCATGAAAATCTCCCAACGTTTCAAATTTATTAAATTCTATCTCGCATGCTGTGCAGTGTAAGTTGAGTATTTGTTCAACATAGCATTTGCTTATTTGATTCGTTTTGTGCTCTACCGATATGGTACAGTCCATAGAAGCCTGTAAACATTACTGATTTTAAAGTAGTGGCCCAGTTAAAATTTTCTCAGCTAACCAAATTATTGTGAAGATTTCGAAAATCAAAAATAAGAAATTGTTGGAAATCAGGAATCCGAAACAAAGAAGCCGATCTCCAACAATTCCTAAGTTAAGACTTCGAAAAAGAGTGCGGACTTAACAAGGAGTCCACATTTTTAATGTAGCCTTACATTCTTATTTCACACAGTTATCATGCTTTTACTACTTGTTATTGATCAAACAATAACTCACTATACGAGCTGAAAATAAGAAACGAAGACATAGTAACGTTCAATTTGATAAAATTGGAGATCGCAAGTCTTCAGTTCTAACAAGTCCTAACAAATGTTTTCTCTAAAGCCACGAGAGTTCTTAGCATTCCTATTTTTTAGCTATGGCATACCTGAGCAGAAGTCCATTTAGGTGAATCTGTTGCAGAGTTGTCACGTTTCAAATATTCATTGCAAATATAGTTGCAATGGAAGGTCATTTCGGATTCAGCACATTGAAGATTTGCTTTTATGAACTGCTTGTTGGATAAATTATCTCCCGAGCGTTTCTGCGTTTCATCATTACTTGAACAGCATCCTGTCGTACTCATAACCTTTGTTAGTAGGTCATGAGATGAACTAGAATCCATTTCAGTTTTGGAAATGTCAGATAAACAACGTTCAATTGGATTTAAACATTTATAAATGCTGTGCTAGCAATACGAAGCAGTTTGCAAATTTATCGCACCTTAGATTTATTATTTTTCAAGAATAGGATAGTATAGCTTATTTCAACTTTCCAACTGTTTAACAGAACGCTTTAGAGACATGTTAGTACGTTACTAATTTTCTTATGGAAGCTGGTTTCACTTATTAAAACCTCTCATTGACCTGCAGCAACTCCTAACCTGTATTGCATTTGTGTCCGTCTCCTACATACAGGTTAGGGATTGCTACACGTCTGTATCAATTGGATTTTATCAACAGTTACACTCAACCCCTAAGTAGGAATACTTCCGACCTTAGATTTCCAAATAAATTCTTCTCTTTTTGCATTGTTCTGCTGTATGTGTTAAGTGAAAATGATTTGCAAATTTCCTGTTGGAACTGCAGAAAGAAAAGAATCTCAAACTTACCTCAAGGGAATCATTTCGTACATCTCTTTCGAGGACTCAGTTTCGAGGATGCGAAACTTTGGGAGTCGGATCGACTGCGGATTTGGTATCCGTTCCAATACCGCCATTGCATCTTTACATCTGCTGCGCACACCCATTTGCGCAACTTTTATGTCTAAAATATACCAAAATATACCAAAAGTTTTTCGCTCGTTTACTTAAACCACATGTGTCTAATTTTCTTGTCTATAGAATAGGGCAGATCTGTATACGTCTTATGTTCTGAGGAGCAAAAGTCGCATAATATCACACATGTGTCACACAAATCCTCCAAAAAAAGGATTGGCGGAACTGTGTCTAAAACAAATGTCTACAAATGTTGAAGCAATTTCTGCACCATATCTCGGAAGTTCATTAAATATAAAGAATATTATTTGTGAGCGTTGATTTCTTATCTGTCTTAGACAGACCTCGTTCAAGATCATTCACTGAACTGTTTTTCTTTATGCACACATGTTCCTCAATTCTCTTCAATGCAAATGTTGCAAAGCCACATTTTGAACAAAGGAAAGGAGCTGCTCGAGGTAGAACATTATAATGCAGTGAACGATTACGGATCTTCTTCACTAAGCTGATATTTTTCCTGCGAAGAAATCGCCAACTCTTCCTCCTGAAAAAGCTTCCTATGCAAACTGATATTTCTTTCATCTATAATAAGGAATTTACTAGTCAATCAGTTTTAAATCTAGGAAGAAACAAGATTTATGAAGTAACAGTAAAATTTTCACAATATGATAGATTTGAGGAATTGGATGTTTTACAAGGGATGAAATAAGAAGTTGGGCTGCATCTTCAAAATCTGGCTATTAAATTTCTTCAGGGCATAATGAACCTCCTCCCTTCACCTATGCTGCAATCGACACAAGAAGTGAAGTTGTTGAAAGATGCGAGAAACATAAAGGCAATCGATTTCACGCTGATTTTGAGATCTTCCCGTCTCTTCATTTATTTTCTAGACCCTATGTATTGATGAAAATCTTTATGTTTTTTTTCTTCTTTTTTATTTGGATGCAAGCTCCTGAATATTCTAATATTTCACAGAAAAAGCAGTACACAGCTGCACTAACGTTCCTTTCATTCACAGAAAGACAGGAGATTTTTCACACCTCTAAATTTTCCAGCATTTCGGATAATGTAGTAGAGCCAAATTAATGTATTCAAGAGATACATACTGAGTTGAGACAAGTAGGAGTGTCATCCAAAACTATGAATCTAAGCATCTTCACACCAACAATTCTCCTTTGTAGTATAGTGGACATTTAAGGAGAAACTTATACCTGGTGAGGAAGCGTCGAAAAGCTGGATGTACATAACGTAATATGGAAGGCGCAACATGCATTCGCGCCATGCAACTTGCTTTATTCAGCAAAACCATTCTGCTGTTAATGCTTATAATCTTCGTTGGAATAATGGAAGCGCGGGGTGGTCGTCGCGCTGGTAAAAGTAAAGGCAAAAGTAATCTGCAATTTGCACAAGTTGCCGAATTCTCTTTGGTGCACACACAATTAGCTGACAGTAAAGTAAGTTTATATAAAAAATAAATGGAGCAAAAAGCAAGGAGTCATGAGTTATCTACTTCAATTGTTTGAAAATCATTGACGTCATATTCAATTGTTGAAAATTAGTTGACAAGTTTACATATATTTTAAAGAACCACCGTGATCCATCAACTACTCATATCCAATTCATTTTTAGAATGCCTTTGTCCCGTATATCGTTGCTGTATTTATTTCTTTGTTTCAACAATACTTTTTTCAAAGATATGAAAGCAATACAACAAAGTGAAAGTTATAATACAAAAAACTTGGAATTTCACAGCTTATTCTTCCTAATTAATAATATCAATGTGTTAGTTCATTATGTATAAGCTGAGACAAAAACATAAATAAAATTGGGAAATAATACTTATAAGTATGTATATTAGGAGAGGAACATTACTTGTTATTTGAGTAAACTAAAAACAATATCGGAGAAGTACCAAAATAATAACTCATTACTTGTCCGTTATTCTAAATATGTGAGCTTAAAGGGAGCTAAATTCCAGAGTGCTCATATCGTCACCGGGTCACATTTCAGCCAAACATTCCGGCTGGGTTATAAGTTGGTACTAATTTGCAAAGCTAAAGGTACACCGCGTCCAACCATCAAATGGTATAAGGAAGGAGCTGAAATGCTTCCAAAAAAAAATACGCACGTAAGTACTTCTTTACTGGATTGATGTTCTGAAACAAAAGGAAGTAATCCTTCACAGATTGTAATGATGTCAGCACTTCCACTTCTCTTAAGACTAACCTCAGTATTTGCTACTTTATTAATAAGTCGAACTGTGAACTTTTTCGGTGTTCCACACATCAGACAAGCAGTTTGAAAAATGAAATATCTAACTGAGTGAAATTCTCTAAATATAGTTTTTAATCTTTTCAAATATTATATATATATATATATATATCTTTTCAGATATTAAGAATTTCCACTTTCTAAAAAAAAACAATTGCAGCATTATGAGAAACTACTCGATGAAGATATGTTATGGAGCAAGTTAGAGATCGACCCAGCAACTATGGGTGACCAAGGGATTTATGCGTGTGTTGCTAACAATGAACACGGCGTTATGGCTAAAAATTTCAAAGCTGAATATACTTACTGAATCCATTGCTTCACTTATAAGTGATTTTCGCCGCACTATTCATTTTGAGATTCGTATTTAACTTCTGAAGCAATCACTAACTCTCAATATTTAATGCATCTTATTTCACGACTTTGGATACTAAAAAACTGACAATGAAAATGACCAGAGATATCTTCCGGAATGAAGTCTTCTAAGTAATACCAATCTGATAAGTTCGTAATTGTCACACTAATCCAATGTTCAGTTAGTCACTGAGAATGTCATTAAAGAAAAGTTCTCTTCTAGTGTTGAACCTACCAATAAAAATAAACTGCTTCCAAAGAAATTCATCCAACATTATAATTGAGAAATTTTAAAGGCAACTGGAATACATTCTTTATTATTCATTTGCACATTAATAAACTATTGATTTATAAGCATTGAATTTATTTAACAGATCGTTAATTAATAAAGTATTTGATAAGCCAGTAGATAAGCAGACAATCCATTCTGGTACGGTCTTTCACAGCTCATTTCAAAAGAAGTTTTAATTACTCTTCGCTCATTAAAGCTAGGTTTATCTTGAGGAAAGATATGAAATCTCTCAATATATTACCGTATCAATGCAATTATCGTTACAGAGAGATAAAGAGCGAGGAAGAAAGATAAAAATATGTGTTTTAAATGGAATGCGTTCTCTTCTTCCGAAATTTTGAAATTTTAATGATACCCAGCGGGATGGATAAGTGATACCATTTGATTATGGCTGAACAATTCAATTACCTGTACCCAAGTATCCGTAATATCAGCGAGAGTTAACCGTCAATAGTGAAACAGTGAGAACACATATGAGAATTGGACTGCACCGAATGGCACAATATGTGTAATATTTTAGCTAAGTAATGCTATTAAAGTATGTTAAAGGAAAAAAGGAGAAATTTCATGGATTTTGCGGAGAAAAGAATGAATTTAAGGTTAAAAGGCCCACATAATTAGATGGCGAGACAACTTTCATCAGAGTAACAGCACTTTACGACCGTATCGATCGATGCCACCTCTACAATACCTTCCAATTTAATCAATGCAATGACCCTTCGCAGACTGTTGGCAAGTTGACTCACGACCATTGGACTTATACTGTGTTAGTATTAGTGGTATTCTTACAACTTTGTTCTTATTTAGTTGCTGTTTTGGGGTATGTTGGGTTCTGTTCTGTTCTGTTTAAGTAAAGGACTGTATTGTAAGGATTGGTAGGTGGGAATATCTTAGATTTGGTATGACTACGTCACCTTGCAAATTGCTATCTCCTCTTTTGATTCTGCAGATTTTTTATGGCTTGATAGACGAATCCTTTTTCAGGTAAAGATGCAGACTATCAAATGTGTAGTGGTTGGAGATGGTGCTGTCGGCAAAACATGCCTTCTCATTTCGTATACTACCAACAAGTTTCCCAGTGAATATGTACCCACAGTATTTGATAATTATGCTGTGAGTTAGTTCACTTATTCTCCATTTATTTATTCTTAATTATCATTTGCCACTTCCTATTAATGATTCAGATTGAGTGGTAAGCACTTAGCACTCAGTTGCTTATTAGTTGCATATTGAATCTTTACAAGTCAATTACCACTCTTATGAGAGCCACAACACCTGTTTTGTATCGCTATTTGTTTAGCCAGTACTTCGTTTTGGTGTATTAAGCGCATATAATATTTGTTAAAGGTAACAGTTATGATTGGAGGAGAACCATATACGCTTGGTTTGTTCGATACAGCCGGTCAAGAAGATTATGATAGATTGCGTCCTCTTTCATATCCGCAAACAGATGTATTTTTAGTGTGCTTCTCTGTCGTTGCACCTTCATCTTTCGAAAATGTGAAAGAGAAGGTTATCATTTTGAATTTTTGCAACCTCTTTTTTTTAATTTATTTGTAATTTTGGTACTAAAGTTGTGTCAATTATGATTGGACATTGTCAAGAATATCTGAATGAAACTGGTTTGGTACTAGTGGGAACAAATTAGCATGGTCTTATATATATATATATATATATATATATAGCTTTTATATTGTGTACCAACTGGTTAAAAATTATAGTTATTGTTCCTTTTTTATCAAAGAAAAAAGGTCATAATTTCATCATCATTTTGAGAACGGAGCTGATATAAAATAAGTGGCTTTTGTTATTTGAATTTATACTGGTATTTTCTAACGTTTCATTATACTTTTGCATCTGGAGACGTAAATTTTGCGTAAGATGAGATCGACTTTAGCTATTGATGTCTTGTTATGTTAGGGGCTATTCTGTTTATCAAATAGCTTTTATTTAAGTTGATGAAAAGAATTGCAGTGGGTGCCGGAGATAGCACATCACTGTATGAAGACGCCATTCCTGCTGGTCGGAACTCAGATTGATCTTCGTGACGATCCCTCCTACATCGAGAAATTGGCAAAAATCAAGCAACGACCAATTACATTCGAAGTTGGAGAGAAATTAGCGAAAGAATTAAAGGCAGTGAAATACGTCGAATGTTCTGCGCTCACACAGGTTGCCCCTTAGAATTTCTCCTGAGATAGGTTTAAATAATTCAATCCATGCGATAAAAAATAAGAACTGAGAATTACGTGTTTCGCAACTAGTCTACTTGTACTAACATAAATGTGTGCATGATTAAAATTATAGCTTATTAAGAACTTGTACTTTGCGCTGGTAGCAATCTGTGTCACAATATTAAATGTTATACATATACGGTTAAAGTTAAAGGAGAAAGGTCCCTATTGACTAGACAGACTCAATGTTGCACATTTGGTTCAATGTGTGACTCATTTTCGAAGCATTTTTGTCATTTTGAAACCTACATATTTTGTGTTACAGAAAGGTCTAAAAAATGTGTTCGATGAAGCAATATTGGCAGCACTGGAACCACCGGCGCAAGAGAAAAAGAAAAAATGTACTATACTTTAGCGTCATTGTTTCTCGATCATGTTATATTGGTTTCTGATTTGTTAGTCATTTATCCGTAATGATTATGTTAATGTCTTAAACATTGCACACATACCACCACCACCACGTTCCCTCTTCTAGTTGGTCCATCTGCGCATACGTGTGGTGTTTCCATTTATCTATCCGACATACGTGTAGAATGAATGTATTTCAGTATTTCATATTTCGTTTACCACACTATGCGGACAACCAAATTTTTGGAAACTTTTTTAGCTTTGGAAAACTTATGCCCAGACAATACTTGCTGAGTAAGTCGAGTGATAAAAAGGCTATACTACTGAAGATTACTTAAACTTTCACCCATGGATACCCATGATCCATCTAAATTATTGCTTCATTTCGTAACTCTGCATTGTTCATGTATTTGATAGGCATATATCTTGCACGAATAAAAAAGAACAAACTTCAAAAAAGACTGGCTTGATATTCTATGATGCATTCTATGATCATGCTTATTGAAGCAAATCTGTACTTTGACTCAATTTGGAAACTTGGATTAGGCCACTCTGTGAAGGTATTATTGAGTCTCGCGATTGTGTATATTGAGATACTTTTTAGCTTTATCACCAATGAATTATATTTGCCTGCGTATTGTTAAAAGTCATGGTGATGAACAAGAAAAGCAATTAAATTATAGAAAGAATAACAATGTTTTCAATCTTTTAAGCACATTTTAACTGTTTTCCCAATAAAATTTAAAAAGTATTACGCCCTGATACGTTCATACTATGGCAAGAGTTTATATATCTGTAATATTCCTATAAAAAGTATAGTGGAAATCCATATTAAAAAAAGAAAAGAAAAAAACGTTTAGGGTGTCATAAAGAAAATGACAAAATTATAGTGTATTATACATAAGTAGAATTGGCCGGCATAAGTCAAAAAGTTGAACACCACGAGCACAAACACTGACTAAAATATAAGTACACTGGCTACAAGAAAAACTTGATTAAATTGTGAAAATAAGAAAGACAACAGCGATATAAATAACTATAACATAGATTCATCATCCTCCCTAGTTTGTCTTCCTCTAGTCCCTGATTACAGTGACTATAATAATTATGCATAAATGAATCGAATAACGATGCAAAAATGAACGAAAGAACAAGCACTGTCATTTCAATTGAATAAATAATGGAGCTAAGATGTTGGGCGTACATAGCTGCCCTTATAAAATTACCCGCGACATTTCAGTGTAAAAAAAATCACTTATATATTTGAAAAAATAGTTATTTTGACAAACCCTATTAGGGAAATAGTGCACGAACTGATTTTGGTGTGCTTCCGTCACTGAGATGTTTTGTCGTATATCGTAGAGCGCTTAATAACGACTCTGCCTGAAAATCGGATTATAAGTGAAAGATTTGAATCGAATGAACTCGAACTCTACAGGTGTAGTTGTCCTCAGATGCATACTCGTCTTATGTAAGAGAACAGTAATACATTATATAAATCATTCTACATAAACATTCCTACCGAAATAGTAAATTGAGTCCCTTCATATGGTGTATGAAATCAATAATTGCAAATTCACAGCTAATATTTCCTTAGGAAATAGAAAAGTATGCACCTCTTCATTTCTAGATTGTGTCTTGATTAGTTCCACAACCGATCGTATATCAATCGGAGAATCTTTGCAGAAAGCTCCCGTGCCATCAATATGATCATATAGTATAATCGCTCCAACCATAACCCTCATCGTGAAAGAAAAATTTTGATCCGAGAGTCGTTCCCAATTCTCCTCCTTTTCCACCATAAATCGGCAGACCTGGAAAGAATGATTGTTTAATAAACATCAAACTCATACTTTCGCCTTCTGAAATTCAGCTCTTCTGCTTACCTGCACAACAGTGGCTAGCGTATCTGTAGTGTTAGTAACGGGGAGGTCACCATTTGAAGCAACAAAATTAGTTGTAGCTGTGATAAGTGCAGAAAGCATTGGAGTTGGACAGGCCAAAAACAATGATATGGTGTTGGCCAGTTCCAAAGGTATAACGAACTGTCCGTCACTCTGAAAATAAAACATAGATTAGGAAAGTTAGTCAATCTTTGTAGCAGTTGTCATTAAAGACTTAAAAGATAAATCGTTTAAGCAGATAGCAAACCTCTCGTGACATTGCTCGACGATAGAAACTAAAATCGTTTTGCAGTGCTGGGGTACACATTTTGACAGTATCAAATGAAAGTGCAAAGTCTATAAGACGGGCAAACTGTCGACAAGTTGCCTGCAGTGTGTCCAACTGTTCCGCCGGCGGCAAAGGACCTGTAATTTTTGGTAGGATGGATTCATTTTCACTTACCAGATATTTTTGATTTTATGAATGATGGGGAAACGATACGCTGAAATCTGCCGATATGACCATATGCTCACCTCAATAATGATTATTTATGATTATAGCTGTGATGTGTGTGTGATTATAGCTAAGCTAATGCGTTATCGAGTCATGAAAACAAAAACGGATTGTAATTTTTGACAAGATAGATCTAAGCTATTTATGAAATGTTTTTTAATTCTATTTTCTTTTTTGCCACTTCAGTTTGTATTCAGTTTGTTGCCACTAATTTTGATATACTTAACAAACCTATGAACTCTGCTACCCCATAATTCCATTACTCAGAGAAAAGCTGTGCGAAAATGACTTTCGCAGAGATGGTATACGGTCAGTGGTACAAAAGCTACCTGAACAAAGATCCCACAGCAGCAGCGGTATAATCTGTTCAATGCGTTGTGATAAATCATAGTAGGCCCTAATCTGCATCACAAGCTTGTTCAAGATATCGAGTGCTCCCCGTTGAGCATCTTTATTGTTCGGTTGCTGTATGGCGATGCGAATTTCAGCCGATGCACCAGTTGAATAATGTTTCACGTCCTCTAGCAACACGTCTGCCTGCTCCAAGATCTAGAATTCTAGTATTTGATTAATTGGAATTTTATATTTAATTAAGTCCATATCAGCTAGCTAAACCTGAAGTTAAAGTGAATTTTGAAATAAACTCCTTCATCAAAAACACACCTTCACCTTACTTTATCTACTATTATAAAATAGATAAAGTAAGGTGGACCTCGAGGAAAGATGGCATCACTGATAAATTGTAGTCGACGGCTGGTCTCCTGGTTGATAATTTTTCATCTAAAAGTGCTTCGAATCATTTTCATCCTACCTTTTCAGCAAAGGTGTAGATTTGCAATTCAGATTCCGACGGTACAGCATGCTCGAAATCCAGGAAGACATTGACGTCGGGTAAGTTAGTTTTTGAGCCGTCACAGCTAGCCAGCAGCACTGAACGTACAACTTCTGCACATGAAGATCCACTTTTCATGTCATGCTGCAAATAGAAATGGCTAATTACACTTCTTGTGACGGTATTAAATTCAGTGGAATATTGCAATGAAGAAGGTATTACTCTGTACAATAAAATTTAAGAGACCTGACATTACACCGTTCATTACCTATACCTTAACCAGACTGTTAAAAATGAAATCTTTTTCAGGAAATTTTGGAAAGGTAAATGACTGGGCTAGGACATGTTCCGCTGTATACTAAGTGTTAATCAGTAATTATAAAACTGTAAATAGACTAAACGCTAACTAAATCTTTTAAGTAAGCATAACCCACAATGCCAGCAAACACTACATCGGACGAACTGACCATCTCACTACAAACAGGTCGGCCAACCGCCAAATGGTCATAACTAATATTTGTGGAGAAAAGACGACTCGGAGCGGAGGAGCGTTGCAAGGCGGCGCTGAATTTTTTTTTCATTCACTTTGGAATATGACAGATGTAATGGGCCAATTTCAAAAATATGTTGAATTGCCGGCTGTTTGTATGAGGATTGGTTGTTGCTTTGACTATGACTCATTGGTATAGCAAAAACTTGTGAACATTTTGTTTCAGATATGGTATAATTCATGATGGCGTCAAAACGTCAATCTGCTTCATGCTTTTCTGTCACCTTAAAATACAAAAAAAAGAATGATGGTACGGATAAAGGTTATTTTGCTTCCTGTGTTTTCCTTCCTTTCAAATATCTTCAGTACCACAAATTTTGAATAAAAATAAACTTTCAAATGCAAAAGGTTGGCAGAAAGAGATTAGCTTACTTTGCTATGAATTGTTATAATGACCAGAACAAGTGTTTTGCAGACGAGGTATCAAAGCTTTCATTGAATAAAAGAATTGCCGAAGTGCCAGGAAGGATCGCTTCAATTGAATTATTCAATTTCATGTGTCATGAAAGTCTAAAAATCAATTTTGATTTGTCCAACAGAAATTGTTTCTTCATCGGTGGATCGAATGGGTGTAAGCTTACGTCTATTTGTTGTAACAGATAAATTATATGTTGTTATTTGCTGGCAAAAGAAAAGTATTGTACTTCTTGTTTTCTCTTTTTTCCTCATTTCTTTGCTCTTTGATTATGGCACTTCGAAAGTTTCGATACATACTCCATAGCTTTTAGCTTCGAAGAGAAAGGGAATGTTAGGAACTTTTAATATTTTATTGGTAGAGCAGATAATTGTATATAAATGTAAATGTTTTTCAGCTGGTAAGAGTGCGTTATTTGCGGCATTGAATATGGGTCTTGGAGGTCGAGGAAGCCAAAATGAACGTGGGAATGCAATGAAACAATACATAAAGGATGGTCAGAAGTGAGTTAGCTATTCAGTACTTTATATTTCATTCAGCATTTTATATTATGAATAGTAAAATCGTCGAAATTTCATTTACTTTCTTTTTGAAATTATGAAACAAAAACCGGTTCTAGTACTAGTAAGTTTCAAGAGATAATCCTTGAAATGTTTTGGAGCTAATTAATATGCAGCTGTTGATATGCTTTTTATATCTGCCATCATTTTTGAGCCACCGATATTCTTAATATCTGTAGTTAGATTTCTGGATTATAGTCGTGCAAAAATAAGGATAGTACTCACTAATTGCGGCTTCGGAAAATATCCAGGTTACGGCGATGCTATTGCTGTTGAGCGGACTATAAGCTTAACTTCGTCAACATATCAACTGAAATCTCTCACTTATGAAGAAGGACGCTGTAATGGTTCGTTTAGATTCTTTTTTTTTTTTTCAGTTTTCTGTACAACATACCTGGTGACTTTTATGTTATTATATCTCTTTGGTGTATACATATTGTTGCTCATTTGTCATTAGGAATTTAAATTTGTATGAAATCTACGAGTCTTCTTTTTTTTGAATGATTGGGATTTTAGAGCAGGTGGTAAGTCATAAAAAGACTGATTTGGATAAACTACTAGCAAGATTCTCTATACAGCTTGACAACCCGATATTCTGGATGTCTCAAAACCGATGTCGCGAATTTTTGCATGAATTGAAGCCAGAAAAACTTTACAATGTTTGATTTTTTTGGTAATAATAACAATGGAATAATCCGGGATTTCCTCTTCATGAGGAAAATTTCCTATCTTCTATATTTTTCACAATTTTTCTTTGATTTCTTATATTTTTCTGTTAGATTTAAAAATGAGTTGCTGGATTAGAAAGTACAGCTAGAGATATAGTAGTTTCTTTCTTTCTTTTTAATTTTTACATTATTATTTAGTTCCCGGTCATTATTTTTTTGTTGAAATTCCAAGAAAAACTAGAAGAGCGAGGTTCAGAAATACTTGCATGCTATGCATCCTATAGTAAATCCGAAATTCCTGCTCTTAACTCTTGGAAATTAGACTTTTTACCTTACACATGATTAATCATCAACATTACTGAGACAACTTCCTCAATTGAAAGAAATTTGTAACAAAATAAATCACTTTTGATTTTTCCTTTTTTTGTATAACGAAAATTTTAGTACTTTTGGAACAGTGATGGCATTTGATGGAGCCATAATTTACTCGTTGAAGCTTTATACATCACTTGAGGTATAATGGTTTTTTCCAGCACCAAATTATGGGTTGTATTTTAGTATTACATGATTTTCAGATGTTTATGTCTGCAACAGGATTAGATTTCTCGCGACGATGTTATAGTGAAAGTGGAACATACAGTGATGAATCGGAAAAACTAGTGCTGTCTATTCGACAAGATTGCTGCAATAAATTAAAGTTTGTTTCAGTTTCCCTTATGTCTAACAAATTTCTAACCTGCTCAAAACGAAGAAGAGATTCAGAGATTTAGAACTTTAATCTTTTACAGGGAAATCGAAAAATTACGTGAGAATCGGAAGCGTGTCCAAAATATGGAACAAAATAAACAAAACCTCTCAGAGCTGAAAAATATTCTTCGTTGGCTACCAGTTAGGGACTGTCACAAGGTTAGATTTTTTTTCATTTAACAATTTTGTTCTAATTGCGGGATCACAACTTTGTCGTTTTATTTCAGGATCTTTGTAAGCACAATGAACTGCTGACAAAGGCTGCTGAAATTTATGCAAAATTAAAAGGAGGATTTGCAATAAAGGAGGTTAGTTGAGCATATTTATTGTGACTGAATTCATGGATTATTTTGCTTAATAATTCTCTCGTATTTTCTCATTATTTTATTACGTTATGTATATTTCATATTTCAGAAAATGAAAGCAGACTGTCTTCAGAAGTTTGAACAGATGCAAGAAAATAAAGAAAAATTGCAAAAAAAAATAGAGGATCTCCAGGATGAAGTATGATTTCTTAATTTTATTTAATGCACATGTGAATATTGTCCATTAATTTGAGGCCAAAAACTAATTGTTTTTTGTACAATTTTATTTATTATTTTTCCATAGTTCCTCAGAGTACGTGATAGAAAGTTTGAGTGGTCCAAATTTCGCTAAATGGTTTAGATTTCGACAGCACTTTTCAGGAAGCATCCTTATTGGGACCAAATCCTGTAATCGAAAAAGAATCCTGATAATAATATTATAGGAACAGTGGCTATAGCAATTGGATTGAAAATATAAAAGACTGTAATTATAATTTTTATTTCTTGAAACTACGTTAGGATTATCTTTGTAAAAGATTATCTTTCTAGTTAAAAAATTTGGGAAAAGAGAGGAAGAGTAGACGTGATGGAATGCTGGACACTGAGCAACAACTGAACACTGTAGAACGAAATCATAGGATAATGAATGCGGAAATTGGTTCAATGGAGCAGCAACTGAAGGAGGTTGAAGCAAAGTACTTGAATCATATATCTTTTGATGTATGTCACAAAGAGTTAATTTTGAAAATTCTTTGGATATGTTTTTTTATTAATATAGCGTTTATAGAAAAAATCAGGGCATTCAATACAGTATTGTTGAAATTGAAGCAGAACTGTTTGAATTAGAGAATCGATGTACGACAGTGAAGGAGAGGCAGTATTCAATGGAAAAAAGAAAAAAGTGTTTCGAAACAGAATTGGCTGATGCGATAAAAGCAGAGCGTAGCCTTGAGTAGGTTTTTCTCTTTATTTTACCAAAGTTATTTAATTTTCAGTTTTGCGGTATTGTTTTTTTATAAAGTGTTAACTTTCCATATGCTCTTTAGAGAAAATTTAGCAGTTATATCAAAGAAATTCTCGTAACAAAGCATATCTTTCAAAGCAGATATATGTGACTAAAGTATTTATTCATAAATATACCAGATTTCAGAGCAGAAATTTCTCACTGGAATGTTGTGTTACGAGAATTACGTGATGAGAGAGAACGAGTAGTGGCAATGGAACAAAGCGATCTAGCTCGTTTTGGTACATCGGCGCCTCAGATTATCAGTTTAATTGAACAAAATGTTGCTAAATTTTCAAAAAAACCTATTGGACCTATAGGTAAACTTAGGTTATCGTATGTTTTTCACATAATTGTCAGAATTGGCTTTGCTGTCAGTCAAGGTAGTGTTTCATATAACGGAAGAAAAGATCACTTTTTTCTAGCGTAGTTATGATAAATCAGATGAATCACAAATTGTAGTAATTTAACATTACTAATTTAGGTGCTTATATACGAATAAAAGATGATTCCTGGGCATTGGCCGTAGAACACTGTTTGCGTCATTTACTATCAGTATGGTTGTGTGATAATGTACATGACAGGAACATTCTGGATTCGATTCTCCAGAGTTATAATATCCGCGCTGTGGGATACATCATTAGCAAGTACTTTTTCTTTATCGTAATATATTTCATATTTCTAATTCATGGCTTCTGCTACACTTCTGGCTGTTATTTTTTTTAGATTTCTAGAGAGCCGATATGACATAACTTCGTTTGAACCACCGTCAGAATATTTAACTGTGGCAAGAATGATAACTGTTACGAATGACAATGTTTTCAATGTATTAGTTGATCAGACACAAATGGAATCTATTCTTCTGATTGGGTCTGATAGTTTAGCGCGCAGAGTAATGGCAGAAAATGTAAGTACCATTTTATTATAAAGATATATTTATTTGCCACATGGAATCAAATGTAAATTGCGTTATGCTTTACGTTAACCCTTATGGTTTCTGACTTTTGAGTTATAAGTTTTTTCTAAGTTTGTGTGCGATAGGTTCCCTTTTTTAGAATCCAAATTAGAATTTTTGTTCCATAAATGCTGCTAGAAGTTTTTATTTAGCCTCCAAAAAATGTTTACAAAGGTTTCACGAAAAATGGTGATGAAGTATTTGCAAAAACGGGTGATCAAGTATATCGCTTTTATGCAAATCATCGTTATCAGAAGTCAGTCATATTGACTAATACTAAGACAGCTAATATCAGGTGACTTTTGCTCTTTTGTCGAACGGTTTTTATTTTCGTCTCATAAAAATTTCTTAATTTATCTATCCATGAAAAAAAATTAACTGTCGGCCATTAGTTAAAATATTTTGGAAGGAAATAATCATCAACTTAAAAATGTGACAACTTCATTATTGTTTTCTCCAGCATTAAATTAAATATTTTTTATTTCAGATCACTAAATGATCAAATAACGAAGACAGAAGATGAGTTGCGAAATAATAGAGCGTCTTTAGCAAAGGTTTTATAAACCTTTCTGTTTTTACAGCTAGACATGAGCGAAAATACATCAAAAGAGAAAAAAATGCACACTAAAATAAGCAATTTCAAAGTATGCACACACAATTGCGATAAAACTTTTCAGATACAAAAAAATCGTCAAAAAATAGAAGGAGACTTGACTTCTGAGATGCAACAAAGAAGCCAAGAATTGCAATGCTTAAGAGTAGATGAAGTACGACGACGCTCTCTGCAGAAGCGACTGGATGCTGCACGATTTGAAGGCAGTGTTGATGGTCAAGTTATGAATCTGGTTGGTGCATTTATATTCCGCATTTCATCGGAATATTTCATTATATCAACATAGATTATTTTTGATTTTTAGGTTTCAAGCTTGAATCAGTACAGAAGAGAGAAAGAAAAGCTCATACAATCTGAAAACGTTCTGCAGGAACAACTAACTAGTTCACGCCAATTGTTACATGATACAGAAATGATAAGAAGAGAAAAAATTAGGGAAATAAAAGAAAACGAAAATGAACTCAAGAAAAGAGAAGTATGTACTCTAGAGATAAGTGGAATTAATGTTTTTAATGAAATTTCGAGTTGTAAATTGTGTTACTGAAGTTTTATATTGTATTACTATTTCGACAATCTCTTTAGAAATTGTTAAAGGACTTGCTTTCCACTTCTAGTCAGATTTGGAAGAATGTAGCAGTGAAATCGATAAAATGAACAACTATGAGAATGAATATAGTCAGAAGTTGTCAAAGCTGGAAATTCATATAAATGATCTACAGGAGAAAGTAAAAACGCTGAAGTAAGTAAAGTTTCCAGATTAACTGGATGAAATTTTAGTGCAATAAAAGCAAATCTAATGTTTGTAGCGAGAAACTGGAAAAAATGAAAAATGAAGCTAGAGAATTCGTTACTGATGTGCCTCCAGATTTTACAAGTCTACCAGACACGGCGGAAGCTGAAGAACGATATAGAAAATTGGAACGTCGTATTCAATCTGCACAGGAAAGGTTCAAGTTATTTTTACTTTCGTGTACTTTTTTTTGAAAATTTTATTATATCTTATGTATTTTAAAGCTTGCAAAATGATTTACTAAATTATTGAAAGAATTTATAAATTCACCCAGAAATGAGGAATTGAAATAAATAGCCCTAACTTTTCAGACATCTAAAAGAATTGTTGATTTATCATTGTTTTTTTCCTCTAGAAATCCTATATATGTTTTTCTGGTTTTTAGCTCTTTGTTTTAAATATGTGTCTTGTCATAATCTTATTTCGAAAAGTTTGTAGCCGATCCCTTCATGAAAAAGATCTCATTCACATGCATTAGTTCTTCCATGCCATTGTTCTTATAATCTATTTGTTATATTCTGATCGATATTTTATACTTATGCTTGTATATAACTTTTAGGTTCTTTAAACCAGATTACTCTTTTTATACTTAGATTTCCAAAACGATTTTCTTACTGTTCTTGTCTTGTTCTGATCAAGATAGCCTCAGAATATGAGTAAATAAGAATTAACGGTAGGAGGGAAGGTTTAATTAGGAACGAATTTATCTGTTGTTATCGCCTTTACATTTCAAATGCTTTGGAATTCTGTAATGAAAAATAAAATAGGCCTTCCACTTAATAATAACATAAGAGGTAATTGTTATAGTATTAGGAAATTGATGTGAAAAGATTATGATAGCTATGGCATAACATATTTACAATATAATGTCACATATTTAGTATTAGATCATTTTTATGTGGAAGTTTCAGTCGCCCAAGTTTGGGAAAGACTTTAGTTTTGAAGGCATTGCTGTCATAACAATAGGAATGTAAAATGTTTAAGAATCCTTCGTATTATTTGTTACTGTTATTTTTCATTACAGCTTGGAAGGTACTATAGTATCAGAAGAAGCATTGAGTGCTTTGCAGAATGATTATGAACGTTTACAAAAAAAATATAACAGTGCCAAACAAGTCGTTTTGGTATGTGGTAGAATTATTATTTCCTCAATTTTTTATTGAATGTAGGGTTGTTTTATACTATTATAAGTTAACTACAGGAACTGAAGAAGCGACTAAAATTAAGGAATGAAAAATTTCTGGAAGTACGAAATCTAACCGCTGAGCGACTCAGTGAATTGTACGGTGGTCTAATGTCAATAAGGAATTTCAAAGGTTCACTGATTATAAGCCATGAAGAGCGTGCTATTTATATAATGGTTGGTTGCATGTTAATTTTATTATGCTTCAATTTTAAATAGAAGTTTGAGTTATTTATTTTCAATAATATTTCACAACAACTCATTTATTGTTGTTTAGGCGAGCACTCAAAAAAACCAAGAAATTGACCAGGCCGCTATTCTTCAACGTTATCGAGGGAAAGGCAACTTTCAGGATTTGAGAGGTCCTATTTCATCCTCGACCATACTGAGAGCTCATATTCTTCACTTCGAAAATCCATATTTTATTATATGAAGTTGTAATTAAGAAGAATTGAGCGGTACATTTTCTTCTGAAAATATGAAATTTAATGCAGGTTTATCTGGTGGTGAACGGACTTATACCTCTGCTTGTTTCGTCATGGCTTTGTGGCAGGCTATGGGAACACCCATTCGGTATGTTTTGTGATTAATAACTAATTTACGGGACAAAATATAATGTGAATGCAAATACTTAAAATTAGTCTTATGCTATTGATTAATTTTTTTTTCCAAATGATTAATTTTTTAGCTGCATGGATGAGTTCGATGTTTTCTTGGACTTGAACAATCGGAAAATTGTGATGGAACTCTTCGCAGATCTTGCCACTCGTCAATACCCATCCTATCAGTTTATTTTCTTCACTCCTCAAGGAATTGCCGATTTTGCTTGTCGTGATCGTGTGCAGCTTTTCGAGATGCCGAAAATCAGAAAATGAAAGAAGGAATATGAAAATGTTGTTGTAATTATATTTGTACAAGCAAGCTTTGTTTCATAGCATTATTTAATTTCATCATGACTTGTTAATCCTTCGCTCTCTATTATCTCATTTCACTATACATTTCTCTTAGCTGAATTTTTATTTTTGTGTCGTTTACGAAATAATATTAAATAGTGTAAGAAACTGTTAAACAACAACACATTCTCGCTTTTACCTATCTTTGAGTTTTTGGAGCAATTTTTCTGTGTTATGGTATACTTAATAATGTTTTAATGAATTGCACTTGCGCTATGAATTAGGTCACATTTTTGATTTGTGGTTCGAGTTACCTCTACTTTAGAGGGAATCGCTTTTAGTTTTGGTAAAATTTTGCTTGCTTTCTCGTGATTTATTCAAAATGGTGAAAAGATTAAGTATTTGTTGAATGAATTGAAAATATGTTGAAGCTTACTATATATAACAACAACTTTTTAACTAATCACTTCTGTTTATGAATTAATGCTTTCATAAATTATGCGGCTATCAGTTTTCCTAAACATTATTTTACTGTTCATCAAATTGATTCAAATTGTAGCTGTACTAGAATATATTTATTATTAATCATCTCGAATGTCCTAAAATGTATGGAAGTTTTGCTAATTTTCCTGCTTTGGTTACTGTAGGGCTTATGGCTATTTGTAGGATTGTATGTTGAGCTCAGAAGTTGAAGACGAAGTGCGGAATTACCGATCTATAGTGAAGCTATTACCGATAATATCATTTATATTTGTTTATTTCGGTTGCTGTGATCCATTTTGCACAGACCTACAGAAGATGATTTCTCTTCCAATCTCCTTTGAGAGTTCACTAGATTTACATTGATCATGTAATATATTTCTAGTTCTGTCTTAAGGATCGTTGAGCTGTGGGAAGTGGAGTTTATTACAGTGGTTATAAATGTATTAAGCCGAAGGTCAATATTGAAATGAAGAGCCCAATTTGAATCATTTTCTGTTTAGTATAAGGCGATGCAAACTTGAGTCATTCCTACACCTAAGTAAAAGTTAAGATGTTAATCAAAATTGAAATTAAATTGTCATATCAAAAAGGATTTATCGATATGACCTATGGAACATGAGGTCGTATTTCAAGTTATATTTTCAATGATACGGTGCTGAAAAATGTGTGTAGAGATTATTTGCTTAGTTGCAATATATCTCACTGAACTGATTTCAATTAATATGTGATGCAGTGTACATAATGTGGAGTATGGCTCTTAGAATACATTTGAAATTTTAATTGTAGTACTTAATTTTGCTGTAAGTTTAAGTTCTTGTTGGACACTGCGATGATTTACTATATCTTTTGCTGTATATTGTATCTTTTGTTCAGTCTTTTGTTCCAACTCGTTTAATTTATATGTGGACATGAGGCAGTTAATCATCTTGTTGTCTGATGATCTTTTTGAGAACGTCAAATTCGGGCTTGTTAGAAACAAAAATTTCTTTCATATAATCATACACTCAAAATGACATTGATTCGTAAAACTGACACATTTTTGTTCGTTTGTTTCATTTTTCAAGTATTTTTGTTTTATTTTTCAAGTATTTAATACATTTTGCTTGTATGAATTTAAATTGTTCAGTTACAGAAATGACATAGCTATTCAATTTTTGGTTGATGAAGTGTACAGGAATTTGTTAGAATGATCAATAAAGGTTTGATCATGTACTCTTTCTAGCATTATTTTCGAGACGCTTTTTGCAAAGCTTTGAATTTTCCCTTCTTTTTGCAATAACAGTTGCAGTTAATTTTCAGGCGGTCGATTGTCCGGGTTGAATTAATTTGTGAATTTAATAGGCTTCGATTACGCTCAGCATGGATGCATCAACTAGAAGTCATATGACCTTGAATACTCTTGAAAAAGGTGAGATCTTAGGTAAAATAACTTAGTGGGCTTAAATTTTGTTCACATAGCATTTGTAAAATAGTCAATGTTTGCTGTAAACATGGTGGTGCTTCAAGATTGTGGTATTCAAGTTATAAGATAGTACATCAAACATATTAAATGACAGGAAACTGCGGGCTTACATTACATTTAGCAGTAATGTTACACTTATAATATCTTCTTTAGGAATTTTACCCACATAATATACTTCTGTAGTGCTAATGAAAGATTAGTCTGAGTGAACAGTGAAGAGTTTTAAGAGTCATATTGTGAAAATAAAGTAAAGAAAGATTTTGAATACCTTTGAAAAAGTTGAGATCTGCTGTGAATATAGTACTGACAAATACATTTTGTCTTTCAGGATTGCGCTCACGTGCACTGAATGAGAAGATGGCTACGATTGTCAACATGACTACATTTCTGCGTGAGAATCCGTTCCCTTTCTTCGTCAATGCGGCCGTACTCCGACTTTGTGAAGCATTTCGTGATGAGTGAGTTAATTTTGAAATGGTCAGCATTGAGATGGCTGTCATTTTCGTTTTTGATTTCATAAAAAGGACTCTCTTATTAAAAATTTTTCTAAGGAAGACTTTCCTTTCTTAAAACTTGCAAGGTAACGTTGAATTTCTTCATTAACCAGATATCATTTTAAGGATTATCTATATATAATGCATGCTTTAGGTGCAATGAGCTGCGCTTATGTATTGTACGAGTGATGGGTGAATGTTCTAGTGAATTAAGACTTGTTTTCTCAAATGATGAAGTAGCTCGCCGAGTTCTCAAAGTATCCCATTCAAATGATCCACTTGCTCGTTCACTTACTCTTCAAATACTAGCCAAACTAGCTTCTGTTGTGGCAGAAAATAAGCAGGTAATGACGTAGAAATAGTGAATATTTTGAAGATAGCAAAAATAAGCTTTCTTATACTTCTTATTTTTAATATTTTTAAGCCATATCGATTGTAATTGTAGGTGCATCATTTGATAGTTACAAGTATCGATTCCGAGGAAGCCCAGGAACGGTTAGCAGCCACTGTAGCGACTGAGGCATTTGTTGGTGTTTCCAGGTTATATTTCGCATCTCGTAATACAACTTCTTTGTTTAAAAAGTGTTTTAGTTTTTGAAAGATATGAAAATTCTGAATGAAGTTTTGAAATGGACTGTTAAAAGTTCGTCTGTTTTGGAAATTATTTTGAAGTTTCTTTCTAACTTCAGATCTTTTTCGCAAACAGTGTTTGAGAAACTATGTGTTACGTTTTTATCTCCTCTTGTTTCACCGACTACAAAGATCGGTTTGGTTGGTGTATTCTCTAATATGCAAGGTGACGTAGAAATCATAATGAAAGTATTTGCACTGGGTGAACGGATACTCAACGAAGCATATAATCAACAGTTGATACTAGCACTTATCAAATCACTTACTACATTAGCCGTCTCGTGTAAATTCGCTGTATCTGAATTGGTAATATAAATAATTTGTTTTCAGTTTAGAAGATTTTGTTCCATTCTGATTTTGTTTTGAAAAGTACATTTCATAAAATTATCTTTTGCTTTATTTTTCTTCATATCTTCAGTTAACTTTACTGATAGAAAAGCTGAAGATATCCAAAGAAAATCGCACTCTTTGTGTTGCCATTCTGTGTAATATTAAACGCTTGTCATCAGCCGCACATATGCTAACGGAATCTCATATGCATGTTAGTTTTATTAGTTTCTAAGCAGCATATTGTGTTGTTTAGCGATTCAAATGTTAAGTATAACTATTCTATTCCTTTTACTATTCAATCAAGAACACAGTTTTCTAACAAAATGTGACGGTTTTACATTAGGACCTGCTGGGTTTTGGGGATACATTAACGGATGATTTGATGCGCGTTTATTGGTTGATAACTCTTGTTCGTTTCACATCGCAAAATATCCATAAAATTACCGCAACACTTTCAGGTATTTTATTCTGAGTAACATATTACTTATTGAAAATTCTATTTAGTTCATGTTAAAGAAAAAAAAATGGATTCAATTCCAAGGCGACCAGAGAGCTAACAATAGAGAATAAACAACAGCATTTTGCAGATAACATAGCACATTGGACATATCTTTTATCGAGCAGAAATGCAGATGTTCGACTTGCAGCTCTGCATTTGTATATTAATGTATATAAATATAGTCGAGAAGCGAATATTGTATCAGCTTTGAAAAGCTCTTTTATTATATCACTGCCGACAGTAAAACCTCAAGATTCCGAAAAAGTAAGTTCAAATTTTGAATTGAGTGAAATTATATATATGTGGTCAAAGACTTGGGGAATTTTGTATCATCCAAAGTTTTGCTCAGAGGAGTTCGAAAAGCAAATCAATCAGTTATAAATAATTCGTTCTTTGAACATTTTTACTGACTTGGCAAACCAAAATATTATGTTGCTCATCAAATTTTTAACACAATTTTGTAACCATCAATTATATTCAGTTTTATCGTCTGCTGACTGCCTTCATATGTGATGACAGTTGCCCACGTGAAACTGTGGATGCAGTAGTGGACGCTCTATTAACCGCAGTACTACCGAATTTTTCGGCTCTGCACATGTTACAGTTTTTGGTAGCAGCCGCTGAAACTCATTCTTATCTTTATTCTCGTCTTCGTGTCTGGTCTATATCGAAACTGAATGAAAATACAAATTTAACGAAATTGACCGTAAGTTATAATTGCATTTTGACTCAAGTTATTGTTTTGAATTATTCAAAGCTAATTATAATGTCTTGGAAATTCTTCTATTTTAAATTATAAGCAGACAGATGATCTTATTGCAGCTGTTTTCGTGCTTAGTTTATGCTCCACTGAGCGACGTGACTGGACTTCCCAAAAATCACTTAGATTTTTGGGGAAGTGATCCATGGGTTCTCTATTTAGTTGCTCGGTCAGCCATGCGCAACGGACATTGGAAGTTGGTTGCTCTTCCTATACTGGAAGTAATCCATAAAAAGGTTAATGTTATACGTTGATTTATCTTACGTAACTATCATTACAATAGCTCAATTCATTTGCTCCAAATGACTGGATTCTAACACTTCC